CAAGCATTGAAAGATGCTTTGTTACACGCACCTATTCTCAAGTGGTATGATCCTAACCGTTCTATCAAGTTGGCCACTGACGCATCAGGTACAACAGTAGGTGGCATACTTCAACAAGAATGGGAGGATGGATGGCATCCAGTTGCTTTCTATTCTCGAAAGTTGGTGGCGGCGGAACAAAATTATCACACGACAGAACGGGAGGAGTTAGCTATCGTGTTGGCAACCAAACATTGGAAGCATTATCTGGGTGATAAGGAGTTTGTGGTGGAGACTGATCATAAACCCTTGGTTTATTTGGAAACTCAGAAGGATCTGTCCAAACGACAAATTCGATGGGCAGAGTGGCGTCAACGCTTCAACATGAAGATTGTGTACGTGGAGGGAAAGAAGCAACTTGCAGATGCTCTCACACGCATGCCTTGTTTGAATCATGTTGCAGAAGTGAAAATTCAGGCGGATTGGTGGAGCAAGATGTCACAAGCCACAAAGGAGGATGAAGAGATCACTCGAGCACTACAAACTGGAAAGGCAGAGAAATCTCGAGGTTTGGCGTTTTACAATCAGCGTATATGGATTCCACAAGATCACGATTTGCGCACAATGATTTTGGCAGAAAGTCATGATACAGCCATTGCAGGTCATGTGGGAGTGGAGAAAACCGTGGAGAGTATACAACGAGTGTACTTTTGGCCCAAAATACGTGAGGATGTGGAGTCTTACGTTCGAAGTTGTGTTGCTTGTCAACAAAACAAGGCAAGTAATCAAAAACCAGCGGGTTTATTACAACCTCTTCCTATTCCCGAACAGCGGTGGGAACATGTCACCATGGATCTTGTATGTGAGTTACCAAGGACTTCGTTAGGACATGATTCAGTGGTGGTTTTTGTGGACAAATTGAGCAAGATGATTCACATCAGGCCAACCACAAAAACAGTAACAGCTCCACAACTAGCTCAATTGTATCTAGACGCAGTTTTTGTGAATCATGGCTTAAGCAAAGTGTTAATCACGGATAGAGGTACTCACTTCACTAGTTTATTTTGGAAAACTTTGTTTAGTTTTTTCAAAACAAAACTAGCAATGTCAACGGCCTATCACCCTCAAACTGATGGACAAACTGAGAGGGCAAATAGAACCATAGAGGATATGCTACGAGCATTCACATTAGAAGAGCAAGAAGAGTGGGACAACCTTTTGCCACTTGTGGAATTTGCATATAACAATTCTGTTAATGCATCCACAAAAGTGTCTCCATTTTTTCTTATGTATGGAGCTCATCCGATAACTCCTTCAAGTTTGATGAGACTTCCGAAAGGAGAGGAGTTTTCGACCAAAGTTGCAGCAGTCAACGAATTCATGGAGCATATTCACCGAGGACTACATCAGGCCAAGGAGAAGTTGGTGATAGCTCAAAATCGGCAAAAGCAGCATGCCGATGCTCATCGTAGAGAAGTGATTTTTGAGGTTGGAGATCATGTTTGGTTATCTACAACGAATTTGTCTCTTGTAGGAACACCAAAGTTAAACCCTAGGTACATTGGTCCATTTTTGGTTTTGAAGCGTGTTGGTGAAGTGTCATACAAGTTGGAACTTCCGTCACATATGAAAATACATCCAGTATTTCATGTGTCACGATTGCGAAAACATGTACCACGACCAAAACAATTCACCAATCAACCAGCACCACCTCCTCTTCCAACCTTGATAGCAGATCATGAGGAGTTTGAGGTAGAAAAGATACTCAAGAAACGTATTCGAGGTCATAAATATCCCAAAGTAGAGTATTTGATTCAATGGAAAGGCTATCCATCGTATGAATCAACTTGGGAACCAGCTAAAAATTTAGCAAATGCACCTTTGATAGTTCAGGAGTTTGAACGTATGTGCAACGAGGACGTTGCATCTTAAAAGGAGGGAGGTTTGTAACCATCTTTAGTTAGTTAGAACTAAAGTAGAGGTTACTCTGAATATTGATGTAGATACTTTAGTGTGCACTAGTCATAGCTGCCACGTCAGCGATCCGCGCACTTGGTAGGTACAGAGTGGATGTGTTAGTTGACAGTGCCACGTCAGCAATCCGTGTGCTTGTAGGTAAGGATTGAGTGTGTTAGTTAGTGTGTTAGTTGGGTGCGCCACGTCAGCGATCCGTGTGCTTGTTAGGGTTATCCGCCACGTCATCCATCCACTAGGAGTGGTATGGATGGTGGGGATTAGATCTTATCACCTTGTACTTGTTGGTGAGAGCTATATAAGGGAGAGGAGAACCATTGTTGGTATCTCTCATCTTCAGAGTTTACGTTTCTATCTTCGAGTGAAATTCTCTCTAAACCCTAGTGTTACACTTCATTACTAGGAAAATGCAAGTCGATCGTAATGTGAATATGATATATGGATGCTAACCACGAATGGATTATCTCCCGACGTCTCATCTTGAAGTCTCATCTTGAATAACAACACACTATCCGAGCTACACAAGCTAATATATACTTATAGACCTAAGTATGGATCTATCTAGAGTCATCTTCACTAGATCACGCTCAAATCTTGATACGCATGGAATCACATCTAACTAGGTATGTAGTCCATGTGGTGAACAATTTGGTTTGATGAATTTCTATCATTTTGTATGTTTGTTAATTTTATTTTTTATCAAAAAATTAGATATTATAAATCATCTTTTGATTCAATGATTTATTTTTATAACCAATTGTTATTTCATGTATGATTTATATCAAGTTCATGTACCAAACTTCATGATTATGGATATATTGTACTTTAGTATTAGGTTTGTTTTGAATATATCAATGATGATATAATCAAAATAAAATGTTTTCCTTATATATGTCATCAGTTTTATCTCTAATGTAAACATAAAGCCACAGTCTGTCTTGCTGATATATTTTTTGGTACTACTTGAGTTTATTTTGATTGATGTTCTTATAAACTTAAATTTTCAAATAATAACATTACGTTTTTTTAATTTATGATCTTAAAATCAAAATTTTCATCATAATTTTTTTCCTTCCTACTTATTGTGCTTGCTTTCATAATACATATTATAGAAAATATTTCATAAATGATTTAATATTTTAATATTGAATTTTTTCTTAAAATCAGATATATATATATAACTATTTTGAAAGTATTAATTCATCAATTAGAATTTTGTAATATTTTTTTAAACATCTATCACTAGATTTTACGGAAAGGTTTTACAGATTTTGTTTACAAAAATTTGACAGATGCCTAAATATTGATAGGTATAATTTTTTTCATGTGTTTTTCACTGGATAGTGACATAAAATTCATAAATAGTCATTTGATGTAACTGGATTTTAAAAAATATTACACAATATATAAATTAATCTGCGCATGCAATTTAGCTTTAAGTAATGTTTTCATATAATGATGACGATAAATGAAAACAGATGTTTACATTGAAGGAAAAACAAAATCTGAAAAATAATAAGATCAATACTTCCAAACTGAATCTTTTTAATAAGTTATCAAAAATTGCATTCATAAATTTTCAAGATAAAATTTGAAAATTCCAAACTTCTCAAACCAACAGTTTTTCCTTATACAGAGATGTTTATGGAAAAAAAACCGTGTCTCAACAAATGTTTTGGAGATTAAGTCTTATTAATCAAAATACTCACTGCTAAGGAATGTACTTTTCAGAACTGATAAATAAATTCCATTGTAACAAAGCTGTTAAAAAAAATATTATATATCATCTTGTATGTACAAGATGAGAAAAATTGTTCAATAAATGGGTTTAAATCTGTTTAATAGTGAAAGACCAAGGTTTGAAGGAAATCGCTCAAATTCAATGTAAGAGAGTAGCAAGATCCAGTCAAATTATATTTATTTACATCATTGATCAAGATATATGGTAGGCGGAATCCTTTTTCTGTTTTTAACCTCACCGATTAATCTTCGCGGAAATTAACATGAATTGTAAACCCCTGTAGTATATCCATTTGAGTGCAAGACATTCACATGAACCTTATTGCTGTTGCTGAAGAGTAGATTATAAACTCTCTCTAAGCCGTATGACTGGATAGACCTACGTACTGGATCATATCATCTAGCATCGCCTACAGTATCAATTGACCGGAATATGTGTTTTGGTTTCAACGCAGGATATTTTCTAGAATGAAATCACAGGAACGAAGAATCATAGAGAAAGAAAATATTTCAGCCTTAAGATCTCGGACTACATACTGATAGTAGAAAGATTGTAAAATGTCAGGCATATCGGTGAGGTTTAGGAAGCACTACATTGTTTGTGCATTCAGTGATTAATACTTTCACATGGAGTACCGAGGTAGGTTGATGCACATGAACAGGTTAGAAGAGCCGGTGATTATAAATAATAAGTACGGACAGTTCTTCTAGATCTTTTAGTATCCATAATCATAGGCACGCTCTGCGATCACCAGTATACGGCATTATCTTGATTTCCACACAAAACATCGACACTTCGTCTGTCAGGACTGTATTCGTTTGTCAGGACTTCCTCTTATGTTTATCGATTTTGGACAGCGACAGAATCAGCGTGAAGGTCGGTTGAAGGTCGAACCGCATATGGACTACCTTCGCACACTAATGTCGCAGATGGACATCCAACTTTACATATGGCGTGTGTACAAATAGTGCTCCTACCGTGGGAACTGAGCGATCTGAAATTGGGAGCTTCCAAAATCATTACTACACCGAAATACATCTGCCAGGTCCACCCGTCATCAGGTTCTAGATACAATTCGAACAGAAGCCTCAGTAAACAAGATAACATGTTCATTCAATAGAGTCGTGATATTCAGATCTGTGACGAGTCAGAACCTACATAGATTTCACAACGTACTTCGGTACCTGACGCAGCAACTCCAATGGTCTGCTTCTTGTAATCTCAGTAAACCTCACTGCTGCCAAAAAACCATTCATTAGAAACCAATTCATAGCTTCACTCTGCTGGAATTGTTGCTGACACTCTACAAGTAACCTCGCGATGTGAGTATATAAAATGAGGAGAAGTGGAACATGTACAACCATTTGTCAAAGAGCAACTTTGCATTTTACCTCGAGTAGATAACGTTACCAATTTCTCTAACTACGGATCCATATCGTGGAGGCTCAAAGGATAAAACGACAGCTTGTCTTGTCCGTCCTGAACTCGTCTTCTGATACTGAAAGTAAGTACTGCTTGTCTGGTTCTTCCAGATGACTTACTATGACCAAGAAGATCTCTTAGCGTGAAATGTCTCACTTGCATTTTGTTATGCGGCCCGTTTCAGACTGGCACTAGTAAAAGCTTCTCAATCATAGGGACCATGGGAAGTATTAAACATGAACTGGCAGCTACGAGCTGTAAGAAAGCATGAGGTGAGGGGAAAACTCGAGTGTGCCTTAACAAAGGTGCTTTTTCCTTCTGTGGACATCAAAACATTCTTATGACTTTCTGCGAAATAAAATGTTCTGCTAACGTATCTCTCGGGGATAACATCTACACCTTGCAATATTTCCTTTCACGATGAAAAGATGAAGTGGGGCAGGAAACGAACCTAAGAAGTATACTAAATTTAGCTCAAAAAAATGCTCGTCATGAGAAAAAAGGAGAAATAAGCAGAGTCATAGAGAAGAAGGAACTTATGATGAAACACTCCAGGAGGGACCGAGACCACCACCTCGCCCGCCTCAATTCATTTTGCTACCAAGAACTGCAAGTTGTTCAACAAATTCCTGGCCCGATAGAATCTCTGTTGTGCCATAGATAATGTTTTTGGCTGGTTGTTGTCGCTGTGCAAACTCCTGAAGACTGCTGTACTCGTAGTAATTACCACCGCCTATCATGAAAACAATTGCTTCTTTAAAAGGTCCCTTCGAGTGGCCCATGGCCGAGCCCATGCCCTTGGGCCCTCTCGGATCAAACAAAAGGTAAGAATCGGCATCAGAGGCCACTTTCGCTTCCATCAGTGTTTCCACTGCTCTTGTGATAGCCAGCTGCCTTCCGCCGGAAAGAAGATTCTTCACTCCAGCTGTAACGGCACTAATGGCTTGACCGTAAAACTTTTCACTCCAGTCAGCGAACTGGCTCCTGCTACCTGCCTGTGCTGCTGCTGCAGATACAGGAGAAAATGTGATAGATTTGTGCCTCTTCACGTACAGAAAGGGAGCGATGTCGATTTCTGCTTCTCTAAGCGCTGCCTCAACGGCCTCCACCTCGGCAGGGACAGTGGTCTCTGCTGCCAACAGATAAACGATAGCTAGCCTTAGCTTGTCCTCTTTAGTGCCTTTCCCTTTCAGAGCTGCCAAAACACCACTCTTATCAACACTTCCACGAGCCAACATGTCCTCTTCTGTGGAGCAAAAGTTATCAAGATGCCTCGACTTAATTTCACCTAACAAGGAAGTGGCTAGATTTGTGTGCTTGTCAATCATTCTCTTTCTCTCCGTGAGCTCGGGCAGAGAGTTAACTGCACTCATCAAATGCTTAGTGTTCCCCATCAGTTCTTCATCGCTGAAATCGCTTTCTTTTCCAACCCCCGTCCTCCGATTTACCTCATCCACGTCCTGTTTATACTTGTCAAGTTGGATCTGAACCTCCTCTGCAACTTTCGGAAACGGGGCATTCCAGTTTGCAACCCAGAATGAATCTGAATCATCAAGTTCATATGACTTCGCTGCCGATTTCACCTTCCCTCCAGAAGTACCAGGTTCAGGATGAGCTGTCACGCGATTCAACTTCATTCCCAGAACATCATGCACCAGGGGTCGGTAGCTCCACACATGTTGCACTGCCACGGATAACTCAAAATTTCTGTCAAATAGACACAAAACTGGTCGTTGAAAGGAACTACCGATGTGACCTCCTTCGGTGAACAAATTGTTTCTTGAAACTAAATGATCCCTAAGTCTTGTATCTAAAAGAGTAGCCACCATCTCTGCCGGTCCACCTCTGGCACACCGTATGATGGGAACAACACCCACTGTGGCAAGAACGGAAAAAAGTCCGTTCACAATCCCGTCGACCACAGAAAGCACATCTTTCTCTTCAGCTGAAGGGTCATTGAGCCGAACGTAAGTGTCGGGCTGAGACAGAGAAAACAACCCATTTTCGAGAGTGACAAACTCAAGGTACTGATCATAGACCTTTGCTATACGATGCAAACAGTCCTGTTTAAGAGTGCCTCCGGCAAGCTCTTCCAAAAGTGGTCGAGGAAGGGAGGAAGCGAAGTTGAGATGAAAACTCTGATAGATGCCTCGCGCTGCATCCAAGGTAATCCTTTGGATGTTACTAGCGGTTGCCTGCACAAAGTAGATCGCTGGAACATCTGGAATGTTTTGTCGCTCGTTATCGATCATAAGATACAATGTGATTCCATGCTTACGAAGGTCATTGACCTTAATCAAAGGCGAGAGAATGTCTCGGCAAAACCGGTCGAGTATCAAAACTTTGTACACTTCCTCATCTGCTGTGCCCCCACTCACCACTGGATGATTCAAATTTAGCATTCGAACCACGGCATCTGATAGAACATGTGCAACAAAATCTGTCAATATCTCGCTGAGCAGACAACCAGATATCCTATCTGGTTACTCTGCTCGAGAAAATTCTTCTACACAACAAACCTCACAAGAAACTTTTCATAATAACAAAACAACATTCTTCGATGACATGGGGTTCCATGTCGTGCTTGCTATACTCTTTGACTCAAAAGCTGTCTGAGAGATCGGAAAAGAAAAAAAAAACAACTGAATAATGTCACTCGCTGTCTCCTCGCCACAATGCTTTCCATGCGTCAATTTCAACATTCAAACGTCTAAGAATTGAGTTCCCAAGAGTGTAATGCGTTTAAATTTCTTGTCCACTGCTGTTCGATAAAATTAAACAGAGTCACAGCTTGAGATACCCTAGGTTGTCCTAAAAGAAGAACACCATAAAGCTTGTCCAGGCTTGACTCTGAGTGTCGAAGTTGTAGACTTTGGAAAAACCCAAACCGCACACCACATTCTTAAGCAGCTTTTTTCTAGACCTTCTTGAAACCGATTATCACTTCACCGAGACCACACTGTGGACTGCAGGTAATCCATGTACGAATCGTGCAAGCTAAACCCTAAACGCCATAGATATTTCAGACTTCGGTGCCACCCAAACACTCGACCGAGAAATAAGAGAAATGAACCTCAATCTACATTCAAAATAAGGATCAAATCTTTGACTCCGATCACAATTTCGACCATACGCGATCACAGTCCACAGGCAACGCGATCTACATAGAACGACAAACATGCAGGCTAGAAACAATCAAAGACCTACGTCAGTCGGACCAAATTCGCCGAAACACACAAATTTCACTCCAAGCTTCAACCCTGCCGTCCTTCATCAAGCCAAGTCAAAACCCACAAGCCCAACAAATTGGATCAAAGCAGCTGGTCATTGACTCGACATAGTAGGAACGGCATTTACGCACCCAGCTGCTTCTGACGCAGGGAGAGAGCCATGGTTGGAGGGGATCATGGAGTGTCCGGAGCAATTACGGGTTCGATGCACCGATCATGAAGCTTTTATCCCCTGCTCTCCGCAGCTTCCTTTCGCAACAGACTCGAGTCGTGCACAATCTTCGCTTCTTGACATCAATCCGACACACCAGAGTCCCAATGAACTCTGCTGCGCACAGTCCGGTGCTTCTTTCTTTTTCGAAAATTGAGAATCTTCCTCTTTCTCTCTCTCTCTTTCTCTCTTCACTCTCCAATGTTCTCTTCCTCCCCCAACCTCTGCCCGTCTGGGCCTCCAATTCCTCCCTTCAAATCAACCAGCGAATGAATGAATCAATCGATCAATCTCCAGTGCCGGCTTTCTCTCTGCTCCCTCTCTCGTTCTCTCTGTCGAACCCTGTGGCGTCGACTCGGTCGCTGCTCCTCTTTCTCTCGGCCTCGGGCTCACTCGTCCTCCACCTGGTGCGCAGCCACAGGGCCCACCGCGACGGGCCGGGCACGCATTATTGGCCAGCCACTGTACAGAGCCCCCCGCTCCTTACAGTGCCCTCAAAGTCAAGGTCTCTTTCCTTCGCTCCTTTCCTTCGCTTTCGTCCCTGCACTCTGAACAATGAGGCCCATGGCATCCAAGCTCAAGGACGATGCATTCGTGCAATTTGCCCGCACGAGATTCCTTCCCACATGCTTCGATCTTCATTGCGTTTTCCCAACATGTATCGCTGTCGCTGCTGCTCGTCGTGCTTGGTGTGGCTGTGACGCAGTTCCGATGCACTTTGGTTATTATGATGGTCACGTGTTTGCACGAGATTGTCAGACACTTCACAACTTGCGCTTGCTGCACTTATGCTTGCTACCTGCTTTCACACACTAGAGCTTCCGCCACTCGATTCGTGATACTTTATTCCGGGATGTATTTTATGAATTTTCGTTCCCCATGGAGTCCTCGATGTAGTGGCCAGAATGGTGCTGTGCGGATAAAACTGCTTTCTCTTGACAATGTCCGACTCGACCGAGCACATGCACGAAAATTGCTCTACTGGCCTAACGTTATGAATTTGAGAGGCTCTTTCCGCTGGCCTTGACATTTTACACTTGGATTAGCATTTGGCGAGTAGAGGACTCAGGAGGCACTAGACATGGCGGAGACCAGCAACCCAGCTAACAGATTGAATCCTGAGTTTTCCGAATCCTGCATGTAATGCCTTAGCTTTAATCGAAAGAGACTTCCTTCTATATCAACGCAAAATTGTACACCTGATAATCTCCAGACATATCCAGGAACAATCTTAACCGTGAATATGCTGGAGGCACCAATCCACTGTGCAGCTGTCGCCTAACACTAGGTGTGCACAGCACAGCAGCTGACGGAGAAAAAGGTCCACTGAGGCGCCATTCCTTCCTATTACCTTTCCCTCTGTTTCAGATCTCTACATCAAGAATGACTACACTATTCTCGGCCTTCTAAATGAAGTAAACCAACAGAGCCCCCGCTTTTACAAAGTTGAACACTAAACAGCCACGATCTGGCTCGTGTTCAGCTTATATCTTTATGGAGAAGAACCAGAAACACACACTCCAGTTGTTTTGCCATCATCACAACCGATGAGTGCAAACTTCCAATCCAATCGTCAATGACTCCACAAGATCAGGTCACCGTATAGTTATTGCCTATTTAACAGCATTAACAAAAACTGTTCCGATCTAGTTAAGAAGATCGTAATCATCTAGCTGGTCGTTGTACTCCGCGACCTTCCTCTTGATCTTCGATGTATCTACCCACGTCACGAAGTCCTCCATATTCCTTGTTACTAAGAAAGCTGGATCCGTAATGGTGTCCGGGCCGACACGAATGTCTGTTCGGCAAATAGTTAAGGACGCTGCTAAACACGAGTATCAATCGAGGCAGGCATCATACACTGTAAGCGGATGATGTAAGATTCACATTCCAAAAGACAACTCACAAAACAATAGTAGCAAGAAGCGAACATAAACTTTTACGTTTTTCTTAAGGATACGTCCCTGCTCTATGAAAGTTGTAGCCTCTTTCATGTTTTCAGCAAATTTTAACCTCATCATTACCACTGCTAACCTCCTTCTGCATAACAAACAGGAAGTTCAATATGTCAACGCACCTTAAATCATTATTTTACTATTCATGATCCAATACGAAGAACATTATTTTGCAATCTGAAGAATGCGAAAAGAAGGATTTTTTGAACTTTGGCTCGGATACTAACACAAATATCAATACGCATGCAGCAAAATATCATCCTCTCGTTTACGTACCGGCAGAACGAAGAGACTGACAACTTGTCACACAAGGCGAGACTCTTCTTCGTTGGTATAACACCCATATTGTATCTGCAACCAAAGAACAAAACAAGACAAGGATCTTGGTAATTTAGAAACGATAATGTCAACAAAGTCTGTGGTCAAGATTATTTGCTTATAGAAACTAAGGATATAATGATTCTGTAAGTCGAGTACTTACAATCTGTCAAGAAGTTGTTCAGTCATTTCTATGCGAAAAGGATCCTTAGCATCCAGCTTCTTGATAATATTGACTAATTTGGTGACCATGCCACACATTTTGTTGTACCTGTCGGCAAAACGCAGGTGGATTTGTCAGGACAAAAACTATGCCATGTGTCTCTCGGCCTGATAATGTCACCACGCACATACTTCACGCAGAATAAATGTAAATATCTGCAACTCCGCAAGAAGGATGCAGCTTGAAAACTCCACAAATACTCAGTTAAATTTTCTCCAGTAGGTCACGAAAGACCGATTTAATGAAGCGAAAACGCTTCCATTCACACAACTCAAGACTTACTTGTGATAGTCTTCACGACCCGTGATATGATACCGGCGCATTACTTTCGTCTCCCGGAAGCTCTGATCTTTCTTCCATTCCAAAAAATTGACCTTCTTCAGCAGTTTATGCTCGTGAAATTTGAGCTGCCTCATCTTGACCTCTTCTTATCGCAGACGGTGGAAAGCACTTACACCTATTCCAGAATCGATCCTCCCATAATTCGTGCGAAGATGGAGTGGAACTATTAGCAACCCTCTTCTCAAAAGAGAAAATTGGATACAAAGGCGACCCCTGTCTTTCACCAGAATTCAGATATGAAAGTGAGAAAGCAGAAGTGGCCAAAATGGTACAGCATACAATCTCGTCAGAGCACAGGCAGTCGAAAACTAAGAATCATCGATGCAGGCCCTAAACCCTTAAACCCTAAAGCTAGCGAAGGAGCATGAGACTCGCGTCGAGTAACTTTTGAAATCCATCAAAAGATCAAACAAGAACAAATTTTGCATGGATAAAAACTCTGGACGGCAACTCGATTCACACACCGCAAATCTGAGTGACGGAGGTCTCGTGTCGACAGAGCCGATGTGAAATGTCTCGGCGAATCTCGCACTCCAGAGCAAGGCCTGCAAGAAATTGACAATTTTGTCGTCGAAAGTGCAAAGGAATTGCGTCGCCCGAGAACGAAGCGTGGAACGAGGAGGTGACAGACTCGCCCTAGACTGCGTTCCCAGTCACGTAGTATGCATTACGCGCGTAGTTCCCTTCCCAACACCGTCGGTCGGTCCAGTCAGTCAGTCCGTCGGGACAGATGTTGAATATGTAAATGGGCACTCTCTAAGTTTGGAAAGTCCTCCCCAGGATTTTATTAGCAACAGCAGTATTGAGAGCATGAATATCAAGTAGACATAAATTTTGATGTTAAAATATTGGAATTTCTTTTCTAGTTGATATTCGTGTAAAAAATTAATATTTCTTTATTATTAAACATTATTAATATGAAATTAAAATAATTTTTGAAAAGAATACCCCATCGAATTTGAACCTTCATGAAACTAAACAGGTATGATCCCAGTATTCAATATTAGCACTCAACATATCCCAACTATCTCTATTCAATGAGTTGGAAAGAATCGATGAGAACCAAGTGTATATAAACATAGAAGTAAAATTTTAAATCATCTCACGACAAATAACTACTTGAAACAACCATTTACATTATCCGAACACTCTAATCAATATACAATAACAAGGGTACATGATGTCCCAACACCTAACATTTAATTGCTATATCATGTACCGCGTAAAAGGAAACTTGTTAAATAATAAAATATAAGATTTAAAAAAAATTTATGTAATATAAAAGAAAGTGAAAATCGATACATCATCTTAAATTATCAATAAACGTATTTATGTAAGATTTTTTTCAATATATTTATGTATTTACATTGCTAGAATAACATGATCATGTTTCTAAAATCTAATGCTATTAAAATTCTTCTTTGTGATAATTTACGTAAATGTATAAGCTAGCTCTTGTGAAACTTATCACATATAATTTAGATAATTATCACATCAAGATATTTTTCAAAAAAAATCACTATTATGATGATTATTCAAAGAGGTTGCATTTATTAATATATTTTCATACTCACGGAATAATAATTTAAATAAATGTGTGATATTGTGTAATTTTTTCCCATTATATCATACTATATCAAAATTCATGTCACAAAATTATATTTCAAATAGAATTTAATGCATAATAAATACACATCAATCAATCAGGATATCACTTTGATGCATTATTTACCTATTTGCACAATCAGACACAATAGTTAGATTTGACTACATCTAGCATCGTGTCGAAAGAATCACGCTTTTAGATCTCCAAGATCTCTAAAAAAAAGATTTTAAATAAGGTATTCAAATTGTTTATTTTTTGAATTTGAGCTCTAGAGTATGCAGTTATTATGACCGGAACTTAGTCCATGAACTTATAATCTTTGAACCACAAAACGTATTAATTTTGATTGTAATGTAATATGATCTTTTACATAATTTCGTTGACCATCATTTCTTCATCATTTATTTTGAAGTTTTGAGAATAAAAAAAATCATTGTAGTAAACGTGTATTGGGGTTTGAGAGATTGTGTTATGTGAAGTTTGATATGACAGCAATGTATGTTAATCATGCAATGTGCATATTTGAGACCTGCATCGAATACTCGTACCTGAAACTCGAGCAGTCTTTACTTGAACCAATAAGTATGGGTCGAATTTGGACCAAGCTAGGAAAAGTTTGGCTCAGATACGGATTGGACTTTTTGTAAGATGGTTTCAAGTGGGATTTGGTTCAAAAATGGAAATTAAGATTACTCAGTAAACTGTTTGTGGAGGATTTTCTAACTTCTTGCTCATTGCACAAAGTGCTGATTGTAGTTGTTTATATCATCATTAACTCCAGAAGTTTGTCATAGCTAATGATGACAATTGAGATGAGGTCCAAAGATATGCTCACTTTGAAGACAAAAATCATCGCGGATCGGCAGAAAGAGTACGGTTTTCATTATTGAATGGAAAACCGTAAAGCTATGGCGAGTGTCTGGACATCGTTTTTGTTTGTTGCAATCAACAAGATTGGAAAACATCTTTGTTATAGTGATAATTCTTTTGTTTGTTGCAACATATGTCACAATGTTTATCATTATACATCAACAAATGGAACCTCCGCCATGTTCAAATACTTATGTCTTCCTGCAGATATCAATCAAGTTATGACAGCTACAACAACGCGTCGTGATGCAATTAAACTGAGAATAAACTCATCACTGTGGCGTTGGCGGACATGTGGATTGTTGACATGCGTCCATTTCACGTTGTGAAGGGCAGCGGTTTCATGAACTATACGCAAACCGTCCTCAACATTGGAGTCAACTCTAAGGTGGGCATGCTTGTGAACAATATTCTTCCTTATCCAACCACAATCAGTAAAAATGTGCAGATCCGATCTAATGTTGGACGATCGATATTGACTGACCCCTTGGAGTCACATCTGGCGGAAGGAACTCAAATTGGCAGCACAATCGATATTTGGGCCGATGACATCAATAAGATCTCTATCCTGTCTGTCACTACGCATCTCATCAATGACGAGCTCTATCTACGTCACCGCACGCTTGCATGCAGGTCCGTTTCTCGAGCCGCATCAAGAATTTGACGTTCTGGAAAAACATGATGACGTATTATTGAACTTTGACATCAATAGCTATGATTAGGTCACAATTATCACAGACCTAGGTTTGAATATGCACCGGAATTGACCGAGATATTACGTGCACGAGGTTGTGGATTGGTTTCCAAGATCATCAAGATTGATCATGAGCTTCTCAAGAACTTCATTGCTTTTCTAGAGTACTTTTAGGAGGCCGCCCTAGCTCTCGAGGTGTTTGCGAAGCCTACACTACACCGTGTCCTCTATTGTTGATAGAAACTGCTAATACATTACCAGATTGTTATAGTGGATATCACCATCAAGGAGAAAGATGGCACGATAACCACATTGAAGAAGTAGTCTCCTGCATTCATCGCCTTGAAGCCAAAATTTGCAAAACTGATCAAAGAGAAGTTTGATTGGAGCAACATTCATGTCATTGCCGCCCTACTCAATTCTAAAACCAAGTGTCGTCTCTACAAGTTTGACATCTACTTCGCCGATATTGAGCTTGGCAAAAAAAATCTAGATGATATGATGAAAGATCATATGATTGGCTCTGGCATCAGCAAGGACAATGTGCGACCCCATAACAAACAGAAATAGGGCAATCTGCGTGTCGCACGTTATCTTAAGGAGTAGAGCGACAACACCATCGATGAAAAGATTGTTGCCGATAACATGCAGCTTGATTCGCTTTGATGACGAAACCCAACAACTATATTCGTCACAAGTGTAGTGACGATGAAAGCACACTTTTATCTAGATATGGAATTTTATTTTGATGGAAGATACATCAAAACCAATTCCATGTACTTTCTCGACTCGCCCGCTATGTGTTAGTCATTCCACCATCTAGCCATTCCACCATCTAGCGCAAAATCTGAGAGTAACTTATCGGACGCATGGAACATGATGAGCAAAAAACGAAACTAGCTGCAACCTTCCAAGCTTGACAATCTCATGTTTTTGCGCTCAATGCTACTGTCGTCTATTGTCCAAGTTAAGGTTCCATCAAAAACTTAAAGCTGAATAGAAAACTGATGTATTTTTCACATTTGTACATGTTACGGTTCCACTGAAAACCGAAAGCTAAATAAAAAAGATATCGTTTTTTTCCATTTATTCGGATCCAAGTCGTGTATCACCTCAGAGTTGACTTGGATGTGTGTCGGTTATCAATTTATCAGTTATCGGTCGGGTATGGATACCTTAATCGTAGAATCCGTGGGCATGGATTGGGTTCGGATGTGATTTTTAGGTGTAATGGAAGTCTCTGTTGCATATGCACGACCAAACAAAATATCATCAAATCTTCACATATATGTTTTTTAAAGATATTTTACGCCTAGAAATTATGCTTATTGCCAAAAACAAATTGAGTACATAAAATATTAGTAATCCAGACATAAATATGCAATGTATGATAAGTTAGTATTTATGTAGTAAAAACTAACAAACAGAAAACTTTCAGTTATGTATGCAAGACAAAATTTTCACATAATATCATATTTCACAATCTTGCTTCTTGTGTGAAATTTTTGTTAAGTGTATGTTAACTCCTAATTTAATATATCACCAAAAAATTTAAAAAATTTAATGTATTCAATACTTATTAAAGGATACGAAAATTTAATTTCATGTTAGAAAATCAGAAACTACACTCATGAAATATTATATTTAGTACAATTCATAACATCTTTAATTTTTATTAAAAGACGTTGTAAGAGGGTCTAGGAGATAAAAAGAAATTGATTCAAGTATTTTTTTTGAAATGTTTTTGTTCAAATGTTTCTTACTCTAGCCTAATAATTGAACTTCAATATTATTATATATTGTACCAGAATGAAATTGCATATTTTAAATCTAGAGTAATTGAAACATAATTTTGACTATTCCCGGATTATCATGTTGCATATTCCTGTACAGTGACTATTGTCATCTACTAAAGGACTGAAGAGAAAAACCTGGAAGTAGTTGGTGAGATTTGGTAATCGATGAATAAAAGGGTTTTAAAATCACATGCAAGAGTGATGTTGTAATTCCTTGCTCTTTACTTAACCACAATGACTCCTATCGTGTTTGCAACATCCATATCCCTTTTACCCATATGTGGCACTGTGTGTTATTTAGCTCAACGAAAAAACGACATGTAAGAATGTGCAAACTGACTTCGGTTTATACCTTTGATTGATCAAAATTATCTGGATTCTCTCTGAAGTAGTAAATTTATTAAATCTAAACTTAATACGGTATTGAAATAACTTATCCACTCTTCTCCTTACATTAGCAAGCCTGGTACGGTTGCTTTGCTACTCATGCTTCTATATTACAGAAACTTAAATCACAGCCATGACGAATGGATAGAAACATGACGATGACGATTCAAGGGCAGCGAATGGTATCAACGGAAGTGATGAAAACATGCACATTAAAACGAAGGGCAAAAATAGCAAAGGGAGTGAAAGCAACGGGTAGGAGTAGAAATCCAGCTGCCAAACGAACGCATCTAGGGTAAAGCAAAAGCCAAAGTTGACTGTACGGTTGTCACTCCGATGGTAACAACTTAAAATTATCAGTGTGTTCGTTGTAAAGGTCCGAACAGTAGCCTGTTTTGCCGATTGCTGTGTGCACAAGACAGGAAAAATAACTATAACCTCATGTAGAAAACTGTATTTAACCTCTTCAGTAGTCTCCTTCGCAAGGGTTGCGAAGGCAACTTACGTTTTCATTCATGAGCAACGATGCATGAACAGTTTGCACATAAACCAAATCCACATTGTCTGAATTAGTCAGCAACACTCACTGTCATTGGAAACTTGGATGTAAACGGAGGTGAAAAAATAATTTTTCATTAAAAGCCCCATACGAAGGAAAAATGGTGCTTTGGTGTATGAGGTACAGGGTTCCTACGGGAGAGACAGCGTAAGAAAACTTGCACATCTCCACTACTTTTGACTCCTTTCCAATTTCATGGAAACTATTTCACTCGTCAGACAGCGATAGCAAGTCTCCCAGTCATATCTTCAGAATTGTAGAGTGGAACAAGAATATATGGCAGGTCCGATTTCAACAGCAACCACTGGTACAGTCGCTAATGTCTGTATCAGAGGAGTAAAAAGCATGGTTGACTTTCTCATCCTTATTTATGACCTGAATGCTGAATCCGTGAACCAGGTCAGATTTCTTCCGTACAGAAATCTGCCCCTTGAATTTTTCTGTACAATGTTTTGCATATCGTTGAGCTACGCCGGCTGCGGACTTTAACCTGATATTCTTGACAGCCTGCTGTCGAATTCTGTACATCTCGTCGAATCAGCAAGAACAGCACTAAAAGAATGTCGGATGAGTTTGTAAATAGGCGATTGAAGTTTCCGTCAGAGCCGCACGACTAGCTGAATGCTCAAATATACAAGTAGATATTTACACGAGGAATTTACTCTTCTTCGCAGGTTTGGTCCTCCCTTTCCTCTTTGGATTGTTCTCCAGCAAACACGAACAAGCCTCTAGCAGCTCCAAATCTTCTTCACAAGTCAACCAAGAAGCTGCCTGAGGATTTTTCAAAAGCATTTTCGAAACCAGAAAACCCGCAATTGACCACGTTTGGTGAAGCCTGGCTTGCTTGCCAATAAACCTTCCCGTACGTGTGTCATAATACTCAGGCCACCGATCTTTCGATATTCTCCTTTCCGCAACTTCAATGGCCCGTTCAGCGAGCTCTGGCTTACCCATTTTGATGCAAGCCACAGTGAACTGCACACCCCATGAAGACTGAAATTAGGTTCACGCAACAATTAACTGAACAGAGTCAATCGGGTATCAATCAAACAATTATAGGTAATAGCATCACATCAAAGCCCAATTTATTAAATCGGATATGTGAAGTAGCGAACTTCTCAGATTGCAATACCTGCCAGAGAAGAACAGGCCAAGAACCTCCGTTGTGATATGACCAAGGCCTGCATTTTGCGACCAGGAAACTTAGAACATACGTTTGGATACTTGCAACTTGATGTATACACAAAGTACAAAGAGTACTCCCCAAAAAAGAACCTCTGAAAAAAATGCGCATAGCTGAAACCTTGTAAGCAGAAACAAAACATCTTGCGAATACGAAACTTGCAGTAGGAATATTCGTAAATGACAACTTACGTATTCTTCGGATCACTTCCAGTGATAATGCGCCACTCTTCACACTCAAAAGCTGGAAAACATATTTTCAGTGGCATAGCGCCAACAAAATCATTCCACTTCGAGTCTATAAGATTCAAAATAGACTCTGACTGCTCAAAAGTAGCCAGTGAGGTAACAATCGACCACAAATTCCCCAAAGAAAAGAATCTGAAGTCCATGTGAGCAGGCTGAAGATTCCCAATAAGATAACCTCCTTCGTCCGGCATCCAGTCTACCAGCCATGGAGGGATCTGATCCGGGTAGATGTTGAACTTGTTCACAGCATCGTGAGAATATTCCTCTGTCTTGTAACGGTATATTTCGTTCAGTTTTTTGAGATCTATCCAATAGTATTCTCGAATGTGAAATGAAAGAGCACTCAAGCGAGACGTTAATGCTCTCAACAACTCCATCGCTCCATCTTCTCGAAGGAGCATTTCACGAGAGCATCTAAGAGCTGAGTAGAACAAAGCCTGCAAACATCCAAAAAACAGAACAACTCAGCCAACATTCTATTCCAAAGTGGAATCGCTGGGACAGCTTGTACTATATTCTCACGATTAAATATAAAAATTGACGGCAAGTAGATATAATATTGCGAATATATGTAAACATCAACCTGAATCTCCAGCGGATGACCGTGAATGCCCATTCGACGATCAATCATGCACGAACCGTCCGTAACCAGTAAAGTAGGAAACATGTCGAATCCATCCGCCAGACAAAGCTTCAAGATCATCTTCATTCCTGTTTGTACGTCTACCCTCTCTTGAAGAGAATAATCTCCGGTGCATTTCCCGTATGCTCTCAGAAGAATGATCCACCAAAGACCTGCTCGTGATTCTCAGTTCAGCCAGTTAGTTACATGTCCGTGAGCCAATAAGAAAGTGGATGGTTTCGTTACAGCTGTGATCAAAAGCCTAATTTTCATATTCTAGGCCACAGAAGCACAATCCTCCTTCAGTCACGAAAATGGTCCAGACTCAGCAAGACAAACAGGTTTTCTGGGAAGAGTTCATTAGCTTCTCACCGGAATCAACAGGAGCGACTCGTCCAATAGCTGCCTCGCCAAAATCAGGATCTAAGATCTCCTCGGTGGCGAGTGGATCGTCTCCTTCGAGCGGAACGGTACGCACTTTGAAACTGGCAGGCATCAAGCCTTGTCCGGGGTCATAACAATCAACTGTCTTCTCCCAGCTCTGCAGATGGAAAGCGACTATTTAAAATGCTGAACAATGGAAAGTCTGTAGCATAGCAATTGCCTACAACATCACTCATTGGGCGATTACTGAAGACTCACATCTCTCTCTAGAACAGTAGGATACACAAATCTGTGAAGTACTTTTTCGATTACGTACCTGAAGGCGCAATGTGTTCAACAAAAACTCCCGGACAATATCATGCTCTCCTTTGAGCAGAAAGGCAATGGCTGAGGGAATGAAGTCTCGGATGAACACCTGATCATAATTTAAGAGATCTGGACTGGTTGGGTCAAGAGCGGCGAGCGTCCCAACAGGATTGCCACAGTATGTGACAATAGACGCTCGAAGGAGCTCCCAGGCTTCTCTTTCAACCGGACTCTCAAGGTCTTTCGACGACAGGGGAAGGACACCCTTGGGTTGCACATACAGAAGTTCTGGGCGCAACTTCTCTGTCACAGAGAGAGCAGAATTGATGCTCTCCTTGCAGCTCTCGTTGCTGACGCTGGATCCATTAGACAACTGTGCCGAATCCAGCTGCTGAACCGAATTTTGCTGGCTCACAGCGCGTACAGCCAGTGAAAACCTCCTCTGGAGACATTTGTTGGCAGTAAGCTTAGTCTCCGTGAAGTAGCGCCTGGCGAAAGCGACCTGAGGAGCATGGGAAGGGAGTTGCAGACTAACGCGGGTGTGGTGCAAAGCTGAGCCCAGCATGGCTGAATCGGAGGCTCTGCACAGAGTGCCGGAAGAGCAAGCGGACATCTGTGGCAACACTAGATCACCCCGGGTAAGAGCAGTGGAGAGCCCGGCTTCGATCATAATGGCAGACGGAGAGCTACAGAGCGAAGTAGCATGAGGGGAGGTCCAGGTTTGGAATGCTCCTGGAGCAGAGCTAAACATCCGTCGCACCCAATTGAACCACAATTTACCAAGTCTTCCTTCTATAGCTCCCCCCCTTGACACAATTGCGCCAACAACCACGGCGCCAACGACGTCTCGAACTCGCTCCTGCAATCTCTCTACAACTTCAGAAACCTGCCACAAATTCTCGTCCACCGCCTTCGACCAATTCCCACACTCTTCGAGGTATTCTCTCTCTCTCTCTCTCACCTCCTCCTCTCACAAATCCCAAAACTCACCCACAACAAATGGACCACTGTGCCTCCTTGCTCGGCACTCAACTCAACTTCAAACACGCCACACCGCTTCCGCTCAGGCGATAAATGGCAGGCACGTCGACAGGCAGACAGGCAGGCAGATAGACAGACAGACAGACAGATGGGGAACGAAAAGCTCGAACATGAGATGGAGAATAGCAAGCAAGCATTCCGAGTATATAAGCCAGAAAAGCAATCAATGAAGACGATGCAAACGGGGCGTGAATCGGGATGTCCAACGCGTGCGCGCTACCATGCGGCTGTCTGTCGACTTCCGCGAAAGTGGCTCTCGAGTCGGACGCGGGTGGTGGACCGACCGGCACTTGCCTCGGAGAGAGAGAGAGAGCGCGCGAGCGAGCGAGCGAGCGAGAGTATAATTATAGACCACCGCGCAGAACCTCGGACACGGCCGAATCGGAAGTCCTCGCATTCGCCATGCGGAGCACCTCGACTCCGATTGATGCACACGGGGTCAAATCCAACCGGCCTTCTCCAATGAGCTGCATTTCGGCCTTCGTCCTTCGCAAGTCAACTTGGCCTCAGTTCAGGCTCTAGGGCGAGCTCTGACCCGACCCTGCTGCTGCGTGCCGATCAGGGTCCTCCCCTCGTCAACCAACCAGATCGTTCTGCCATTGCGCCATCCCCAGGACATGCTCGATTTCGGTCCCGAGTGCTGTCAAGTCAGTGCGCGATCGCTTCTGCCGTGGACGTCCTGCTCTCCACGCCAGCCTACCTTCGCCTCGTCCATACGCAGACCCCGACCCCACCCCAACCCCCACATCAAAATTAATTCCCCTCTGTGACCGAAAATTGATGCCCGAAAAAATTCTTGCCCCACAATTCCACACGCAAAAGCCATCGACTGAAGTGTATCTATCCCCTTTCGAGAGCTTCGCCACCACTTCCATCGCGGAGCTGTGGATTTGAGGATGCTTAATCAGCACGAGTCCTGAACTGAGTCATTAACCAAGTGAGATGAGAGTCTAGATCATCGGTCAAATCTGAAGATTTTGCGTCACTCGATGCTCGACGTCTCTTGACCGACTCTCGAACCGACCGTTAGCAATGGACGAATGGGGGATTCTGAGCGTCCCGTCACGAATATTAATCATCGTCACATTTTATTTTAATCAGAAAATTGTATTTCATTAAGCGGTGTAGAATATCACTACACGCTTCGGTACAAGAAGGTGTGTTCATTAAACTTCTTCTAGTAGATTAGAAATGATCCATACCATTCTTTAATTCTGTGGTGTCTAACGCACATGCTCATAATTTTCTCAAGAAATGCGATCCGGTTATCAGACAGTATTAATTCTACGGTAATGCAGCACAATTGAGTTCTCTTGGACCTCAGAGATATCATTGGACCTTGATGGGCCTTGGTATGTCCTCCTTTCACTACCGAGGACTCATTCGCAACCGGATTCGCGTTGAAGATGGATCTCGATGTTTCTTGGTGGAAAAATTCTTCCCGGCAAGGCTTATGAAATTCCAAAATGTATTTTATCCACCAGGTCTCCATATAGGTAGTATAATAAAACATTAAATAACTATTTATAGCTTAGAGTATAGTATACTTTGTCAGCGTGTATCAATTGCTCTGTGGTGTTGACGGGGTCCGTTTACCCTTGTGTTTTTATTTTGCTCGATATTTGGCACAGAAGTTCTACAAGGGGCAATAGGAGGGTCGCTTTGTCCGCCATGAGACGCTCGGTATAAGAACATCACCATTCTCCGAGTGACCCACTGGCTCCTCAAACCTGGGCAACCTCCTGGCGAGATTTGCTAGATCCATCTTCTGTACAGGTACCATACTTTACTGCGGTGGTCGAGGTAACCCAAATCAAGGATAGCAGTAACCCAAGTCCACGTCGGACCAGAAGTCCCAGAAGTCGGCGTCAAGCTTTCGCGTCCACGACAGTCCTGATGCGCCTGGAGTCCCACCTCCCCAGGCAAGTGTCCACCGGTCGAAAAACGTGACCGGTTTCCGGATTCGGATCCACGGCGCCCGGCGAGTCATCGTCATTATGCCAGTGGATAAAGTCCAGTCAGTGTGTCCTGTACGCTGCGGTTCGCTTCCTTGTCCAGGTGACCGGGAACCGCTGGGCTGGTCCATCGCGGTCACACAAATTCGTCCGGACTCCGAGCGACCGGACGATCTCCTTTCACACACCGGAACACGCGGAAGCCCTCTTCGTGCCGGCTTCTCCAAAGGAGCCCCTCTAAATGGGTTAGAAGCGGCACCGGAAGTCCAACTGGGAGGGTAAAACGGACGAAAAAGAGTTCGACGTGCGGCGGGCGGCACCGGAGCTGCGGCAGGCGGGTGGGAGGGTGCGAAGATCGACGGTCGCAGAGGATCTGCGCTCTGACGCATGGGCTGCGCGTCGTCGATGCGAAAACCACCGGCGGGCGGTGCGACAGGCAGACGGATGGGATGGAGCGCCCAGCGACCGTGTGGACACGTCGGCGGCTTGCGGCGATTTGGGGTTTAGAGGGTACCACGTCGAGGGCAAATAAAGGCTTCGGAGGTTCGCTCCGATGGAAGCGGGGCACGTGTGCAGACCCACATCTTTGGGACGAGTCGCCAATCGCGATGCGGTTGACGATTTTTACTTGATCCCGTTGGGGAATCATGGCTCGCAAATGCGGACGAGTGATTCGAGTCCACCTCCCAGCGATATTCAGGAGCTTCGCGCGACTGCGTTGGGTTCCACCAACCACTCCAGACACAACCGGGAAACGAATTAACGGAGTGAGTGACGTGGTGGTCTTCGAATAGACCCATGCCAGTGTAGCCCCCCCACGTAATTGGAGAGCTCGCGAGCTTCGACTGCTTCGGACTGGCCAATTATGGCCCGTGGTCCTCCTGCGAGGACATCGTGAACTCATAGCCTTCACGGCTTCACGTGGTTGTCGAAGAGCACATGGCCTGCCCGGAACGCGGTGCCTGCAACCACGTCAGGCTCCGATTGGAGGGCGACGCTGAGGTCGATCTGCCGAGGACCGACCGTTGGAGCCGACGATTGTGCGGAAGTTGGGATTCTGCTGAGGCGACGGCGGTGCTGTCAAACCGTTGGCCCGGTGAGTCCAACCGAGTGACTTCTTGGACGCTTGCCTTGCGCGGTTGATGCACCCTCCTTCCCTGGCACGGGGCCGAATCTCGAGATCGTTCCCCTACGTCGTGCACTGTTCTCATTTCTGTACACCTGTATCCGACCTCAGTGGGATATAGTAAATGAAATTTTCCCCTCCAGTGATTTAACATTTTTTTAAATAATTTATCATTTATACGTTAATTTCTTTTGAATTCACTGTTGATGGATTTAAGCTTTAAACTTAGACTTCGATGAAGCATGAACTTAAACTTGGAATAAGAGAACAGTTTCTCGAAAGTATCGGATTGTGAGAGCCGAAATGTACGTTTCAGTTGAGACGGAATTTTGTTCTTTGTAGATTTCGAATTTTTTATTGCAAGTGAAAGAAAATAAAATATTAGAGGAATTTCCATGAAAATTTATTTTCATCGAAATATATTCTACGTATATGGAATTAGCTTGGAGCCAATTTTTTTATCAAGCAGGAGATCATATATGAGGATTAAAGTTGTATATAGAAGTACTGAGTAGAATGTGGAATGTAGCAAAGTCAATCGCATTCTCTTCCATCTTTGTCTTTAAAAGATAAATCTTAGTCAAATATTTTTCATACCACTTTTCTTTCCAACCAAGAATGAAATATCGAATGCAAGTTTTTGGCATTTTATCTAGAAAGTCAGTGAAATTATGAATATATCAGAATACTTGTCAAAGATGATATGAAAATATTTGTTGATATTATTACTATGCAGATTATGATATTAGTGATTTCAAATGTTTCTTTTTTGTACATTGCAAGTTCAAATTGCAAAAGTTGAGAATTCTTGTAAATTGATTTTTTAACAATATTTAAGTATTTATTATCTTTTTAGTTCTATATATTGATGTACATTTTGCATTGCTGCACTTTGAGTGATACTTTTGTTCACGTCAGTTTGAAGTCAATAAGTCATGATATTGAAGGTTCATTCCTGTCGAACATGAATACACTTGTGCCTCACATGCAATATATGATATTTTCATCAAGAATCTCATGAACATTAATAACTAATATTTTAAGCTTGAAATAAATATTTTTTCATTCAATTTTATATAATTCTATCAAAAAATTAAATTAAAATCATTATTTTGAAATAAAATTATCATTCTTTTCGATGTGACTTTCCATAATGAGGTTTTTTTTTTACAATCTGCTACTACCTCTCAAAAAAGGTTTACTATTTGGGAATTAAGTGGTCTCAAATAATAAACAATATTACGTTAAATATTCAATTATATGAATGGAAACTCAGTAAAATGCATTCGTATTTACTTTTTGATCGAATGTTAATCTATATTATATCTAGTAAATTTTTAATTTTAATTCTTGCTCAAAATTCTCGCCCAGCCGCAGCGACGACGGTGAATTTAACCGGGTCCACTCTGCCCTGCCCTTGCCTGCTCGGCCCGGCTCGCGTCCCCGAGCGCAACTGCTTTCGGATGTCCTAAGATACAGGGATTAATGTCAAACTGTGTCATAGTTACCGGACATAAACTCTTCGTATAAAGGTCGAGCAGCTGAGCGCTTCTCATGAGATCCAGTGATTCAGCAAGAGGCCGTCCCTCCCCTGGACACCCACATTGTGCGCTGGAATAATCAAAATCTGAACTGACCATTTATCAGACTCTCAATCCTCTTGATTCATACTTCATTGTAATTCTATAATTTTCACATAAGTAGAGTTTCAATTTATTAAAGTTAAACTGAACTTGATTTTTTATTTTTAAGTATTTCGATGCAATAAATTTGTATATATCAACAAATTGACTGAAACTCAGAACTTAGAGTTTTGTGCAAGTTTATTAAATAAATTATTTTCTATTTTTGAAGTTAAAATTATTGGTCTTTTTTTTCATCAAATTCAAAATGCAATTATTGATTTTTGTGAACAATAATGATCAGTATAGACTTTTACATCTGGTAAATTTCAATTTATTTAGTTGAATTCATCAATTTTATAGTTTTTACAATCAGATCACATGAAGGATGAATATTATTATTTTATAATGATAATATTTTTTATTAAATTTTTTCGCATAAATTAATTTATATAGTATGATATTATATGAATCCTCATTTTCTTTGATTTGACAGTCTAACTTAAAAAAAAGTTAAGTAGATTTCCTTAATTATAAGAATATGCATACTTTTTTTCAATATAACATTGCAGTATAGATATGAAATCATCAAGTCATACATCATTTAAAATAGATTCAAAAAATTTTGCCAAATTTTTCAAAAAGATTAGATGAGAGAGAAAACTTTCTATCGATTTAATAGCAAAAGCCTGTTGGAAGTTTGCAGTTTCAGCACTCTCAAACCTTCGTATTCAGTGTTATTTGTGATTGCAGATAGACCTATGATCCAGTTATTACTAAATTGCTTTCAACCTCAAGTTTTAACGAGGGTGCATGATGACGGAATTGGACTCTATAATCTGTCGGAGCTTTTCTACTCTCCTCAACATCCTTTACTCACAAGTGAGTACTGGGATACCATCTTATATGCAATAGGTCCATATGATTCGATGTCTACTTGGACATCACGAAACAATCACAATGCTATTAGATAGTGATGTATGGTATAGCAAGAAAAAGTAAAATATAGACTAGAAGAGTGGCTCCAACCAGGGAATAAAATGAAAAGCTATACAAAAAGTTGAATCCGTTGTAACTTTGGAATCATGTACATTCACTTTGACTTGTTTGGAAAAAGTGCACAAAGCCTTGAAAGTACAATGATAAAACTATCTTCAATATTCTTGATGAAAATCCGTGTCAATATGTTAACCATGCACAACTCATAAAATCTATTACATGGTCAATCGTATTATGCTCAGACATTAGAATAAATCATTGAACTAGACTATTGGAAGTATCATTCGCATTTACGGCATAGTTCTTCTCTTATATTATCGTAGCCTAACCCATTTTGATGGTGTGTTACCATCCATGTACCCTTGATAGCGACATTAATCGGTATCCACTTGGTCCCTGCCGCGGTATAACTTGGTTCCACGACCTTCATTAAGTCCATTTAATTTAATCAAGTGGCATAACCACGTGCTGGAGCGAGAGACAGAGACCTGAGGTCGGGCGAAAATATCTAAGGCACAGCAGCCACGTGCGCACCGACACGGAGGGCAACGGAGTCCGGTGGGCAGACTTTTAGGGATTCTGGTGTCTCCTGTCTCCTCCCGCTTTTACACGACGAATTTGGCACAAGTCTCCTCTCTGCAGACATCTGAACTGCAACCTTCGGCCCTCGAGTCCATTGGCTGCCTCGAATTAGGATGATAGCCAGTGTTCCTGTGAATCCGAGCGATTTGATCTGCATTGATCTGCATTCAGGACAAAAAATTCGTCGGGTCGTCGACACTTTTTCGGGGCCAAAAGGTCTCGCATCACCGCGTTTCGATTGGTATTTCTGCAATGATACGGTAATGAAACGTAAAAGGTTCGAGGAGAATTCGTTTCTTTTCACTCCGGGATGGAAGAGATGATGGAAGAGAACTGCGGTTTGGATACTAGCAACTACTCCGGTAGACAACTACGGGCGGGCGGGCGTCATGGCGGCTTACGTCATTTAATTCATGGCTTTGAGCCAGAGTAACAGGATCCGCTAGAATAGTGGAATCTAAGCCTATCACCGATGCACCAAGAATGAGAAACGAGCAACACGTGAAGCAGGATGAAGTCAGTGTGCAGTCCGTTCGTCGCGTTAACTTCTGCTCGATTCCTTGTTTCAAATAAGGAAAAGATTCCGCACCTCATACAATTATGTACCGAGTGTATCAATTCCTGCGCTTTTCCGATCCGAATAGCCATCGGATGATATTGTCAACAGAAAAGGTATTGCTAGACTGGACCATATATTCTCGTCATCCTACAATCCAGATGCGTACAGGGCATAGTAACAGTAGTCCTGACTCACAGCGACAGCTGATTGACTATGTTGCTCACCGACGTGATCAAATCGAGCCTTCGGAGATGAAACCAAACCTTATCCAACCTTCACGTGTTACCTACAGTACAGCGAGCTCCATCCCTGGATCTAACTTCATCATCGTCGATCATGCCTTTTGTGGTAGAAGATCTATGAAGCTTGTTCAGTTCTGAAGATGCACAAGCTGCTGCACTACGCCAGGCGTGACGTATACCCACTTGGACCGCCTGAGCTTATCGTCCAAACGAGCAAATCGTGTTTGGTCTTAAGCTTGAGACTACATTTCCGTGTGCTTCATCTCAGGACAAACTTCTAGCAAAGACACTGCTGCGGTTAGAGGAATTGTTTGCTATCATCAGACAACATATTGCAATTGTTGAGGATTCTTTCTGACCTGGAAATTTGTCGCCAAATTCCAATCGGTTGAAAGATGTGGAGAACGTGCGTTTTTCTCAATTCAATCATTTCATACATCAAACAAAATGATACCGTTTGAAAAGGAATGCTTGGACATCTGCTCGAACCTCTACCAGACGCAGCAGAGTAGAGCTTGCATTAGAAATCGCGACAAAAGCCCGTAGTCTTTGTAACCGCTGATGAAAGTACGACGGGCTCTCTGTGCATTACTTGTATACCATCTAAAAATGCGCTTCAGTGCACACGTACAATTCCCTGGATCAAGATTTTTTTGCACTGTGTCCACGACCGCCACAATTAGGCTGGCCAATCATTTCGAAGTGTGACCATCTGTAGTGCTGGCGGTGTTGTCGATCACATATCTGCAGGGCTCTAAGGAGGATGAAGCTTTCCAAGAAACAAACACAATTAAGGCACGCTGTTGCACGACTTTACACGCATCGCGTCGTCTTGAAGCTTGTTTCAAGCCGAGTTGGTCAACTTCATTGTTCTTATCAACGAAATCTGAGAATCAAACAAATGCTTGGCTATTCCTGTTGAGGATGACATGACCCCAAAATATTACACTACCTCAGGATGGAGAAAGACCACCAAAACGAGTGCCAACATAGTCACTCTTGTCCATCTCGATCCAGAAGATTATAGAAATTGGTACTCTCGCAAAGGTGTTGATGTCTTGGTGACATTCATCTTGTTTGAACTTCTAAATAAATGGTGAGCAAAACTCGATATCAACTTCATTACAAAACAATGTGGATGGCGGTAAAAGGAGACGTGAATTTAAGTCTTCAGCGTGAAAATGGAAGGTAGCAGGCATGACTGCAGATCATACGAAGACCAGATAGCCGAAGATTCTCAACGAAACCAACCAGCAGACAGTGGGACTTGCTGCACTCGCTTCATTGCTTCGCAGTCTGCGTCAGAATAAGCAGAACATCAGCTCGGGCAAATTTCGACGAGAAATCATGCGACCAAACGCTGCTGGATCTGGACACGAGACTATCGGAGAAGAAAGGGACAGTTAGTATTGAAAAACTGCAAGAGCACAATGATAACGGAAAGACGACCTGTTTTTCCACATCAACAAATTTGGTTCCCTCCATGTAAAGATGTCACATGACCCACAGAGTGGAATAAGAATAGATGCGAGAGCGTTTGAAGCAGAAGCGAGACATTGGAACATAGCCAAGCAAACTTCGGGAATACCACTACATGAATGTGCGCAGCGCGGGCCTCAAAGGTACTCAGAAAAACATTAAGCAAGGAGTGAACGACGGCAAAAATTCAAGTTTGCTCCGTATGGTCAAATCCAAACGAGCAAATTCAGGCAGAGGGTAGGTCTGAAGAAATGGGCGTGGACACAAACCCTTCAGAATCGCATCTTCAGTCTCCAAGCGAAGCTTTCATTTAAACCATCTTGGCTGGTGATCTCAAGAAAATATGTACAGCCTGGGTTCGTATCCAATTAAATGGAACGCGCCTAGATTACAAAACTTCCATTTACTTTTTCAACCTACTCCCGTATCTCCTTCTCTTTCTAACGTAAATTGTCAGCACTACGATCTCCAATATGAAGACTTGCCATTTAAATAAACCTAAAGGTAGAAACTATGAATTCTAAAAGCAATGTTCACGATGAAACATGTCAATCGCCTCTATAGTGTCCAAAATTGTCAATTATCAACACTCCATTCTCTGCCACTGTGATCGCACGTGTCTGGAGCTTGCTGGTGAATAAAGTACTCAATTGAAAAAATAAGGAGCCTTCAAAACCTCGTTTAGGTCCAAATCACCGCGTCCTGGAACTTGGGGAAACTCCAGATGAGGAAATTGTTGCTTGAAGTCATTTAGGAGCTGCACACAAACGGTAAGCCATGAGAACAAAACATCGAGAACCTGAAGTCTTTCAAATCTTGTGCATAGGCCCGAAATGAACTGGCGAATTCATAGAACTCGGCATAAAAACGGGCAACCTAGCCAACCAGACACACATCTTTACTACACACATATCTCAGGCTTCTGCCCATGCAGTAGCAGCCAAATCTCACAAGCAGCAAGAATGTGAACAACGCGCTTACATTTTCCAAAATTGGTTGACTGTACAGTTGCACAAATTTTTTCCTCAATAGAATGTTCATCTTGTCGACGGTCCCAGCGTGGGTCCAAAATGAATCGTGAACTCCTGCAACCATAACAGCCATAACTAATAAGTGAACGTACTCCACAAATTCGCTACACATTGATTACAACGAGATAGAAAGCAGGACTTTTGGCAATTGAGAGAAAGGGGAAAATAGATATCTACAAAACTACAATTGAATATGACAACATGATCAAGATTGACTAACAATGACTTCGTCTTCCAAATGGACTGTATCGGTCAAGTCTTCTGCCTTAAGCGTAAGTATCGATATTTAGCGGTAATGACTGATAAACTTTAGACATAGGACTTTGTATACAGGTAGGGGACATCACTGTCACAGAGGAACAACCTGCGAAGTTGAGACCTGCTCTTTTGCATGCGATTGCTGTCATCATCATATGAGAGCCATCCAGTGAATGCACAAAATTCGGAGGAAAAGCACTCCTTTGTCTTGCGACAGCTACCTGCGAGATCCAGAGAGCCACGCCTGAGTTGGATAAAAAGATATTACTTCAAGCTCAGTTTTCTGTGATGTCCTTTGGGAATTATGAAAACAGCCGTCACTCAGAAGACAAAAATGAAACAAGACGGTTGCATGAGCTAATAGTGACTGTACAAACCTAAAGAATCTCAAAACCAATTTAAAGACCACAGAGACCTTCCGTCTTCCCGACCAGACTTGCTAAATTCAAACTATGATGAAAACTGTTTGAAAGCATACCGGTTGATTGCCATCTTCTCTTAGAGCAAGCACTTGAAGAGAAGTTTTAACCTGCGCAAAGAGGAACATTCACAATTTCAATAACTTGGGGATCGCTCTGAAGTTTGCAAACTTGGCACGGAGTCTTCCGTCCTTGTTGTTAACTACACCACCTATGTCCCAGGAAAGCGTGTATGAAGAGTAATCAAAACTCGTGACACATCCCACGAAGGTACTGCAGATCAGAAATATTTTTAGATAGAAAGGACCCTGAAACGCACCATTTTTCGTCCTGGTTTGCGATATGGCTGCACTACAGGTAATCCGAAAGGAGTTGTCCATCGTACAGGCTCACCCTCCATAGCAATGATCTGCAAACGGGAGGACCATCTATTCATTAACTAATACATCATTGTGCTGGCTCAAAGTAACTCTGAAGAAATTCTCAACAAGATTAACAAGACTAAATGCTGTTAAGACGTGATTAGAAACACATTACTAGGTATTTCAAATCCAACTGATACTTATACAGTCATTGACCGACAGCTAGGGAGATAACCCTTCCTGGATTATCCTTCCAGATAAATCTTCCTGGTTTATCTTACGTAAACCAGCGGAAGAATCCTTCAGTCGTTGGAAGGGCTAATTAGTAATCCTAAACGTAAGCGGAGTGTTCAATACTCGTCAGATTTTAGGTTATATGAATCCGTATTTTCAACTCACGGATCTAATCGATGCACTGATGCCACGAAGATGACAAGGCAAAGCACTAGTGGATGATCTGGAACTAACATTCTACAGCTATAGCAAAAAGTAGGTCATTCTAGGTCATTCGTAATGCACTGGCAACAGCACAGACCTTAGCACATTCGCCCAGCCAGCTCATGATACATCTGGCTTCTTTAAACATTTGTCCGAGCGCATCAATCGTGACCTGCAAATATGAGGTTCGGAACTCAGCTAAATTATAGCCAGACATTTCAGACTACTTTTTAGTTTTTGTCCGAAAATCTACAAGCATTTCACAGTTCTCTTGAAGGAGAACACAGAACTTAGTCATCAAGACCATGAAAAATAACCGCATTGCTCTTGCACATGAACCAAACGCATTTATATCAACATACAACAATCACGAACGTACAAAGAACTTCTGCGAGGGTTTAGACTTACTTTGGCAGCGTAGCAAGAGGCCCGATACATCGCAGATTCATCAGGTAGACCTCTTTCTTTGAGTCGGCTCAGAATCTGATTCCTAGCTCCAATAAAAGTAACACCATAAACTGATGTCATCACTGTTTGCTTCACAAGTTTCCGATCAATCTGCAGCATAAAAGATTCAGCCACCGGTTAAGATCTTAAACACAAAAGGTGAAAGCGTCATTCAAAATTCATAATCCCTCTAGATATACCTTCGATGCTGAAATGCAGAAAAGGAGTGATAGACAGTATGTGACAATTGAAAGTCACATTCAGATATATATACACGGGCGTGCAACGACACGAGAATACATAATTAAAGTAAAAAGTTTCGTTAACTAAATCAAGAGTTTTTAATCCATACCTGACCAAGCAACAACTTGGCCTTGTCAACGTTGGGATTGACACGAGGATCATCTGCAGCATCTTTCTCAATCACCGCGCGAACTCTGAGGGCAAGCAAAATTTCGCACCTCAACTAGTGAGTGAATTTGAAACCAGTCAAAGATAGAAAACTTCTCGTCAGAGCACCCAATTTCAACATATCGAAAAGCTTAAAAAGACTCCTGTACGCATAAAAGGAGCCTTGTTTATAATATAACATCGTCAAGCTTCATATACTTCTCAATGTCAGGTTAACAAAGTTATTACCTGCTTGCAATACCCGAGTACACATCAGCAGGTGCATCTCCAGCAATCAGGTTAACAGCCTCCGCACCGACCTAAGAATAAGGAAAAAGAACACATACAGTTGCAGCCAATGCCAGTCAAACAACCATAGACATTGATATCTTGGGGGACAGGAGATAGAGGACCGGACTCTCAAAACTGATAACCGGAAAAGTCTGAACATAATGTGGAAATTCATCTAACCTGATCTCGTCCGAGTGCGGCATAGTGTTGCAAACCATTACAAGACCCATCCTGAACAGATCCACAAAACCATTAGAAGTGGATCAACCTCTGGAACAAAAGCGAAAAAAATCAGACACTATGATCTTGCAAAACCTTTAACGCAGACTGATGAGAACAGCAGACTTGAATACAACAAAGGAAGGAAAATCCACCTGGTGAACAGGAAGGTTGCAGACATAATTCTCAACATCTCCAGACGAAAGAGCATCTCTTAGTGCCATACAGGTTGCCAGGCACTGGAAGGGGTCCTCAGCTTCAAGCCACCATCGCCTACCCTCCAGAGGCCTCTCTGCGGAATCGAAAACCTCATCCATCTTTTCCTCGGCAAAGGCGACTCGTCCATCAAATGACAACTTGTCAACTCCGCCGGCGAAGACATTTGCTAAGTGAATCTTCAACCATCTTAGTCCAGTGGTTCCAAGAGGATGACCCTCCGCAAACTCTAAAACCCCTCTACACATATCTGAACCCAAATGGTTCAGATGAGGATGCAAAGGGTACGCACGTCCACGAAAGTCCAAATTATGCGGATAGTAAAAAGCTTCTTCATCGCGCAGCTTCCTCGCAACCTAGATATCAATCCGGATTGTACATGTTTAGTTACTTCAAAAGCAAGCATCTCCTATGAACTGCAACGTTAGTATCTGCATATCGTAGTCAGAGGACCACTAGCGTTGGTTGGTTGAGCTCCGCTAGTTGTGGAAACTGGGTAGTTGATACAAGATAGGATGAAGATAAAAGGTTAATATTATTGCTAGTAAAAGACTACACAACGGTCTTCCTTGTGGTCAGATTGTTCCCCCGTGAACAAGACTCGTTCGGAGCTTCCAAGTGTCAACAAAGAAACCCTTCACCAGGTCACCGACAACTGGAGTTGACCTTCTCTTGAGGCACGAGAACATAGCCCACCGGCGCAACACGGTGCCTACCCTTCCCATCTTCGTCCCACAAAAGGGAGTCATTTTCGAATTTCCATCCCAAAGCGCCAGAAAGGGGAAAACCCACCAGGGATAAGAGTCCCAGGAAAACTTCGGCTTCGGACCTAAATAATGAAATGACAACTACAACACCCACTGGTTTAATCATTACCGTGAGTTTCAGCTCTGTGTCACAACGTAGAGAATGTCTCTCGCAGTTTATGCGTTTCGCTTTTCCTGCTTCCCGTCTCCACCCTCGTATCTCAGCTTCGTCCTCTGTACAAGGTCGGCTAGGTACTGAGACCTACAAATACGTAACAGGCAAGTAACAAGGATGTCGCCACTTAAAACAAATCGTCGCATCATATCCTGAACTTTGAGGCAAGACAATATTAAGACTGACAGTTCCAGCGTGATTATCAAGCGGATTAACTACATTCAAACAAAGCATACGGAATGTTGACAGTAATTGCACCATGTAAGATTCGAAAGCTGGTCCTGGTACTCACATTGTCAGCATCTACCATCTGAGCAAGTCTTCCTCCATCTTTCCATATTTCCTCTATAACATCAAGAACCCTCGTATTAATTTTCCATCGTACCGAACCAAGTGTATTCAGTGCCTGCATTCAACAAGAAGATGTTCACAGGGTCCGTTACAAATTCAATATTTGCTCAAAAATTTACAAAGTAAGAAATCGCTCTAAGTACAGGAGTACATTCGCGCATACTTTCATGATACGGAACGGGTGATAGATCGGATACGGCCAATCGAGGGGAAAGGTTAACACATAGTGTTTAAATTCGCATACATCACAACGCTCATCACAACCATGCACACATCATACGTGTTGTTCAAGGTAGCCAATGTTAGCATCTGTTCATTATTTTCTTGAAAGTGGAGTTAGTCTAGATTCAGAGCGCAGCATTGTTGAGAGAACACCATTCCATGTATCCACAACTACATCCAAGGTTTCACAATCTATCTCTTTTCACTTCGAAAACATCCTGGGATAGGAAACTTGAAGTGGCTCGTGGCTATATCCACCTTCACACTGGTTTAAGGCTGGGTCGAGTCAGTGTATGTTGGCTACATCCTGCAACCTTCTTCCCCACTTTACTTATTCACCGTGAGTTCTGCAATATATCTTGTCTCACTCACATGGAACACGTTGTGCATACTTGTCCGGGTGGCCTTTTGAATAGCTTCTCTCTGTTGTTTCGCACCATGAATCCGCATGACCGTTGCTGGCAAAATCAAGTAACCTCCATTTCCGTACCTGCGGCCAAAAAAACGTCGTATAAAAAGCTTAACTCTTTACTCAAGATATAAAGCTGATCGTGAAGATTATAACAAGAAATTAGTCAAGTGCGTCGGCAATACCTTTGTAACCTAAAAACATTTAATTAATGCTTAGTAATAAGATCAGGTGAAGGCAGAACACCGCAAATCAACAAACTATGATGCATTCAAGTACAGGATTAATTTAGAGATCACTAGAAGTCGGTGGTTTGTACTAGGTGCCTTCCCAGATCCAAACACACGGTTCAGAAGTCGTTCACAACTGTAAGCGTCCAAAACTATGATTCTCAGTTCTTGCTAGCTTTTCGCAGATGCCTAGATGCATCATCCCCGGTTGACCCAACTTCGATATACAAAGAATAATTTATACATCGAAGTCGAGTCAACTGTATCGTTTCCTTTCAAACCAAGAGGAGGAAAGAATGCAACTCACGACCATTAACGACAATATTTCAGGCATGGAAAGTACACAAAACATCTCTTCTTACCCCGTCCACTTGCGCGGTCTCACTAACATCGGCATGTAGGGCATAACCATATGCCTCACCTGATGATCAGTGTAAACATAGGATTAGAAACAACGATTGGCAACAAAGGCACACGCATGATGCAGGTAATGCTAGTAACATGGCGAGAAAGAAGACAAAACTGCTCTACGATAACAGCATCAACTATTGTGCCCGAAAAACGGTAGTATAAGACTTACAGATTTATCGAGTTCTTGCGCCACAAGGGGGTCACATTCAATGACTCCAAATTTTCGAGCGGCACTGGAATGGACGAAACAATTGTAGTTGTTACTTCATGAAATTAAAAATTGTCTGTACATATTCGCAGGGCACTAGTAATCGATATTATTCGAATCAACTCGACAAACTGAAGTACCTCTGCCCTGGAAAGGTTTTCATGGAATGTTTAAATGCTGGCCGAAGCTCGCCAATGTCTTCCTCCGTCTGACTAGCAGGAGGCTGTAATAATGCAACTTCGATCATGATCTCAATCAATCGGCATCCAACCTGGATAACATACAAAATAGTAAGTAAATCACATGAAATGTCTTTTAGTGTCTCTGCATTTTCTCGTGGAGAAGGATCACAGGACGCTGTCAACTTTCAATCTAAGCAAAAACTCTGTTTTTTGTAAGAACTCCCCGATCCCTGCTTTCTCTTACGGAATCAGCATCTCACCTTCACTCTAATTTCGCTTCCCCAAGGTTCGTCTCCGTTTGCATGTCTTACAAGACTACTTGCAACGCGAAGCTTTTGTTGCTTCAGCAACTTCTTGACTTGATCCTTCAACTTCACATCGGCACTAGCAGCTGCTTGTTCCTTCGGATCGACTACCTTTTTTGGATCAATTTTACCCTTCTTTTTTTTAGCGGACTTCCGCATCAGCTTATGAATACCAACCTAGGTAAAGACAACATCATTAGTCTTCGCAAAATAATCACTTTATCATGTGCTTTATACAATAAGGCTTCAGCTGAGGGAGATGAAACAGGTCGCAAAGTTAGTGAAAAAAATCAACTTAGAAGGAATACCAAATTCGCACACGACGAGCAAATTTGACAATACTAGAGACATGCGTAATGTTCAAAAGTTGTGTGATCACTAATCATTCAGATCAGATCAGAAAGAAAGGCCAACAGAATTTCCGATCGGCATGATTTCCACATCAAATTCAATGCGAACGAACCAAGCGTCTGAATAGGATCAGAGAAATATACAGAGCTCGGGATGATGGTTGGGACAATAGAGTGTAAAAAACTGACCTCTTGTTCTACAGCTTCGCCTATTTGCGCGGCCGCCGACACTACCTTCACACAGCCCCCATTAGACAGATCGCTCATCAACATTCCCATGATCTTGTGCATGGTGATAACAGCGAGCATGTCAGCCGGAAGCTGACAAAGAAAAGGTCCATAACCGGCCCTATGTTCGCGAAATTCCAGATTCTCCACTGCTTTCTGCTCGGCTTCTATGGCATTCTTCAGAGGCTCGAACCACCCTAGGACCAGGGACTGTACAAATGGCAGATTCGGAGCCAAATTCTTCTTGCACATTTCTAGCATGAGTTCCCGGTACTCGGCAGCAGCTGCTTCCCATGCTTTTGACTCTACGTCCATCTGCCGTTCGTGCAATTTTGAATACCGTTCTTTAACCTTCTTCGATTTAATACTGACGCTGCCGGCCTTGGGAATTTGTTCCTTAGGCTGCTCCTGCTCGTCGTCATCGTCTTGCTCATGTTCCAGTGCCGCAGCACTGGCAAAATTCTTTAAACCCAAACGGGGCTTTGGCGGCACGAATTGGCCGACAGTTCTCGGCCCCGATGCAGACTGATCCAGAACATCGGGGCTAGAATCCGATAGCCACTGCATCCACCATATCTGATTCGCGAGCAGTGGCAAGTGCACAGCGCTGTGCAATGCAGTATCGAGAGTGGACACACTCGCTTCTAGAGAATTTATGCTACATCTCGGTAAAATTGGGGATGGGGCGGAGCCGAACGACGAGACGGCCGAGGATGCAAGGCGATGGGATTGGAATTCCCATCCCACATCCGAGAGTTCTGCATTGCTCAATTCCGCTGCAGGTTCCGCGGCCGCAGCTGAAGTGCTGGTCGGCCTACAGCACCATAACTTCCAAGCTGCGGCGGAATCCTGCAGCCCGGCCCCGATCCTCTTCTGCTGCTGCTGCTGCTGATTTCGCGTCAGCTGGCGCACCGCTATCCTCCACATTACGTCCTCCAAGGGCTCGAGCGCGAGTCAATTACAGAACGATGTCAGCGCGTGCATGAGTAGCCAGCCTTGGGCCAAGCCCCATCGATCGAAGGGGGCACGAGACAAACCCACAGCAACCCTAAACCCCGACCCGCTCAAACCTAAGGGTCCGAAGGGCAGGCAGGGCACCCCTCCGAAAAGCGAGCTTCGCTCCTTGACAAGTGGAACCGTGCCTGCTTCGCTCGTTCGTTCTTCCCCCTCGCGCCTGCCCCCCTCGTCCCTAACGGGCGGCCGGGGCCCCGCTCTTTCCGTCCATCGCTTATACTGCGGATGGTGCCGTCCCTTGTGACCACTCGCTGACATGGATCCAGAAGTGACTGCGTTCTGTGCAACTTCAACTTTCAGAATTTTTCGTTTTTTGTTTTTTTGCGCCGATTAGAAGTTTCCATGACAAGTTCACGTGCTCGGAAAAATCGCAGGAGACATGTTTTGCGACCCCAGGAGTTTATTTATACAACGAGATTATTTTCCGAGGTATGTGTGGCGCTGAGGAAATTCGGTCCTTTTTTCCGAGCTGCAGGTTCGACATCTCTATCTTTACGTGTTTAAAAACATCTGAAACTTAGAAATTTGGATCATCGTTTTATGTACTTGCTTGATGCTGTCCATATCCATTTGGCATTTGCATGGTCCAATTTTCTCGGAAGATATTACTTTTGAATCTTTAACGATGAATGTAGACTACGTTTCTACTTAAATATGTAGTATGCAAAAAGAAAGAGAGAGAGAGAGAGAGAGAGGAAGCAGTCTGACAGGAAGATAGAACCCTTGAGAAGGTGTGCAGAAGACCTGATGACGTTCCGTCGATTACAGTACTCCGCTCGCCGTGAGTTCCATGGATCAAGACGATATGAAAACATGGCACGGTGCTGTGTGGCTCAGGGCAGTTAGATAGTTCAGAGTTTCTAAGTGGTGGAGTACGGTATGCCAAGTTTCCTATTCGGTGTCACTAGAATCTAGCACTATCTTATTATTGATTCGCTTCAGCCATACATGACTTGGAGAACAAATTATTTTAGACAACACCTTTTCATTGTTGCTCAACAGAAATCCTTTACCAACTCTACGCACTGGAAGGATTATCACATTAGGATGCAGAATCATCTGCTTGTTTGATCTCGATTAACTGGATATTGTACTTGATCACGATAATATTAGTTATAGTCCCTCGTATCCTCGTTATGAAGGTACTTTTATTGAGCGTAGCGGCTACCCTCAATAAAAAATAATTCCAAGGCTACCCGGTAGCCCCTGGATTCATGTTGGTATAATTCATCTGTTTACCTTCGTGCGGCCATGATTACTTCCTCTCCTTTTTATTATCAAGTTTTTTCTTCTTTCGGACGTCTTTGGTTGGTGACGAGGAATGCAGCATTGATAACTTTTGTATTTGGTGGAATGTTTAATAAAACTGTGATTGCTTCAAGGGATGTCGAGAATCAATTGTTTTTTTTTAAGAGATATCTGGGTCGCAAATTTATTAGACGGTGGTGCTCGATGAGCAAGAGCACGAGCGTGGCTATGAATGATGAATGGTGGATCAGCAGAACATTCTCCTTTATTTTGTCCCGCAACACAAGATTCTACCTGCTGCTGCAAAGAAAATGCGAGGAGATCTCGTTCTCGACGATATCTCCTCTTCACTCCTCAACTCTGGTCCTAATAAGGGATTGCAATTCCCCGCAATGGCATCAGGAATGGACCTGGCGGAGAATTCGCTCTTCTTGACAACACGGGGCTCTTAAATCGGATCCCCCGTCATCAGATGATGCTCATTGTGCGTCTGATTCTTGCTAGAAGTCCAAGATGGCGGTAGGTCGGAGTTCTGGATGGGCGATGGATGGTGCCATCAGATCTGATAGTTGATGATATTTGTGTGAATGTCGTGTGCATTTCTTCTCGAGCTTTGCAAGATGTTGTGGTTGGGACATTAAGAACAGCGAACTGGTGTTCTCAGAGTACCGCATCGACCGAATCGAGTAGTTTTGTTTACATGTCCAAGCGTTTGTAGTTCGATCGACACACGGGACACAGATATTGCTTGGCTCTGGTGTTCGGTTCGCTCAAGTCGTCGTTGAATTTCTCAAATGTCGAAATGCAGTCGATGTGGAACATGTGACTGCAACTCAGCCATGCCAGGCCCTTGTGTTTGGCCCCTCTTCGCAGAAGCTTTCCGATGCAAATCGGACACTCTGACTCGCCACGTTCCAGAGCCTGTGGAATCAGATCCATCCAAATTCTGTCAACTGCAAAAATTTAAACCTGTTCAAAGAAGTTCAATCCTCATTCCACTGCCCTTGCTTCCATTGGACTGTGATGGTTTCAAGCAATGGAATAGTTTCCACCAGGTTTCCTAAATGTTCAGGGACGATTGGGCTCAGGGCAAGGGCAATTATAAATGTGAAAACTGTGCATCTGAGAGGAGAAATCTGTTGGGGAAGATGGCGTTATACCCAATGAAGTGGAGAGAGGTGAGAATGTGGACCTTTTCAACCACATGATGCCAATCAACAGAAGACAGAGAGGACGATGAAGGATTGTTTCGTTGATGAAGCCCAGATCCTCCTCGAGCATCAGCTGCCTCAAAAATCTTCTTGGCATGCGCGATCGTGCTATCTACTTCTCGGCACAACGCATCGACTTCGCTTTCGTCTACTTCCATCTGAGACAGGATGGGTGTAACTGCATTTTCCAACTGTGACACGACATTTGGTGGGACACGATTAGAGAAAGAAGGGACGAAAGAGATCGTGGTCATGAGAGGAGGAGTGACTTCGCTTCTGACCTTGGAAGCGAACCACGCTCTGCGCTTTTGGGGATCCGTAGGACAGCGGAATTTCGGCCCGTAAACCTTTCTCGTCCTGTGACCTCGGAATGCTGTTTGTATCCTGCATGAATCAATTTGAGAAATGGTTATTTCTCAAAGCTTCTTTGCTCTGCGGTGATTGGCTCTATCCTTTGCCGGGCATTCTTGAGTACCTGGTGGCACAGAGATGCTTGAATTTTATCGAGTTATTTTTCAGCACCAGCTTCTCATAATGCGTAGTCCGGCAAACAGGACAGCAGGGCTGCACCTGTGAATACTTCTCAAAGCTGAGCACACAGGCCTGCCGCAACACAAAACTCATCGTTTGTCATTGCGAGTTCGGTGTCGTGTTTTCCAATTACAACTGTTGCTTGGAATTGAGCACTGTGCATTTGATGATCAGGAAGAAGTTAGTCGACGGATTTTTCAATTAAATTTGACCCCAATTCAAGCATGGACTGAGGAACAATTGTTGTCGTTTCTTACTCTGTGGAAAACGTGGGAGCAGCTGAGAAGAACCTGCCCAAGAGAGGAGAGATTTCAGATGTCACTATAATTTGCAGCGATTATTCTTCAGCAGAAGAAGCACACCATGCCACTTCCAGAATTCACCATCCATTTCTTCTGAAATCTGTGATAGAGCAAGGAAGAGAATTTTCCACCTGACGTGTTATACCTTCTCTTTGATCTGAAATTTTTCCTTGCAAATTGGGCATGGATTCAAACCGTCCTTGCGCTGTCGTGATAATTCCTTCACCTTCGTCCACTCCAATGGCGTCAATTGCGGTCTAGGTCCTTCTACAATTCCACAATGCTCCGCTGCAATGGCACGAAGCGGATGCTGGCGTGGGATAGGATGCCCACTGCAGTCGTCTTTGACATATCCATTGCAGTTTTCGAACGTAGTACAAATTGGAATAGCAGTAATACCCACCTAATGATAACGCAGATCTCCGTCGAGGACGACGATGATGTGAGTTTCCACTCCCTAGTGATTCCCACGTCTATAACCGTGTCCAGGAGGAGCATCAGATGCAAGCATTGAAGTTGTCGTTAGTCACTACGGCATTCTCAAACTGGCAAAATCTTCACTCCGACTATTAGATGCAAGCTTGGTCTCAAGAGTACCTCAAAAAGAGGCTGCTCTGTCCAAGTTGAGAATCTCCTCATGAAATGATCTTGAAAGGCAACAGAGTTGGCCACCTGCGCGAGGCCAGAAGTGTGCGTTTCAGAAAACTCGTCTTTGTGCAGGATGAAGTTAAATCTTCTCGTGCAGATGTTAGCTGTTGAAAAGATACTTACGTCGGTGATTGCGGCCGAGTACTTTCTATTACGAGCCCGCTTCATGGTGATGTGTTTGCCACCGCTCTCCCCTTTCGAGATGATGTCAAAAACCGGAATCGGGTGCAGTTGTTACTCTCCAGATGGTTTGCGAGAGTAATAACTGCAGAGTGTTCTAGAAGAAAGGGCGGACAGTACCGCTTCTTATATGAAGATTTGCAGATCCTGCTTCTACTCACGTCACCAGCGCACAATTCGTGTCATTGATTCGGACTCGTCACTCTCAAGACGAGTGATCGGCTAATTATAAGAACGAATAATGAGACGGCACAAATTAGCGGACATTGTAACTCAGTTGGGCGAATGGGAGTAGTTCAGGTGCATCGGTTTCGTTCACAGGCTCCTCCGAGATTCATCTCAATGTTTCAACACTCACAAAATGCTCGGAAGAAATGAAATGCCCACTGCATCCATGATTGGACTGAGTTCAGGCTCTCGTTGGAGGCGGCCGAAAGATCTGGCTAATTTTATAAAACGTGTGACTTTGTACAACACAGGCAGCCAACAGGTTGACTGACGGCCGTATAGAGGAGTAACTAATCCTTGTGCTGGCGGGCATCCCTGCCTCCCTCCCTGTACATCGTGAAACAGGATCTCACCCTGTGACGGTATAAACTCTAGCAACGCTTGAAGGTGACTCGTAAGAATGCTGGTGAGTCTGATTTTGGATACAGCATCTCACCGAATTTGTACACACGCAGGCTAGTGTACGCAGTACCTACACGACGGCTCCAACTGTGATGAGCCTCTTGCTCACTAAATTCTTGATTGAATCTGCTATGACTCGCGCACTGCTCTTCATGTATCCACCTGAACAAAGAAACAAAACTGTTGTCAGTTTCCTGGGTGCTAGCTGATGCCCTGAGAAAGCACCAGTGTGAATCTGGTGCATCAAGTTGGAGAGTATTCTTCAGTCTATTCTGTGTTTGTAAGGAAGCTCCGATACTTTGCCGTGACCTCTGAATGTCAACCATTCAAAGCTTGTATCTAGGCGAAGTCAGGAGGTTCGCGAAGGTGGGCTACGAGGATGGTCAATATTCGCAATTGCTAAATTCTACAGCGTCTCGTGTCAATACCAATGGGCATCTTCTCCATCCTCAATTTCTAAGCTCAGAGCACCTTGAGAGCTAACAAGATTCATCTTCTTGCTGTCTTTCACCTCTTGTGCCATAAGCAGTTTGAACCAAGCAAAATGACGCGTACCAAGCTTATTCACTACAAAAGCTAATGAAGTTCGTAGCAAGTCTTAACAGTTGGGTGACAAGTACTCACCAGAGGTAACCATTACGATAGGCACGGGATTCTCGTAAGCGTCTTTGGCGAATTCAAAAACTTTCTCGTCACGACTCGTGACACCGGCGGGAGTTACCTGTACACATGTCGAAGAATTGATGTCAGTGCTTTCTCGAACGACGATGAAGGAATACGACCAGCGTCTGCTTACTCTTCTTGCCGCATCGATTATGACTGTTTTAAGATATGATTGACCTCTTTCAACTTTAACACTTCATTTATACACTGGAGACCATAGATCCGAAGCCCTGGCTACGCGGTTCTAATTGCTCTCTTTACAAAGGTAGGTGAAATGCTCAGACAATAAACTCAGATCTTCGTGCTTTTAAGTACAATGAACACGAGGAGTTCGAGCTTTGAAGTCTAAGCTTGAGTGACGGGACTAAGAAAAGGACTCACACGAAGCTGGCCGAGGGGATCACCATCAAGAATGTCGGTCCCAGCATTATATACGATTAGATCTGGTTTGAAGGCTTGTTTTGCAATCTGCAACAAAGAAAAGTAAGGATAAAATGACAATAGCCAAGCTGACATACACGTACACAACGCGGTTGAATTTGAGCAAATTGTGGCAGGAACATACTCTCCACTAGATTGGATCAGATTCAATCCGTTGCTTTCATTTCATAAAGGCTGATCGTTTGAAGCTAGGATCGTGACCTCTGCTCACATGCTCACAAATATATGCAAGAACTCTGCTAAAGGATTTGGTTAGATGACCGTACTTGTAATTGTTCATCCAGAATCCGGAGGTAGTCCTCTGAGGAAGTTTGATTCTACAAAGCCATAGCAGTACAGCAGAGAGCAAATTTAGAGCAAGTTAATTCTGATGAACGTTTAACAGGAGGATGAAGCAAGATAAAGCACCACTTCCACCAACAAAATATATACTCCGTGACATGTGATTCTAGGATGTGCTTCTGATTCCACGAGATGCTTCAGATTCATAGCTGCGGTAAGATGGAATCAAGCATTGAATGTACTTGTCAGTTTACCCTGAGCTCCACCCGTTGATTGATTCTTATTTTCGCTTCTTCATCCTGCACAGTCAATCCCAACATGATCAACCTCAGCCTTACTGTTCCAACAGTTCCCAAGCAAATTTCATGTACTTCATGCAGACCAACGCGATTGTCTTCATTGCGCCCAACCAGGATTTCGATATAGGTGGTAAAAAGTGGAGTCTTACAAAGGGGTATATTTGGCTATTGTATATGTCAAGGATGTAGACTCTATCTGCATCACACACAACGATAAAATTGTAGTCTTTCGAACAAAGTAGTCCAGTCTCGAATTTAATATATTGTCTCACAGGAAGAATCAGATTCACTGCAAGCCTTCAAGGTGAAACAAACTTGAGATCTTTGATACGTAGTAACACAAATCTCTGACTTCGAGTTTGAATTTTGATGAGTTGACGTACCATCACCAACAAAGTCTCTCTCGTGACCATTACCCTGATGAGCGTCCAAATCAATAATCATTACCCTGATCGATTGTCAATGACAAGGCATTAGACGAAGAAACGTTCAACAACATTACATGAACGAACTCAAACATCTCAGCGCCCACAGTTTGACAGTAAAATGCACTGGACTGGCAAGTACAACCTCTTGAAGTCATCAACTGCTCCCCACAGTAGAAACAAAGACCAGCTACTGCTAGCAAGTCATTCAGCGACTGGTAGCAACCATGTGATTGTTGGCAGTGGGATGTCAATGATTGTGATTATTACTTTGCATTGAGAATTGCAGTGTGCGTTTGAACTTCTCTACAGCACATAAGTAAGGTTCAGAAATCCAGTTAGTTACTTCTTCGTAGCCGTAGTTGTTTAAGGCCAGTCTAAGTAGTCGAGTAAGCGGAAATAGTCGAGTGTGATACTTATAAAACCTCGAGCTCTTCTTTAAGGTTGTCAAACTTGCGTGCCAACCATGCTTCCAGTAATGGGTAAAACACCTTCTTCGAAAGTATCTGGTAGTCTGGGAGAAAAGTATAACATTTCTCGTAACTCTCTTTCAATTCTCTTGGCCCAGGTTTATCAACTAACCTGGTGCACACTGAACCGAGAGAACCTGATCGTACTTAGACTGAGAAGTAACTTTTTTACGTGAAGCAGACAGTTATAAGACAGTACCAACCTGGCAAAGGAAAGTCGGGTAAAAGCAAACTGGATACACAGCGTAATGTCAGCATATACGCAAAAGCCTCCTCCCTGTCCTCCACAGCAATGGTGAAAACCCCCACCTAGATTGATGGCCCAACCCCTCTCCTTGGCTACTTTTCCCGCGAGAACTGTTCCTCCGACCTATAAGAAACATAAAAGTAGAGGAAATCGTTGAATAATTTGTGAAGGAGAGAAATAAGTGGAGTTGGTACGAAGCTGAAGTCTGATGTTATGAGTAGCTGCGAATGACCAGCCATGTTATGCCTTCACGACATTACTTTGTTAAAATTGTCCCGATGACAAAACGTGCGATCAGATGGGAGGACACAGTTCTATAAGTACAATGTTGATAGTATAGGTAGGAGTTGTGCCACTTCTGACCTGATTTCGGAAGGGTTGAAGCACCCTGCTTTGAACTATGAAGTTTGGCAACAAGGCTACGGGTGGCACCTGCATACACATTAGTTTAGAAATAGAAGCAGTTATTACCAGACAACAAGATCAGCTACTGTCTGGTATAGAAATTATAAATAACATCTGAAGTTGAAGGTGTACAAATTAAAATAGTTGTTTGGATTAGTAAAGAAAGGAAGACATACCTCGATGATACCTGCCACAACATAGCTTTGCTTTAAACTCTCTAAGTACTCCTTGGAGTGCACCTACATGCGATGGGGCTAGAGTTTTAATGACAAGTAGCAGATATGTGAAAAGGCCAGAAGCATGGCAAGAGACCATCCTAAATATGCTTTGTACAAGAACGAGAAGCTAGAGAAGGTTCTTCTCAGTACATCAACTTCACGGCATGATTACCACAAGCAGGTCCTCCGCGGTGGCCTCTCGAGGTTCCACAATATTTCGTGCATTGATCACGTGTTCGTCGACCAGATAACTCTGTATGTGCCCCCACTTTCCAGCATCAAACGGATGCCTGGACACAATCATTGGAAATCAAGCAAGTAAGTTGCCGTTGCTGCATACGGGTTAAATAAGAGCGTTCCTAAAAATCTTGTTTCTCTTAAACTGGCACAATACGCTTCCAAAATTGGAAGAGAACCACTGGCCTTGCAGTAGATCTTCACCTGATAAAGCAAATCTGGCTGTTCCAGCACCCAAAGCGAATAACTCCAGGCAAAGGGTGCAGAACAAAGTTATCAACTGGACGCCAGAAAGAATGTCAAGGAAGAATACTCCTGGACCCTATATGACTGACAATTGCGTGAACTGGCAGAATCTGAAGCAAATCTGAGTACAGGAAGTTCAGAAAGCGATGGTTTAGAAGACCCACAGTTTCTCCATACCCATGAATCCAATGTTGTACTTTGAGGAATAAATCAACGGATCCTGAAATTACATCGCACCGTATACCCACAAAGGTCAACATGAGAACTTGAGGGAAAGCTTCGAATTTAAAACTCCATCGACTACTTCAACCAGTTTTATTTCAAGCCGATTACCACACAGATCGAGGTAATAGTAATATTTAAAGTATTATCACCAACTCCATCAAACACAACTAACAAATAAATTCATGGATCAGAGGCTCGACTGGTGCCAAAAATGTGGGAAAGCCTTTTGAGTTTAGTCATGTCATATCGTCAAATATGTGTAATAAGCTTGTGCATAATTAGAACAGACAGGGCAAAAAATGTCGACTAGGCTGAACTCGTATCCAGACGAGAATACACTAAGGCTGATAAACGTTCTCCACAACTAAGACGCTGATTTACTTTCCATATCAAAAGAGCTGAACTGAAGGCCAAGCCTGCTCCACCTGGAGATTCAATCCGAATCCTCTTTGTTTGATTTGTTTCTCGGTTACTTGGACGTGTAAAAGGGATTCAAAGATTGTTCGCATGGTGAGATGGAAGATTTAGTGTCCTTTTGAAAGCTCTAATTCCACGATCGTTCTACAGAACTGCCAAGTGGATTTTAATTCTCTGAATAGTCATGTTAAGGACATGACCTCAGACTTCACTCGTCGTTGCCGACGGAAGCCATCACTAATCTGTAAACGACTAACTCCCGGTACAACATCAGACCATTACCTTGTTCACTATGAAACGATTGTATCAATCGAGACACAAGGGAGGGGGAAGGAAAGACACGAGAATTACTGATCAAGAGAATCAGGACCAGAATCAGCCGCTATGAGAAGAAGGGAGATGCCAATTTGCTATTCAAGGCTCACTTCAATCCTGTACATGAACTGGTCGACAATTTTTCTGGAAAGATAACCAGGGGCGACCAAGAAACATCACAATTCTACAAGCTCATACATCCAAGATGCTCTGATTCTCGATTACGGAAATTTCCCTGAAAGATTTCGTTAGAGATAGTATCTTGGTAGCTGCATACCCGACAAGTCTAAAACAAGTACCGCGTACACTGAGGCTAACAAACGATTACCTTACTTGGCGGAACATCAGCGTAAAGGGTACTTGTTCGAATTCTTCTTTCTCTCAGGGATTCCTGACTATCGGCTTCATCTGAACTTCCACCGTCAAGTTTCGCTGCTCCACCCGTTGTCATCTTCATAATTCTCGCTCGTAATTGAGCGAACGGGAGTGGATAGCATTGCACTGCAAAGTTCCCCATGGTCGAGTTTATAACTCCGCGGAGTGCACGCGCATTGAACAATTATCGTTCTATCTTCGTGTTTGTAGAGCCGTCGTCATTCCATCAATGTACACAGTGGGTGCCTCGAGATCAATGCCTGCATGGTGTATCCTTCCAGGTCATGTGTGCAATTATTGAGCAAATCTCTGTGCCCCTTATGCGGCTGGTCTGCAAGGTCTCTCAAAGCCCAAGCTGAGCTCACGATCACGTCCTCTGCTTGTCACCGGCCTCCATAAACTCCTTCGTGTTGTGGTGTTGCAGATACACGAGGAGCGAAGTGGATGGCAAATACGAATCAAAAGTTGCAAGGCAGTGCACAGATCCCTCACTTGCAGCTTGCTCTCAGTGTAGGCCACGATGTCCGGAAGAGCAGGCCAACGTCGGCTCATGCACACGACTGTCTATAACAGAATCTGAGCGCTATAATAGATGTTTCATCGGTCACCTCGAGCGTTGTACATGGCCTGGGATGGAGCACTCAGCGTTGTCACCGAGAGTACCATCGTACTTCTGATTCTTTGTGGGGAAAAGCCAGTGCAGAGTTGTACTCTTCCTCCTGCCCAATAGATCCCAAGCTTGCGGCAGGAGGTTTGACTTTCTCGTTATGTTGTAGTATTGTAACGTATTTCTCATAAAAAAGTCTTTATCCTGAGCCCGAGGAAGAATGAGTCAACTCTTCGCAACTGTCTGCCCATTCCTGTGGCCTTCGTTCCTCCCCCGTAAGTCTCACGCCGGGCCACCTCTGATCTCTCAGCTGCGTTTTGTCCTACTCCAAGCATATCAAAAGCACTGCGATGAAGTGGGGACCAGTCAAAATGCTCAGGGTGAGTAAGATAGATGCAAGGACGAGTCAACCAAGGCAGTTTGACTGGTTTCAGATTATGCTTGGAAAGTCTTATCTTGTCTCGACATTTGAAGGCAGCATATGGGAATCTTAATAAACATTGACAAAGACATACAAAAAGATAACTAAACTTAAATAGACTGAAATTGAAAGGAAAAAAAAAATGGAATAACCGTGTGTACGATACGTAGAGAAAATAGACGGAATATAAACATTTCCGAAACATCATGAGGGCAATTGAGTAGGTTGCCAAAAGGTCTGTAATATAGCTTCGGTGTACCATGAATTAGTCTGGAACAGATCGCTTATCATGACTGCTGTCAATCATATGAGTAGTCGGGACTTATCCTTAGAAGGTTGTAAAAAACTGTTAAACTCAATGTCTTTACAACATTGTTTGCAATATATTGAAAGTTTGTGTAGATATTTCATTTCAGTGGGTTGGCTAAGGCCAGTTTTCTTTTACCCTTTCTGTTGGCATGTCTTCGCAAACTAGTAATCAAGGGATCGAGTTTGAAAGTGATCGAGTAAAACTGTTCCCAGATCGCAGACCCGGAACACAACTTTCTCGCCATATCGGTTCGATGAATTGTGGTCGACCGAAAGAGTTCTAATGAAGTTTTAGATTTAACCTCGAAACACTTATGAGGACTGCGTTTCCATTCTCATTGTCCATGGCTGTTACCCGAGGGTGACCTTGTGACTGAGACTCTAAACTCTAATCAAAGTAATAACTCCGAAACAGGTGTTCAGTACGTGTCCTCAGTCCATGTTAGTTGGATTCTTTCTAAACTTTATTTGAATTTTGATGTACTTACAACGTCGAAGGAAGCCTGTTCAGAGGCGCATTGTAAATCTCGGGTGTAGACACTTGTTATCGCAAAGAGAATTAACACAAAGACAACCTGTGCACTCATTATTCCAAAATGACTTATAGTTTGGCCAATATCTAACCAGCTACCAGTATTTCGTACCTGCAGACAAAACGTACAGACTGCGTTAGCGAGAGGACATACAGGAATCCGAGCAAGCATGCATCTCATTGACAAACACTTGCGTTGCTTGCACAATACTTAATGTCAACTGGACTGAATGAAGAGGATTCTCAGAGATGTGAAACTCACAAGGAAGAAAAAGTGAATGGTCATCACATCGGACAGTAATAGAACTAGAAGATAGCAGCCAAATCTGGGAAGTGTCAGCAGACGCGTTACTGCACTAAACGCAGACCTGTACAAACATTACGCCCAAATTTGTCACTGAGTAAAAACTTCAAGAAAATCAAATGACAATGGCAGTCCAAGGAAACAATCGGGGTCTTGAAAGCGATTGTCGAGAAATTGACTTTTACTAGGACGAGCTGGAAGAACCTTCTTTCGGCTGTACTCCGCTGACTTCTGATGGTCTAAAAGTTTACCATGTTTTCCAAACAAGAATCTCTATCAAATTATGACTCTTCTTCCTGATAGGAAATATGCATGAAATCGAATGCAGTAATTTATTATCTTGAAGATGGAGGAAATCTTACGTCACGAGGATGAAAGGTATGAAAACTTTGCACAGGAGTAAAGCCCCCATAATGAAGGGCTGCAAGTCGGAAAAACATGTTAGTACTCTTTCTAACGGCCGATGATCTCAAATATTGGTGTAGCATTTCAGCAAATGGACAGAAGCGAAGAAACAAGTTATAAAAGCTCAAACGTACACAACCGGAAATAGCAAGTACAGCAGTCAAGTACCGAGCGCTTACATTGAATACTGTTATGAAGCGGTAAACAGAAGATATTTCGAAACTGGCAACACTGGCCACGTTTCCAGTGCCAAAAAAGGCAACGTTGATCAAAATGAGCTACATACAAACGTTAGAAGTACACATGTCAGCAAGTATACAGAGTCCAGAAAGAGTAGCTGACACTTTTGTCGCCGACAATCAATCAAGAAATTATCTGCAGCAAAAAGCTTTCCAAAGATGAATCTTTATCTATTTCAAGCTGCAGGAGAAGAGTCAAATGAAAAAAACTTACGAAGCATACGGCTACTCGCACATCCATGAGCTTAAGAGACTGTCTTCGTGTCTTTGAGTACTTCTCCTCCACATCATGTGAAGGTAAAGACTCAATTTCACCTGATGGACCGAACAGAACAGCGGATTCCACGAGAGTCCAAGACAACAGCACCATCGCCAATGCTGTGTAAAAGAGTGACTCATATCTGCATAAGAACCCAATCAATCACTCGAGGAGCAAAGAACGGAATCGAGACGTCACTGATAGAGATGAGTCCAATTAAGCTCGTACTAACGTCTACACCATGTCCATACTCAATTCAGAGGCTTGGAAGACATCTGAGCAATTTGACGCTAGCTAGTGTAATTGTGCTAAATAAAAAGCCAGCATCATAAGGAACTGCTGCCTGTTGTACTAACCCGATAGAAAGTAGTAGGAAGGGAGGAGCAAAGCCGAGGTATATTGAAGTGAGTCGTGTGAGCATGCTCCGAGGAGAATACAAGGGTAACAACATAGAAACTCCTGTTGTGAACAAGTGGTTGCGTTAAGAAAAATTAGGTCTGTTTTTGATATAATGTTGACTTCGAGAAAAAGAAGAGGAAATATGTCTGCGGCCAGTAATCCAGAAGTGTAGACGGATACGTACCAGAAATAGACCAATTTGTGACTTGATAAATCATCGGCAATTTTCTCTGATTCTCTCTATGTGAAGTAGTTATCCAGACCATCATGGATGAAGCTACAACGAGCGACACCTGCAAAAAGATTCAGGTACCTAGAGGTTATGATGCGCTTGTAATCACATAAAACAGATAAACATGAGCCTATTCTTGGACCAGACACATTGTTTCAGACTAATGAAAGAGTCGCTTTAGAACTGAACGCATTTATGATTCAAAATGTGAAAGAGACAAACACATACCTGCAAAGCAAAAAGTATCCAGCTTTTGTCTACTCTGCGCGAGTAGCCCCACACTAGAGGTCGCCAAAATAGAAGTTTCGATTGTCTAGAATCAATCCACCTTGCAAAAACTGCGAGGGTGACAACAGCGAGTCCACTTCCCACACTGCACGACAATCACAAGTAGTAGATTACTAGATTATATAATTAATTCTTCAGGATTATCCCCTAACAACCCGGAGGATGATATTAATATCCACTTCTCTCAACTTGCCTCAGGAATGAGCAACCCGTAAGATTTTGAAGTACAGCGACAAAGACTGGAGAAAAGTTTCTTACACAAGGTAAGTGTTGTCAGCTATTTGCACCGGCATAAGCGTGAAACCAGCGAGAAACCAGCATGCTGCCCAAACAAAGGCCGGTACCATGGAAAGACCGGGAGTGTTCCATGAGACAGCCACCGCACCTATCACACCAGCAGCTACAAAAACTGCTGTGTAAACCTCTCTTTGGAAAAAACTTTGGACCTGATTCAAGCAGTATTAATTAGAGGATTGTCCGGATAGTAGAAAGAAAACTTTGCTAAATATAGGAAGGAGTAGGCTTGGCAAAATTACAGAGTAATGAGAGTCACATGTGATCAAATCACTTAGCTCTGTGAGCAATACTCACCAAAAGTTCCATTACCAACAAGGAAGTGGCCGCCATTGCAAAGAGCTTGGTGAACCAAGAAAGTTTGGAGGAGAAAAGTATGTTGATGACTTTCAGTATACTGGTAGTATCACCTAGAACTTCTGTCCAAAAGAAAACTGCCAACCCAAGGTAGACATGATACAGTGGTGGTGCCAGTTCAACAAGAAGAACTATCGAGCAGACTCCCATCAAAGTTCCTCCAGCAATACGTATCTACATGGGTCAAATTTTGTCAGTAAAGCAGGTAGTCAACTAAGATAACCCTGTCACCTGAGGAAAATCCAGCGACCATAAAAGAAGCAACGAAAAGGTAACAAAATGTTCAAAGAAATACACAAATTCAGCTGCATGAAATGTTCTTACATGTCTTCTGCTATTTCCAGTCACCCGCACGTTGCGTTTGTTTTGCTGGAATGAGATAGTCGAGTAAGTTTTCAGTAAATGCAGAAGTATATACAGCATCCAGCCCACATAACCGGCCACGATTGTGGTCATCAAAAACAGCCAATCGTAGGTCTGAAAGTAATGTAGTCCAGCTAGTGCGAGCTGAATAAGATTGTGTCCACTCTCTATAGCCGATTCGTATTGACCTTGAGCGATATCTCTTTCAATCTGTTCCAACAAGCTGCTGTAGTCTAGCAACGGTGGAAAGGGTTTGAAGAAGAGAGATGACGCCTGCTTCAAATCTGCACCAGAATGTCAGTTTCAGTAGCACACTATGGCAAGAACTATAGCTAAGCGGAAGAATATCCAGATCTGAATCACTATTCACTGATCTAAGGGCTTTGACTTAGGCATAAAAGTTCAGGTATGTCCGCTCAAACTGTTTTCCATTTGACCTCTCTCTTTGACATGTTAGAATTAGTCTGAAGGTTGATACCTGACTTGCGTAGAACTTGATTAAGAATTTGTTTGGCATTTGCGAAGACAACTTCCGCTTGCTCAACCTGGCACAGGTCAGTCAAGTTCATCAGTACCAAGCCTTCAGATGACAATGAAGTCGCCTCACTCACAATTTGTTGAGACAGAAGTGACCTAACTATAACATCGAATCTCAGGGCCCAGCTTGGAAAAATGATTGTCAAATTTGACAAGTTTATTTCAGCTGTTTTCATAGCTGTTTTCAGCTGTTTTCAGCTGTTTAAACGCCATAGCGTTGGTATTTTCAAAGACGATCAGATACTTCGGTGACACTATCTACGGGAGAGAGAGAACGAACGGAGAGCTCACCTTTCCAAGAGCTAAGTAGTCCGTTGGTACAACGCCGACCGAGTTCATGGGGCAAGGTAGTCCAAGAAGACTAGACTGAGATTCAGAATCAGCGCACAAAATATTAGAGCAATTGAATGTACATTGCATGCATACACAGATAAAGAAATGTATACAAATGTCAGCTTTCTCATCGTATTGGATGTCTACTCTAAACTAGGTTGAATACGCAATGTATTCTTCGTAAACTTCTCACAAAAAGACATACTTCAGAAGGTGGATGCACTCTTTACCATCAGGGGCGCTATATCACCCTGATTGACATCTAGACGCTCCAAACCTTTCAGACCCCAACCATCAGGAGTTTCCATATGATGACTGTGTTCATCGACAAATTTAAAGCTATCTTCCTTTTCTTGATGAGGCTTCGCTCGACTTGGTCCTCTAACGCCAGCTCCCCAAGCAACCAAAGGAGTCTCAGTATTTGCAGGGTCTCCATCACCATGACTTCCTGCAAATTAGAAAAAGCTTGATGATGTAAGAACCTCGATCAAGCAACACGCACAACCAACATATAGAATAGACCGTATGCCAGAATACACCGCAAAGGATCCCTCGCGAGTAGCACGGTGGTTGACGTCAGTATGAGCTTTATTTCTCCCGACTGGAGCTAATATATATTTATATGAATATCTATACCAAAAAACAACTAACTCACAGATCAACAAAGTTAAATTATGCAGTTTACTGCGTTATCTGCACTTCTGGAACAAAATAGTTTTAACAAGTTTTCCTTATTCCATACGCACCTTTGTTACTCATTCCATGATCAGCAGTAAAGACATATGCTGTTCGTCCATCGGGAAAAATTTCTTCCATCAGCCGCACCGTTCTCTCTATTCCTTTGTCTACGACGCGTATATTGTTCAGGTAGATGGGAGAGTAGGGACGATGAGCATGCCCATTGGTGTCACAGCCGAGTAAATGCAGGAACACAACTAAACCGTCCCCTTCAAGCTTTTGTCTCAGATCACTTTCGGTTCTCGACCTGTTAAGCAGGTCCTGGAATTTGTCAAAAGCCCAATCGTCCAGAAAAGATGCATCTGTTCAAAGAGCGCGTATTAATCATTTGGGAAGACGTTGTTCTTTACCCCACCTTTTCAATTGTAAGTTTCATCCTTTCGGATACTGAAATGACTTGCTTTGTGAGTAGCATCCATCAGTGTCTACATACGACATTCTCATTGACCTCTTTTGTCAAAACATCACTCTAATATTGAGGATTGTCTAAAACGATACAGCTCCGGTTCACAGATGTTTTGCTGAACAAGAACACGAAAATGTTAAGTCACCATACGCTGGACAAACGTCATAAATTCAATTGAGATGGATGGACGAACCTGTAGCAAAGTCCTCATATTCATGCGAATAAGTATCCCAGTTCGTGTTACTCAAGGCTCCGCAGAAGATTGGAACAATGTCTGGGCTTCCAAATGATACAGTGTGCCTACTTCTGTTGAATACAGAGTCAAACTCCACAGGATTTGCCTTCCAGCCTACAAGCAAGATCAAGTTATTGATAGGAATGCCAAACAATCTAAAGGGTTATGCATGCCATACCCAACTTCCACATCCATGGCTGAATCTCGTGATTACATTTTCAGAAATATGGAAGGTTGTATAGAGCTTAAGTTGAAAACACGAATAAGCACAGTGAAAAGAATCACCTTTCGTAACAGCACTCGGATCTTCGTAAAACCCAGCAATGATGGCGACGTGACCAGGACGAGACTCTGTCGGGGGTCTAGCATGGGAAACACCCCAGCGTCCTTTGCTGTGTATGATACTATGCAGAAAAGGAGCTCTTGGTTTGTCATCCTCCAGCTCGAAAAACTTGTCCGCCCGCAATCCATCAGCTGAAAAAGACACCAAAAACGCCACATTCATCAGGAATATCTACGCAGATGCCAATGGCATATCAAAAAGCTGCATGAAAGTAAATTATCGCTATTCCAGCTACACGTCTTCATTGTAGACACACCTTGTAGATGATGAACCTGGGCAGACTATCACAGAGATGGAGACCAAACATAATTATGTATTTTAAACATAATCGAAATAGCACATTTCGCCGAAATAAAGAAAATGAAGATCATTTTCGCCAAAGATTGCAATGAAAATTTCTTCCACGGTCACAACACGGAGCGTCTGGGATCCGCATTGATATCTATAATCGAGCCATTCAGCTCGTCACTACTAAATGGACCTGAGAACAGAGTGCATCAGAATCTGAAAGCGACAGTAACTGACCAACAAAGAGCACGAGTCGTTTGGCAGGTGCATCGATCCGAGGCGCAACAGGCTCCATGCCATGAATTATTGGGGTCTTGAAGTAAATGTCAAAAATACTGAGCATGTACGCGGAATGCACCAGCACGCCCAGCAAGACCAATCCGACCTCTGTCTTTCCCGCCATTCTCACACACTTCCCCGTTCTCCTCCTGAATCTCCAAAGCAGCCGATCTGTTGTTATTCCAGCCGCCCCGTTCCGAGCCTGATCACTCCATCGATCGACGACCGATCCATCGATCCATCGAAATCTCTGTCACTCTGTTTGCCTGGCATTATCAAATTGCGCTTGCTCGCTCCCACCTCCCTAACTCTGCGGTCGAGTTCAGGGTTCCAGGGCCGAACCCAAGCGCACCCGTGGTTCAAACCTCAGGTCACCGGGACCTTACCAGACCAGACCAGACCAGACAACGTCGTAAGGAACCCCCTTGTCGAGCCACGCGTCATTCAATCGGAAGTGCTCCAACGCTCTGCACAAACGACAGCACTGGGACTGGACCTTAACTGCCGTTGCAGTCGATCGAGTTGGTGACCGTCTACGGGCCACTTCCGGTCACTACTTCTGCTGCCTCCGCTGGCCCTCGCATACCCCTCCTAACAGATGCTCGTTCCCCTTCCTCGTGATATATATATATATATATTTATGTATGTGTCGATCTGAGTGCAAGAATTGTGGGAGAGGTGGAAAAAGGCAACGCATCACTTGCAGCACTTGTGCAGAAAGTCCCTTCCACTCGAGGCCCGATCTGCCACGGATTTAATGTATTGATTTAATGTGCATCTCTTCAGCTCCCAAGTTCTTTTTATTGGCTTATCGGATGGGACATGTTCCTCTGTCCAATGCAGGTCAATTTAGCGTTTTAAGTGGAGGGGGAGGGACCCATCTTAATTTGAGCCCTGGACCTTGGGCAAATCTCCGCCAGGCAGTCGGAGACTGGAGAATATCGATGGCAGAGCAAGAAATCAAACCGTCTGAGCGCTTTTCGGTCATGAGGAACCCATGGGTGCGGTTGTTCGGCCATGGGCGCACGAAGCTGTCAACTTGCAGGCTTCAGGTGATGGAACACTTATCCGGGGCAGGCCGGAAGATTATGAAGGCCAACCATTATTTAGTTCGTACTGGAAGTGGAAGGAGGATTTGATTTGGAGCTCGGGGTGCGCTCAAAGAAGTGGAGCAGCTCAAAAGCGGCTCAGTGACTGGTCGATCTCGCCATCGCAGTTGCAGGGTACGTCGGTCGAATGTCCTCGGGCTCGATCTCGGTCTCGCACAATTGTCCACGTGCTCTTGATGGTCGTCTATCCGTCGAGCGAGGGCTCTCGTGCATCCCCCGTGTTGTGGGAGACGGTGGATTCGGAAGCTGCGTGACATGGCCGCGAGTGAGTGAGGCAGGCACGAGAATGAGAATGAGAATGAGCGAGACCTGAATCAGAATTACTCGTGAATCTCAAAAGTTTCGGAGTGCCGGGCAATTGATAAGCCTTCTCCTTCTTGAAGATCTTCCTGCCACATTCGTAACCATAGCGCAGCGCACAGGACGGGGAGTGGTTTTGGAACAGCTTAATTTGAGATTTGAGATAGAGCCATGGGGACCACGACCCTGAGGATCGTGTTGCCAGCGTCGTGGGCCTGTCCAAAAGCTGAAGCAATTCAAGTCCAGAGTAATCGGTATCTACGTAGGCCGACGACAGTGGTGGACTTCGGAACCAAGCTGCAATGTCGGACACATTTAAGTCGCGCTTCTTCTTCTGTAATTGGAAATGTGGAGATCCCCGGGACCTGTCAGCTGAGAAGAAGAAGAAGTACCTCTCGCACGAATTCTCAGAGTTGCATTCCTCCCAGTATTCTGTCTTGCACGTCCAGCAGCTCACGCATCACATCATGCAATATTCCAGGTCATGAAGAATACAGTTTTTTAAGCCATGTTATGGCAGGAGACATCTCCTCGATTATTCTCCTCACATTCTTCCGCCAAATTCTTATGCGCAGAATTCTTTTCTTCGCATGGGCCGGCGAAATGGGTCTGCAGCGCTGTGGATTCGGTGGAGCAGGGAGAAGTCCGTCTGGAAGAAAGGGATGCACAATGTGAACTTGTAGAACCGCTGCGACAACTAGTGGAGCAACGAGGGGGCGATGTCGAGGTGATTCTTCGTGCTCTCCTCAAATCCTGTTTTCTACAATTCCACAGCACCGTCGCGTTCTGGCATGGAAGGAAGGGCCCGGTCAGTTCCCATCCTCTAACAATCTTTCATTGTCTTTGTGAAGTCTGCCGATGATCGAGAACTGTTACGGTTCCTGCGATCAAGGTCCATGGACATGGACAAAGCTGCAGCCGCATTCGTCAGTCACCAGAAATGGAGATCAGAGTATGTCCCAAAGGGCAGATTCACCGAAGCCGATTTGCCCACCGAGCTCGACGCAAAGAAGTCATACTGGATAGAGCAGGACAAGAAGGGCCGTCCTGTGCTCCTCACTCTCGGCCGCAACCATGTCTACAACAAGCAGGATCCCGGTGAATTTACGCGTGAGTGCTCCAGAGCTCTCATCCTCCTGTATCGTCAATCAAATGCTGAAGCATGGAATCCAAACCATACGAAGTCTCTCATGGAACCGCTCAATTGATCCCCATCTCAAATTCAATCCTATTTCAAAAGGAGACGGACGTGCATGTGAAATTTTTATACAATATTAAAACAGCAAATTGTGTGACGTTTCGACTCGAAGGAAGTACTCTGATTGTCAGTTTCAAAGTGTGCCGATCAGGTGGAATCGGATTGAAAGCCATTGGAGTGAAGCAGTTGCGCTCACGTTGTTTCAGCTCTCGTGGTTTGCAGGATTCCTAGTCTATGCACTCGACAAAGCTATAGCAGGGTGAACTTCTCCACGTCCTGAAACTTTCTTTGGAGCATACTGTCAGAGCATGCGCCATCTCCAAAGCACGTTATCTGTTTCTACGGTCTAGCGTTGGGACTTATATCTGGGCATTTTTGCAAGCAAGCACAATCGTGTCCAATTCGTTGTCTGGTTGCCAGCATTCCCGACCACCTTAAAAATCTGCGACCAGTGCAATTAGCAGGGGATTGATCAGCATTTTTTCCCGCAGGGCACCTCCGAACACCCACAACTTTCTTACCGTTGTCGACCTGAAGGGAATTGGGGTGAAGAATTTAGACTCCAAGTCCTTGTTAGTCGCCTTCGAGGTGCTGCAGGTATTCGCTCCATCATCCTCCTTTCGCAGAGCCCTCCGTCATTGTCCAACAGTATGTGGTACCAGATTCCGTGAGTGCCACAACTTCTTCTCTGAACTAGTCTTTCCATGTATACCTTCGTGCACAGAATCACTACCCTGACCGGATCGACAAGATTTTCATGGTGAACGCGCCTTTGATATTCAATGGACTCTGGAAAGTTGTGAGTAAACTCATCGACGAAGGTACGAAGAAAAAGGTGAGTCCCAAATCTTCTCTGATTCCCTTTCATGTTTCTGTCAGCCTAAGAAAGACTCTTCTCTATTTTCTTGCACTATCTGATTTCCTCATTTCTTTGTACTATGGTTGCAGATTATATTTCTTAACAATAAGAACCTTACCGAGACCCTTTTAAAAGAAATAGATGCCGAGTTCTTGCCCAAAGACTACGGCGGTAATGCTGACCTGCTTCTCTTGCAAGATGCCATTGTCTCCAAGGGGCCCGACGCTCCTCTGGAAACTGCCGACCAATCATCTTACCTCTGAAAAAGTCCGACCACTGTTCTGAAACTTGAGGTGGCACCATAAAGGCACACTGCGCCGGTAGAGTTGTGTAAGGTAGGAGGAAAGTTTTGAAGCTTCGAGTGGGCAGGTAACGAGAAAGAACTGTAAATACTGTGTAACACTTTCCAAGGAAGCGAGCTTACATGCGAATGTTTACATTCCGTGACGTGTGAGTTCCATCTTTTTATTTCTTCTACACTGTCTAAAATGGTAGCAAATTAATTATCAAGTTTTATGTCGAAGGGAATTCTAGTACTTCATCGTACCTACACAACTCCATGATGTGGCGAAAGAACATAAGAACATCATCGGCGAGCCTAGCTCGACGATGTAATCTTTCACTTGTACGGAATCAGACGGTAAGGTCGCCTGGAGACGAAAAGAAGTTTTGTTCGCATCTGCCCGCATCCCCCATTTCTCCCAAAGTGCGGACAGGTATCTATGAAAAAAATTTAAAATTTTCGTACGTATGATACAAATGGGTAGGTGTATGGAGAAACTCCCACCTCCAGGTATTTTCAGTATGTACAAAATCAGCATTCATCAATGTATTCCGTAAGTGGAACATATTTGTGTTGCTCAGCTCATCTGATCAGAACTCGACTTCTCTAGATGCTTAGCGCTGGCTAGTCAGAATCAGACATATCCGTCGCTTCACCATCTGCATCTTGCGAAGGCGAAGCCCTGACACTTTCCCCATCATCGGTGTCCTCATCCGGAGCGCAAGGGAAGGAAGGGCCACCGGAACCGAAATTGTTGTTACTGGGTACAGCTGGAATAGTTTGAGAAGGCTGACCGTTTGAACCTTCACCCCCGGTTGAAAAGTTTTCAATAGGAGGAGTGCTAACCAGTTTGACATAGCTATCTTCCAACTTTGCTAACTTCGCAATTATGTGTCGTTTCTCTCGTTCAAGCGCCTCCTTCACAGACAATAGCTCCTTGCGACTCTGCTTTTGTAGTAAATTCATGGTCGAAGCAAGAAGCGTCTGCACAACACACGTTGACTAATTTATTAGTTCTCAATTTGAAGATCAATTCCCTCCCTTATTTCGTAAAACATGAAGGCGAGCATGACGAGTCTGGCTAAGTAATTAACTTGATCCCAGTCGCTAGAAAGCAAATCTGCTGACGTGCATGACACATGCTAAGCCCTACCTTGACTTCCAAACGTGAACTCATATCACAATCTACAGTTGAATCAGCTGTAACATTGGCAGTCGTCATCTGGCCAGGAGAAATCGGCTGACCGCCAAAACTGAAGTCGAGATCGTGTATATACTTTGCGTCAAACGCGAGAAGCTTTCTCCAAGCACTTTCGGCTTCCAAATTGAAACCGCTTCTGGACTTTGTTTCTACACACTTGTAAACGTCATCGTACAAACGTCCCCATAGTGATACCAGAAGATCCACATCTCCGGATTCGTTGATGGTCGCTAGACGCTTCTCCCACTCCTCGTCCGTCATCCCCCCAGGATCTGTCAAGAGCAGCGCGTATCTAAACTCTCGAAGAAGATGAGCAAGTTCCTGATACCGAGAAAACGCGATGGAACGGTCAACTGATGCGGAAACTTCTAAAAGCTATTGAGTAAACTAGTGGATTAATGAAGGTAGATCCACGAAATTAAATTTACATTTTTCAACAACTGGACAAATCTTACCACCACTGTGCAGCTCGTTCTCACACATTTTCGCCAACTGATTCGGTCAGACCTCCAACTATTGAGCAGATAAGATCGAGGAATCTGCTTTTCTAATTTCAGCACGTCCTTCTTCATTATTTGACGAATCTCTTTCGTACTTTTGAGCTTCAAATCCCTTCCGTGCTTTCCACCCCCTGAAACTGCACCTTGAATATCCTCGGAGTGTGACTTTATAGACTCCAGTTCCAGTTCACTGGATTTGCCTTCAGCATGTATGTTCTCTAAGGTCACAGTCCCATTATCACCTTTTCCTCCGCGTCTACGGTAGCCAGAACTGTAAACCTGTATCGCGAATACATGCAATTATGCAACCTTTCATGGTATACGTACACCTTGTAACTTCATAAAGCCTTGCGGGCTCAACTTTCTACAATGGGCACTAAGTCATCATAAACAGCTCACATAGCTAATAATATAGGAGAATACAGGGCTAAATACAGAATATATATAAGAGTGATATTTTACCTTCCTGTATGGATCTGTATCCTGTCCACAAACTCCAGTAGATAAGGAGATTCTAGAGTGCAAGAAACTACGCTTAGAACGGGTCCGTAACAGCTCGATTTCATTCTCCTGGTCCTTATTCCCCGTTGGAGCTTCATTCTCGGAACCATTTCGACCGGTATCTATCAGGGAAACAGAATGTTCGTAAACAAAGATCAGTCTCATAGTTTTCTGTACAAAGTTGAGGCTTTAAAGAGGGTTAACAGCAAATGAACGTGGGGGAAGCTGACGATGGTTGTCACAAAAAGTTCAAAACTCGAAGTAAAAGCTCAACAAGGTGAGAACCTTGCAGGAACATCTGTTCGTAGTCTGTGCAGAATGAGGGCGATTCGTGACACACGTGAAACAATAACTTACACTTCTTTCATTGAGTTCTATGCTATTTAATGTAAAGGAAAATGCAAAACCTGTGGACAGTATCTTTGATGGCAAAACCTGTTCACCATTCAATGTATGTGTGTCAAGGAAGTCGATCTTTGCTCCGTCCCATAACTTAGCACTGGTGTCACTCTGCGAACCATCTTGTGCCATCTGTTCATCACCAGATTCATCGTGGAAAGTACTGATTCCATTCAGTAGGTCAGTTCTGAACTTTTCCACCATAGCATCAGAAACTGATTGACCGGCATCTGCAGAACATCTCTCCAAATTTGAAAGTGGATCCCTGGCATTTTCAGATATCATGGGTCCGTCTTCCGAACTGCCGATGCGATGTTCGACTTTCCTCAACTGCAGATCGTAGCAGTTCCAGTGAATATAATATACATCAGAAATCAGCTCGCGCACTGACAAAGTGAAAAAGATCTAGGAAACATAAACTACTCATACATAAAGAGGCAGTCTCCGAAGTCGTTACGTCTACTTTGAACTCAAACTCTTTAAGGTCAAGGGGGCAAATTCTCAGTGATTGTGATTGAAGAGAGAAATGACCTGACTGCCTGGAAGGACCTCACCGGAAGCTTTGGTCAGAACACCGCTAATCGAGTTGCTCACTCCACAAACATCTATTGGTGTACTGGACGAGTATGGGAGCCGAACAAAGTCCCTTTCTGAGGAACCTGCTACACTGATATTTGTCTCAAGACCATGATGGCTCAAAATGCCGTTTGCAGCATCCCGTTGACTAGCAGCAGATCCAGATTCAGGTTCTGTATCAATTGAGGACTTGGGTGTACTTTGTGGTAGGTCAAAAGGGCTACCAGAGCCATCTCCACATTGATCGGAAAAATACTCCATGGCGGATGTGTAAGGCATCTCCGTATCTGAAACAAATTACACTCACTTTTAAATAGCAGTGGCCATTCAAGGTGATTGACGTCCTCTAAATCAAGTTCTGATCGCTTGCCTGTTTGACATAAGAGATCTTCACTTCTCTGACCTTCAACTGCCATATCGGACCATCTATCACGAAAAAATATGAAAACAGTCAACAAACCTTGACTTAACGAAAACAGACATTTCTAAGCCGATAATGGGCCTCATCAGCAAATCTGAAAGACAACGGAGTGTTGTACTAGTGTTGAAACTTCGAGACACCAAGCAAACCGAAGCCACTTCTACTTTAACAAAGCGTATTTGATACAATCTGCCCCCGACTTATGAACTAACTCAGTGAGGCCAACTCTGAAGTTCGCTGGTAGACAAACTTGAAGTTATGAGAATCAGAAGTGTGTGCATGAGTGTGTATATCAGAGAACTCTCAGGCCCAGGTCACCCACAGTACTGAATGTATGGATAGATTAACGAAGATAATGATTCAGCAAAAAATATTCATATTCTATGAGTGGCTAAAAGCATGTGCAAGGCTGACCTCCTAATTTCTCCAGAGATCGATATTGTAACCGAACACTGTCGCCCGTGTCCAAAGTTTTTACCAAGTACCTGTCAAATTCACATAAAAAAAATCAACTAGTTATCTCCTTTGTATCTGTAAGAACCAACTCAAATGGTTTACAAGTTACTAATGTAAAATGCTGAGACCAGACTTCATAACAGGCATAGATCTGCATCTCATTGATAACCGTGTTAACGAAGGGCACCACGAACTTCACTACCCTCAAATCCAAGTTCAAAAGCCGCTGCACTGTGAACTACTAGCTACCGGGACTTTCTTCCAAGTGATACCAGTAACCCGTAACTAGCTTATCAACCAAACGATGATGAAACGAACTCATTGTCAGGTCTATAAGTTAGTTAAGAATTACTGTATAATACTTGGATATTTTGAAATAATCTCCCACGACAAGATAACATACTCCCTCTCATTTCCATCCCATCTTCTTCAATTCCTCCATACCCACTTCAGGATAGCACTGTTGAGCCAGTACGGCACCAAAGGTCTTCAAGCTCTGGCAGGCACAAACTAACGAGTACTGTAACGAAGGTGCCTCGCCTTAGTAAACATGTGTGAACGAGCGAGAAGAAGCTGGAAGTACAAGCGTAAGACAATACCACCCATTAAGACACTGGCTGGTGATAATAGCCTCTCGTCCAACAAACCGCTCAGGTGTTCGTTTGTTTCCCTGCTGTCACCGACAATAAAAAAATATCCACATTTCAGATAAGATGAATATTTCAAAATCAATGCGGAGCAGTCAATCAGTCGCTATATGCAGTACAGATAACTATCTGTTCAAAATCAGATTTTATTTAGTTGTTTTGGATTGCTTCGATCCAAAACAAGTGAAACTGATTTGAAAAAGGAGAGGAGGAGGCAAGGTTGAGGAGCTTACCTTGATGAGAACCTTATCGTTAACAGCAAATGGAAACTGGACAGCTTTAAATCGAGAATTGTCTGTGGAAGTGGTCTCGACAGAACCCCAATGACCCTGCAAAATAACCTACGTGTACCAATTACCAGTACCCTCAGATTCCTGGAGCACATGGTTGTAACCTTGTCCGCAGCCCCACTTTCTTGTGGCATCCAGTTTCCTTTCGTTAAACTATCACTATAAATATAAACTCTCTTACTCTGGTTATGCTTTGAACAACCTAGCGGTGAGAATAACCCCAAAATAAATGTAGCATAACCAAAAGCCACGCATAAAGAAGACACGCTAAGCACAAATCACCCCACGCATAAAGAAGACACGCTAAGCACAAATCACCCCACGTGGCGCGAGAGAAAATACTCGTTCTGTCCTCTTGGCCTCAGAACCCTCGAATTGTTGATTTTCTTCCCGTCTCCGCTTTATTCCTCTGACTGAAATCATTTGCAACTGATCTTCGTGCTTGTAAGCCAAAACTGCTGCCCTTAATGCTGCATCGCACGTACTTCAGATAATTAGAGGCAATATTAAAATATCTAATGCAGAAGTCGACAGAACATGTGACGACAACTAATTCAAGATTGAAGCACCTGAGCTTACCAAAGTTTGGCACCAAGAAGTTGGGTGATATAGTTGCTCCACAGGTAATGCACAAGTGCTGCATAGTATTCATGACAACGATTAGCACCTACGGATAGTTGTACTTGCATTTAGTACTCTTATTAGATGATAGCATCCTGATGGTTTTCAAAACACTGAAACCAGATAGCGGATGATAGTAATCAAAGTATAAAACGAAATCTTAGTTGCCATAGATCGCAGATGAAGAGGCACCGATGAACTCCAGTTCGAGCTTACAGCCAAACAATCCTCGTATCGGAATAGCATAAAATGTGACTAAAACCAAGTGCGTAACGGTTTTCAGTGTCTTGTTTATGTTTCTTCTATCACGTAATGAGTTCAACTTGAAAAACCGTTAAGAAATCGGAAGCCCCTACATCTGCAATAAAACCGATCATAATAACATGTTCTTTGTCCCGATGAACTGAAGAGAACATCAGTCTCTTCACTTCAAATTATATGGATCCACAAGTGCCCAGATGTGCTCAGAGAAATAACAGTCTGACAGTCTAAGGACCAACATTTTCTCAAAGAATTTAAAGATCAATTTCTAACAAAATTAAAAGATCATCTAATTCTCAAAAATTCAAGAGATAGTTCTGTCCATCGGTGACCACCGCATGTTGTTAGCATACCGTGTCCATGACCTGCTTAAGGCAGCCACCTCCAAAAGAATGGCCGCATTGTGCCACCATTGCATCTTCCAGAAACGAACCCCTGCAGTTCGATTATGGAAAAGATTGAAACAAGGTTATTGTGCATCTCAGAGTCTCGAATCTGAAACTTGGGCTTGAACAACTAAGGGAAGATATATGAATCATCGGAATGACACCTCATGATATGCCTCGATTACGTGATGGATTACAGAAGACCGATAACTTACGTAATTGGGTCACACAAAACCCTGCGCAAACTTAGGTCAACCAGTGGCACTTTCTCCTTCGGAAGGGATCCATGGGTCATGGTTTTCTGCTCAGGATGAATGTCGTTTTCCACAGGCCCTTTCGAAGACTGGCACTTCTCAGAATCTGCTTGTCCAGGAGGAGGAATACTGTTGAAAGGAGTGTCCTTCACAACTACGTGCTCAATTGAAGTTTCATCTGAGGACAAAGAGCTTTTGATACCTTCTTTCGGGTAAGTGGAATCAGCTGCTTGTTCAACTCTTGGATCGAACTCAGTAGATGATGTGTGATAACCTGACTCCTGCTGAGAAGAACGAATATTTCTCCATAGCTCTGTCTGTCCAACGAGAGACTTATCTTTGGATACGTGGATCGTGTCAGACTGGAAGAAACTGGCCGGTGAGGAAGCTGGCACAGACTCAATGAGCATTCCATCCCTGTCGCTCAAAGACTCTAAATATGTGTCCCCATACCCCAATCGAGGCTCCTGCCTGCTGGAATGACTTTTTGACCCACTTGTAATAACACATCCATCGAAACACATGTCTGTGGAGTCAATATCATCCAGGTCGTCTCCGTTACATTGGTGTCCAACTAGGGCGTTTATTTCAGCTGAAACAAGCACATGACTACCTCCTGCTGCACCTCCGCTGCAAGCTGAATGATCTACAAGTTTTCCATCTTCTCTTCCACTCTCCGCGGGGTCATCCGAAGCTAGTAAGATATCGGCATCACAATTATTCTTCATCAAGTCGACCTTAGAAAGTGCACTGGCATCTCCAGCTGCGGATACATGGTGTTGCCTTTGTTCTGGTGGATTGTGAAGGCCCTCGTTTATGAAGCTTCTAAGCTTCAGTCCCGAACCAACATGACCGTGATCTTGATCGTCTTGGAACAGACAAACAGGCTCCATAGCACTTACCTGCTTCATGCCCATCAGAAGAATAAATCAGTAAAAGTCCCGTAACAAACTATCCTACATTTGACTATCAGCAGGAAGAAGTAATGACCAGGTGAAAAGGTACAGAATGTATAGTCCGCCTACGACGTCTAGCTTTCAATAATCGAGAACTGTTCGCTGCAGGTACATGGACAGAATGAAGAGCAAAATTTGATCCCTTGACCACCAGCTTCGTAGAATTTGTGATGGAATTTCACCTCACACACCCATATACGCAGCCTGACTTGAAACAGCGCACTCTTGGTGACTCCCACGTTCAGTAGGAAGTCAGCGGACTTGCCAGATTTCCTCCGATCTTTGAAGAGATATAGAAACTCCACAAGAACTTAAAGTCTAAATTTTACAGTTTGTCACCCCAGTTCAAAATTCGATGGAGGAGAGCCGAGTTCATGTGCTGTTGTAATTTGCAATAGCTTCAAATTCTTTCGTTGTTTCTTTCCAACTCGCGCTAGGTGCAGCCCTAAATCGCGGTGAAATTCGAATATGATACGAAATATGGGGTCGGAAGTTATAATTTGATTCCTTCAGGTGTGATTTTTTTCTATCATCTTGCAGATCATCTATCTTTCCGTAAAGCTTACTCTTTAATTACTTGATTCATTGAATGCTTCGAACTTCTGAAAAATATCCAGAGACTATTGCTAACCTGATGGAGTTTTACAAAGTCCACAAGCGCCAGTACCTTCGTCTGGCTTCGACCTCAAGCTCCATTTGTCCAGGAGGCGTCCTCCGAAAAGGGGGAAATTTGTTCAGGACAATCGAAAAAGTTCGCGGCAACGGCAATTGGCTACAGAGTGGCCAAGGCAGGCGAGCAGAGAGCGAGCGGCGAACCGAAATTCTTGCTTCCCATTCGGATCGATGTCCAAATTGGCCTCTCCAAGAAGCTGTTCACACACACACGAGCACAGACTCGGTCTTTCATAACAGTCTCGTACATTTCCTCGAGGGAAATGTTCGCATCGCGACCATCGCCAGCTGTTCGGGACGAGGTTCGATCCTTCGCCGGGAGAAGCGTGAAGCCTTCCCTCCCGACCTCAAGGTCTCCAACTACTTCAGACTTCCGAAAATTCTCTAACCGGCATCTGTCATTCGGCACTAACCCATGTACTTGCTGCTGCCGGTATTCGCCATTCAGAACGTGGACGTCCATGCGCAAGCAAGCAAGTTCCAGAAACAATTTTCCTCATTGCGCAGATGCGTTTCAGATACTGTACTGGATTCTTCTAAGCTGATAAGACAAATGCGAGGTGATATTCGGATATATTTAGTTTCTATTCCGCTGTGATCATGCCTGCTACGAGTCAAGACGAAACTACTGCAGTTCAATTTTGTATTATTCTTCTAGTGTTCAACCAGGGGACCCTGTATGGACTCTAAATAATCATTGCCCTTGGGTGGGGTGGGTGGGCACCATTGCAAATAAACAATAAAACTTTTTATCACATAAATTTGCAACTCAAAGAAATATAAGAAATATAATTTTTTTGAAAGAAATCAAATCAACAGGGTGTTAGTATTAGTATCAGCCCCAACTTTAAACTGGTATGAAGGAAGACATTGCTATTTATATTGAAAAATATTGCATAATCATGATAGTGCAAAAATATTGCAGCAAGAAACTCATTGACAACACTAGATCTAAAGTCTTCAAATTTGTCATCATAAAATCGGACTAGCATCTATCATATAATTGATTGAAAAGTAGAAACTCCAAATAATGATACAACCGTATTATAAGTACCACGTAAAACCACTAAGAGATCAGATGTTATAAAGAAGTCTAAAAAATGATCTTTAATTCAAATGCCAATTTGTAACGTGTATGAAGAGTGGACGATATTTATATGAATACATAATGATTTCTTATGGACATACTCAAATCTCTGCAGTAGATTTTACTCTCGGAGGAGAAATAATTAAATGAGGCGATTGGTTTCTGCTTCTAACGTACTATACTTTTGTATATCCTTACTTATCCTTGTGATGATACCCAGACATAGCCCGGGGTTACTCGTATAGCTTCATGACATATTCTCGCACTTTTCATTATTTGAATTTCTTCTTGATAGAATGATTTCTTTCACCTTATCCTTCACCCAAAACACTTAAATTAACCGCGGGATTGAATGCAAGATTCTGGTTCATGAACCAGACGTCATCACCTTTTCACAAGGGAAGAAATGAACCCTTTGTCCAATACCGAATTCTGGTGATGACTTTCATGAAGTAAGTTACAGCAATTGGTTTGTTATGCAAACCATAAGTGATCATCAATTCACACTCCATAACAAAATACACTCCATTCACCGTTTGAAGTGTAATCCATATTTTCATATAGTCTTCGTGAGAAGCCCAATCATTCTGATTAATCATCTTCCACCGTGTTAAAATCAAACGGAGCATAAGAATTTAACAACTTGGATAAACACGGATCGAAAATTGATAGAAGCCATATGTCAAAAATCATAATTGTACGTAGGAAATTGGTTTCACTTCGACGGTTATATTAGGACAGAATGTCATGTTTTTCAGATACCTTTTAAAATAAATATAGGAATTGAATAAAAGTCCAACCTCTTCCATACACCACAAGGTGTAAATAGATTGAATGTGCCACCAAGTGCCCGCGTCGTCGTCGTCGTCGGCGTATGAACCCGAAGCGAGGGCGATTTTTTCGGTCCGGGCAACGTACATTCGTCCCTCGAGCCCCGCGGCCATGCTTTTCGATCAATCACTCGGGTCCGCGTGTCCGGCCCAACGTTTCCGACGCTCCAAGAACGTTGAGTCTGGAGGCGAAGCGAGTGTTAGCCCCCCTCCCCATTCCTTCCTTCCTTCCTCCAAGGGCGGGACTCGACTGACGAAGGGCAGAGCGAACGTTTGGCGGTGACGCTGCTGCTGCTCGTGCAGGGGCAGGGGAGGGCAGGGGAGGGCAGGGCGGGGGCAATACTCGTCGCTAAGGGCTCACAGGGGGGGCAATGGACAGGACAGGACATGCTGCCGGGCCAGGCCAGGCCGTGACAGGACTGCGAACTCCTCTTCGTCGTCGTCATGAAGCGCAAGGATTCAGCAGAAGGTTTTGACGTGGTTTCGGCAGCGGATGTTACTGGTTCGAGAGCGAGTGCGGGGGGGAGTGGATGGCGGATTAGGCAGGCAAGAGGCGGGCGTTGATGTAATTCGGAACGAGGCGGTGAGCAGTTCGAGGAGATTGGTTTCTTCTTCTCGGGGCTGGCTGGAATTTGCGTTTCTGGGTGAAGGTGAAGGTGGTGGGAGGCATGAGTGGAAGGGATGGTGGGGGAGGGGGAGGGGGAGGGGGAGGGCCAGGGGGATGGGGAGGAGGTGGGAGGGGAGGCCGAGGCGGGGGCGGACGACAGGGATTGTCAGCTGGATGGAGGCCTGTGTCCGAAGCTGATCGGATCAGTATCGCTGAGCGCTTGGAGCAATTCAGAGCCGCTAATGATGTCAAAGGTACGTGGATTTTCGAAACTTCTCTTTCTTCAAATTTGTGGTGGTTGAATTTAGAATTTGGGAGCAAGTGAACAGGCGTTACATTCCAATCATGACTTCCACTTTCAAGCTTCGTTTGGAGTTCGATCGACATGTTCTTGTCAGTGGGGTTTTTCTCTCCAGTAGATTGGCTACGAATTAAGGCACCTGACTGCCCTTGATTTCCACTCCAGACCAAAATTTCTGGTCTACAAAGTTCTGGAAATGCAACGTGTTTAGAAGTTGCATGCACGGGATAATGCGATCCCATGCCAGAGGGTTCTCAGCAGTTTGTTGGTTGCGAGCCTACGAGAGCATTGGTTTTTCTAATTACGTCCTTACTAGATCGGCGAAGAATGAAGTAGCAGTCAATATGGGATGAGCCTAATGCAGACAGATGCTTAAACCTTGAATCACCTATATATCTGCATTGCGTCATTGTAGATCATGTCGCATGTCTGGATGCAGAAGCGAATCTTAAGGGCCTTAAATATGTCAGAAACATGCTTGTGTATGCGCAAATTAGCCATGAAAACGAGTTCAAGGGGGCTGCATTTGAAAAGAGTGACAGCTCGTAACATGCTGAAGACCGAATACTTGACCGGCCGTACACAACGCACTCCTCTTTATGCATTCATTAGCATTCCAAGTTTTATGCGGCTACAACATTCCGCTGGAGTTTTAAAGAGACAGGTCTAAGGATATCTGCCTTTTGGATGCAATTTGTAAGCTTTTGATCTCCACCAATACAGAAAGAGGTGGAGGAGAGATTTGAGAATTTTCGAAATAATGTCAGTGAACAATAAACTAGGACCCTCTGTGAATCCACAACATCATGCATTCTCAGACTTCAAGCAGTTCCACCGATTTAAGAGAGTCAGCTCAAAACTCCTTTCAAACGCTCAGTCATTAGTCTGCATGCTTTTGAGCGCTATTTTTTGGAACGAGGTCTTATTGCCTTCCCCAAATATTTCGTCGAGTTCTAGATATTGTCGAATAGCATTTTCAGTTAAATTAAGAAATAACCTGAGTAAATTTCTAAAGGGCTTTTCCGTTTTATACCATCTTCTGTCTTGCAGATTTCTGGTGTTTTCCAGGCACTAACGCCTAGGTTTTTCGACGGGATTACCCATTGACCATGCTAAACCACTGATACTTGGCCTTGTTTCTGGTTCTTCTTAATTTCAGCTAACACTTTTCCTTGATTTGTTTCTTCAGAATTGACTTTCGAAGCTGGTTTGAGCAATCATGATAGAGCGGTGGTACACGAGTTCTGTAAAAAGATGGGATTCAAATCCAAAAGTCATGGGTAATTTTCAAGCTTGCTGGTTTTAGGAGTGATAGAAACGACTGCTTACCTTCGTCCATAACCTCCATTCTCATGGCTAATTCATCATGTGCTTATGATACTAAGAATAAGCGGATATAGGATCAAACGTTCCTCTGAACACCGTGTGTGGTATAAATTTCAGCAAAGGTGAGGCAAGACGTGTAACTGTGCAAAAACCAGCGGGTGGCCACGGAAAGGATCAGGCTACAACAACTCCTCTGTCCTTCTCCGCGGAAGCGCAGATGGCAGTCGTCGACCTGTTTAGTCGATTTCCAGCCACGGAAGAAGAGATTCTAGAGAAGGAGAGGATAGTCGAACCGTGTGAAATCACTGTCCCAAAATCGCAAAGGCGAGGCAAGTCTACAGGTTCACGCAACGCACGATTCGCTCTACCAGCTGATATTGCCAAACAAGTATCTCAAATGGCCTCGCGGCTTAAAAGTTCTCCAGCTCTACAACAGGTTCTGTCTCGAGGTCCATAGTTTTCTGCTATTTGGATTCCCACTAAGCATGTAATTTGTTTGTGATGCAAATCTTGGCACCATGGACCTTATTCCATTCTCAAAATGCTCCTAATGTTCGTCGAACTGAACGAAAAGATGCTGTGAGCATACTTTCGGTCAATATTTGATGTTGTTCGCTATATTCCTATCTTTGCAACCAGATGAACACAACTTAAGGATTGAGTCTAAAGTGTTCTTTGTCGCCTCTCAGAACTGCCAGTAGCCCTGGATGGGACTGGTTGATTTACGATACCAAGCATCTTTTTGAATTTGTGAAGCTTTCAACGTGAAGAGTTGCTCCTTTGCAGAACTGCTAGGTTATGGGATACAATAGAATGTGATTCGTATTGTAACGTTTGTGACCTCGCTTGAACGGGGTTCAGATTGCTCAAGAGAGGTCCAAGTTGCCAATTGCCGCTTTCCGAGATGTCATTACTTCAGCTGTCGAAAACAATCAGGTACCTTTCATAAGCGTCGGCGGATGACGGAATATGAGAGAGTGTACTGTGTGATTTTCTTGCATCGTCTAAGATCGCTCATGGAATGGAATGGGAAGTACAAGCTGCTGCCAAAGTAGAATGTGTCAATACTAGTCAACTTTATGTTAATCTCTTGAACAAACTAGACATCTATGGAGGGAGTGCTTTTAATGAACTAAATTGTGCAACTAGTCCGTGTCTGGACCCTAAGCATCCAAGGCCTAGACTCACTACACCTTGTCGTGTTTGTTCATGACCAAACAGGTTGTACTCATTGCGGGAGAGACCGGCTGTGGGAAAACCACTCAGGTTTGTGCTGAACTCCTCACGTGCTTTGGGTAACAAATCAAATTTAGGCCTAATGGCCCTCTGTGACCAACAGTTATTTGGTATCTTTCGATACCATATGCGTTATAAGACGAATTTAAGACAACACAATGGTTGCAGGTACCTCAATACATTCTGAGTCACGTGTGGCAACAAGGGAAACCTTGCAAAATTGTTTGCACACAACCTCGGCGAATATCTGCAACTTCAGGTTTGTCACATTTTGTGAAGCGTAGATCCCATGTAAGACATTCAATGGCTTTCGTGAAAATTGCGCAAGATGATGGGTGAGTAAAGTTCTTGCTCCAGCAAGCATCAGTCTGAAGCCCAAACTGGTAATTATGCTTAGCCATTCTTCATATATGCGATTTCCGGAGCTTTACTTCCCGTCGAACGATGTTAAACCTTGAGTTTGTTGTACTATGGGCCGGATGCGGCGCTAGCTCCATAAAGGATAAGTAATTATCTTCTTTTGCTCAATATATTGGAATGGTGCCTCATCATGCAGTGGCGGAGCGGATTTCCACTGAACTTGGTGAACAAATAGGAGACACCGTGGGTTATCAGGTAACGTTGGAGTTATATTTAACAAACCTGAAGATAATGTCCAGATCAGCCGCCGTTGGAGCAATAATTCATATAAGAATTATCTGCTTGCTATGCATTGTAATGATTCTTTTTCTGCTTTCGCCCTTGCTCTTGACAGGTTCGACTAGACTCCAAAGGAGGCAAACACTCTTCTCTCATCTTTTGTACAAATGGAGTTCTTTTAAGGAAGGTCGTAGGCTCGGGAGGCCATTCACAGGGACCAAACGGAGACGAGGGCTTGAATGATGAGCCACATGGATTAGATGCGACTCATATCATTGTGGTAAGGTTCTACTTTTATTTTCTTCACGATAACTCTTCGTCTATCTATCCATGAAGATGAATAATCATTACGATGAGGACAATATATATTGATCACATCAGGTAATTCTGGAGGATACTTTCTTACTATATTCATGTCTCATCTTAGTTCCATCTCTATCCGGTAAGGTATTCAGTCAGCAAGCGATGTTCTAATCTTTTTGTATGCTTATTACGTTTATATTTAGTAAGATTTAAGATAAAATCTATTGGAGCTTCAACAACACCCAGATCATGAACAGAATAATTATAATCTCTGAAATAGTACTAGCAATTATCACGAAAGTACTATGATGTGATGCAGTGATTTGGTTATACCAATCAAATATAGATGTATCTTATCACTAAAACATTGCAAAGTCATGAAAGCTCTTTCGATGTGAAAGATTCATATCAAATATCTTTGCAAAAACCACATTTCAACGTTATGATGAAGATTATTCCTCTGATTTTTGAACTGTCATTCTATTAAGAAAAATTTTTCAAGTACTCGTAAGGTACTTGAGAATCCATTTCACAGCTTCCCAATGCACATTCCCTTCCCCCATTTGATATGCCCTGCTCACTTTGCCCATAACTAGAGCACTATTAGTGCATACCATCGAATACATGAGGTTATCCACTGCTTTGTCATAAAAACTTGATGATATCTTTCCAATTGATATCTAATTGATGATATGAATTAGACATTGAGCTGCAGAAACAGTGAAATGTACCACCAAAGAAATTCCAACTCCTTCAAAATCTACCATGTTACATCTGTCAATCACACGTTGTGCTTGCTTTGAATTAAGCATAGTTTTTTGTTCTCCAAATCTCTATGAACATCCATCTGTTCTAAGTAGACTTGGTAGTGTAGCTACAGCACGTAAAAGGTTTGCAAATACTAGTGATTGTAATACTAACTCAACATGCTATCTTATTCAGGATGAAATACACGAGCGTGATCGAAATGCCGACTTTCTTTTGATCGCCCTTCGGTATGTGGAGTTTACGTTTTGTATGTTTCTTTAAATTCTGTTAAATAACCTTCGTGTAACTACACGAAGGCTATGGATTTTTTAGTGAAATTCATCTGCTCTGCACGAACTAAACGATGATATGGCATTTGTTTATGCTTAGGGATCTGCTGCCTCTAAGACCAGATCTGCGTCTGGTAAGTGCATCTTGTTAGTGTGGCGAATCTCTTTGTGAAAGCTTACCAACACCTTTTGTTTAGATACTCCCCTTTATAGGTTCGGATGTTATCTGAATTTTTTATAACTTGCTGTAAGTATCGACATTCGCCTGTTATTAGTTAAAACTTTCTTCAGTGTAAATTTGTCTAAATTTGATAATAAATTATATTGCAGATAAACTTCTAATTGTTTGGAATCTGTGTTCCATCTATACATTATCAATTTTGGCCACTTCAGAAGGTTTCTAATACTTGATTGCCAAGCAGATTTTAATGAGTGCAACATTGGATGCGGAGCTCTTTTCCACCTACTTCAACGGATGTCCAATAGTCAGAGTGCCTGGTTTTACTTATCCTGTAAGTCAAGCCTGATTTTTTGGCAGCCATGATACTCATGGCTGCCAATAAGTTTTCCTTTGTTTGAAAATATTGAAGATGCCACATATTTAATCTATCGTATGGTTCTTTTCCACTACGTTTTTTTTAACAGCAGCTTTTATTTCCAGGTTCGCACTTTCTACTTGGAAGATGTCCTCTCAATGACCCAAAACGGGGGAGACGTCAGCAACTCGCAGGCTGCAGTGCCAAGTCTTAGCAAGGAGGACGCAGATGTCATGGATGAGGCGATAAGCACCGCTTGGTTGGACGATGACTTTGAATTACTGTTGCAAGTTGTAACAGACGATCCAAATTTACGGTTATGCGATTACCAGCATACGTTGACTGGTGCAACAGCTTTGATGGTTGCTGCTGGTAAAGGTAGACTTGATGACTTGCAATTATTACTCTCTCTAGGAGCAGATCGGTCTATCGTCTCACAGGATGGAGCGAACGCCCTTGACTGGGCCCAAAGACACGGACACGAAGAAATTGTGGAGCTCCTGGCCAACTACAAAGACGATGAGAAGATGCCTTCCATTGAAGAGGCAGAGATGCTCAAGAAGTATCATGCATCTGTAGATCAAGAGGAGATCGATGTGCGTCTGATCGAACGCTTATTGCTTAGTGTATGTAGGGGTTCAATTGCAGAAGATACAGGTAGTAGCCAGAATGGAGCCGTGCTCATATTCCTGCCAGGGTGGGAAGATATAACGCGGACCAGAGAATGCTTACAAGCTTCACCTGTCTTTGGAAACCGTTCCCAGTTCCTAATACTTCCTTTGCATTCAATGGTGCCTTCTCACGAACAAAGAAAAGTCTTCCAACGGCCACCTCCGGATGTTCGGAAGATTGTCCTCGCAACAAATATTGCAGAGAGTGCTATCACAATAGATGACGTTGTGTTTGTAATTGACAGTGGGCGTGTTAAGGAGAAAAGCTATGATCCCTATAGCAATGTTTCTACATTGCAGACAGCTTGGATATCAAAAGCCAGTGCTAAACAACGGGAGGGACGAGCTGGACGTTGTCAGCCAGGAGTTTGCTACCATCTGTTTTCACGGACAAGGGCGGCTGCTCTCCCTGATTATCAACTTCCAGAAATCAAACGAACTCCTCTTGAGGAACTATGTCTGCAGGCATGTATTCCCATCATTTTTCCACAATTGGTCTTGTTTATATCAATCAATTACCATCGAGAGGACTTCCTGGATTCTCACATCAAGGAAACTAGAAAATATCTTAATGTTCGTAAGTGGAGTGCTGGTTTCCATCAACTGCAGAAATACTGAACTTATTTTTTACTCAATCAGGTCAAACTGTTGGAGCCAAACGGAAGGATAGCCACTTTTATAAGCAAAGCGGTAGAACCTCCTCTCGATCTAGCGGTGCGCAATGCCGTTCTCTTGCTTCAAGATCTTGGAGCTTTGACTACGGACGAGAGGCTGACTGACCTTGGGAAGCAGCTAGGCTCATTACCAGTTCATCCTTCCACAAGCAAGATGCTCATATTTGCCATTCTACTCAATTGTTTGGATCCTGCATTGACTGCTGCTTGTGCTGCTGGCTACCGAGAACCTTTCGTGCTGCCTATGGCTCCAGATCAAAAGAAGCGAGCGCACCAAGCTAAACAGGAACTTGCGGCCGCATATGGTGGATACAGTGATCATCTAGCTGTTATAGCAGCATTTGATGGCTGGGAGGCGGCTAAAGCAAAAGGTCATGGCCAAGAAGGACAATTTTGCTCACAGTATTTCATTTCTGGTGGGACCATGAATATGCTCGCTGGCATGAGAAGACAGCTCCAGAATGAACTTGCTCAAAAAGGGTTCATTCCTATAGGACCTCATCCTTGCAGCCTCAATGCAGAAGACCCAGGTATAGTCCGTGCTGTGCTAGCCACAGGAATGTATCCTATGGTTGGTGTGTTTCTACCACCTCTCCCCAATGGCAAGAAAGCTGTTGTCCAAACCTCTAGGGGAGAAAAGGTTCGAATCCATCCACATTCTGAGAACTTTAAACTCAACCGAACCTTTTCATCTGGAGAATCTGTTTCGAACGATCTGCTGCTAGTCTTTGATGAAGTAACTCGAGGTGAAGCTCAAGTTTATATAAGAAACAGTACTCTTGTGAAGCCCCATCCCGTGATATTCATTGCCACAGAAATGGTGGTCGCTCCACTTAATCCATCAGAGGAGGTGCCGATGGACGTGGATGAAGATGAGATGTTCATAGATAGTGAGGATGAAGATGACTTGAAACCCAAGCCTGGTCCAGATTCTGCAGAAAAGAGGCAAGCTGAATGTATGACATCTCCTGACAAAGGGGTTGCTGTTGTTATCGATCGATGGTTACGCTTCACTGCCACTGCTGTTGAAGCTGCTCAATTCTATTGCCTAAGAGAACGATTAAATGCAGCTATATTTTTCAAGGTCAGTTGTAAATTCATTTTCGATAGTAGAATTGTTCTTGCTCGTTAGATAGTTTCAAAGTTTTATTCCGTTTTGATAGCAGAAACTGTAACTTGTGTCACCTTCTCTGATATGTTTTTGATTCGTTCTAAACGATATCTTTTGAATCTTCTTAATTACATCTCAAGTCGAAAAGTTTAAAAAGCTCTAGAGATATCACTGTAGGTGTTGTTGAATCGTTACCTTCTTTGTACTTATTTAAAATAGATACTTAGTAAGTTTTGTAATTGAAGTTTGAATGTTGAATTTCAGATAAGATATCCGCGAGAAAAACTGCCACTTCTACTTGCTGCATCGGTCTACACCATCGCTTGCATATTCTCTTTTGATAATGTTCCACCCGTACCTCAGCCATTGTACGCCTCAAATCCGAAGTCAACAAATCGATCAGATCTACAGTCTTGGTTTCAAGGAGGCCAAAGTCAAAGTCCAAATGGTTATAGGAGGGAAAGAAGACAAGGGCCTATATCTGACCGCGACAACGGACATGGGAAGTCTATCATGCAAAGGGCGAGTAGTTCACCAGGCGCTCCTGTAAGTAGAGAGAGGTATGTCCGGCAGGAGGCAAAATCTCATGCACAGACTTCAGGTGGACGTGGAAGTTATTATTCACCACCTGAAAGCCGACAAAAAGGCTTCAACAATACAGGTTCTGGTCGAGGTTTATATTCAAAAAGGCCCAAAGGTGGTGCAGGATGAGAACTTACAAAAGAACGCATTTTTCGAACATGGTATTTCAGTCTCAGGCTGAAGCATTGTCATGGAACGTTTCGTTTTATGCCATCACACAGATCGTCATCAATCAAGGATTTAAGGCCATTTATAGTCTTTTGCCCGACGTTCGGTGAAAGAACTATATGTTGCCCATTTTGGTCATGAATCAAACGAGCTTTGCTTCTCCACAAGACGGCTCATTCGCAAAGCAGTGTACTCGACCCATCCAACGCTCACGTGTGTATTTGGAGGAGGATTTATCCTGATTCTTTCCCTCTTGCCTGCCTGTATGGTTACATCTACTCCTCTCAGACAATCGTCGGACAGTATGTCGCCTATTGAAGGTACTATCTTTTTTAAAGTTCATCTCCAGGTGGAACAACTTTCTTGTGTCTTTTAGAGATTTGAATCTTTTAATGATATGCAAGCATATGATAACATATGTATGTTCCTTATATACTGATATTTCTAGCTATTTCAGAAACATTTTTTTTCATTGTAAGCTCTAAAGTATAGAAGATATGCTAGGTATAATTTGCGTCGTATTCCGTTTGACCTAATCAAGGATCTCCTTAGTTACGACTCTTCATGTTTCTCTTCTTACTCTTCTGGATGGTGTTCTTTAGTTAAAGTATCTCTCGTTCCTCGACATACATCTCATTGGTCGAAATGGTTATTTTTTGTACTAAAATATCTATTGTTTTGCAATTCTTACGTCAAGCTTCGAGACGTCATTCATCGATTGAGGTTATATCAAAGTATTACATCTTGCTGAGTCGAATGAATTGTTTTTGAAAGTGTAAATTTTCAAAGTCAATTTCTGGTTGTGATCTACGTGGATCTAAATTCGCTCCTTTGGTATAAAAGCATGGGTTGGACGACCAAACACCCTCATGGTGAACATTCGAAGTTTCCCACAGCTCGATGCTTCTTCTGCTGCCATCTTGTTCATTTCTGTTGTGGGACTTATAATTCTCTTAGAGTCGGTAGCATTGATAGCTGTACACCAAATTTGCATCTCAAGTTGAGCATGTTTTAGTGTGCCCAATGACTTCTACTGACTCCATTCCCTGGCTTTCACATCGGACATTTCCCCTTGCTTTCTAGAATAGCTATAAACTGCTTGGTGCTACACTCAAGTCTTCCATTAGGTTTTATTTCAGATTCTAATTTCAACTTCTTTCATGTCTGATTTTCTTCCATTCATAGGGATTTGGAGTTTTGAAGTCCACTGCCTTTTTCAGAAAGTACAGAAATCTTTCAACTTCTTTCATATGTGACAGTGGCATAATTTTGTGCACCTTGTAAGACTTGTGAGGTGTACTTGTAAGACTCTTCTTGTCCCTGTTTTCTCTTTCAACAACAAAAGCGAGAGTGACAGCTCCTTCTCCAAGAACTGGAGATACATTACCAATTCCACTTTCTACATATTCCAAGACCTTCATGGAATTAATAAGACGAAAACTACTTCAGAAGCGAACAACAAGCTAAGTTCAAGTACAAAATATGATATTTTACTCTCTCAGACTTCTCCTCAGCACAGCACTCATGTTGCTAAAATCACTCTCCCGATCATTTGAATAAACTTCCTCTACCAAGTTGGTTCTCTTTCCTCATCACTCTCTCGTGTTCTTCAAGTTCGTGATTTACCTAGAAAACTTATGTGCTTGCTTTACACCTTTTTGCTGAATTGGCTTCCCGAACAATAGCAGTAGCAACTACCAGTATCTTTGCTCTTCCCAGGTCTAACGTTATACGTCCACATTTCTTCCTTTTTCTAACCAGAAAAGCATTTTTTCTAACAGCGTTATCAACGTAGTTGCAATTGCGACTATCTTGTTTTATGCGTTTCTCTTGTCTATTACATTTGTTCATAACAAACAGAAGTTATTTATTGCGATTGTCTGTATTGGAGATTTATATGCAATACTTTTGTCACTTTCTCTGCCCTAAAAGCTTACGTTGAGTTAACATGAATGTATATTCTGTACATGTCATTTTGGGTGCTTACCTTTTAGCATCTCAATATTTTCTTAGTATCCATTGTCGAATAAGGATGTCATAACCTACGTAGATTCAAAAAATGTATCTTATTTGACTTCGAGTTTATGTTGAAAAGTTTTGCCTCTAATTCATGTGTTGACGTCATTAAGAATCAACTGTTAGATATTTCTTTTTCCGTGTCATTTGTCAGAATATGTAGATGCTTTTATTTGCACATGAAATAATTCTTTGATGGAAAGTTTCTTGTGTGCAGGGCTCTGTAGTCTTTGAAGGATGGAGCCAAGCTCCTGCTTGCCTGCACACACTGAGAGCGAAAGGAATCACATTCGAGCCGTTTTACACTGGAACTTGTGTTCAAGGATGCCACTTCTTATGACGAAGATGATGGAAGCATAGAATGCGGAAATGTGTGAGGCTGGTGTTCACTTTTTGTTTTTTGTTCTTGGTACATCGTAAACTGTTCTGAACTCAGAAGGATACCACATCCTTGTCATGTCCATCTCCTCTAAATGCGAAGTACTGACTACGGTTCAGTTATGAAATCTCAAAGCTCGTAATGATTTGAGACTTCAAATGAACTTCGTATCAGAAACGTCTCGCAGAAAGTTTATGGGATGTTTCGAAAACATCTTCAGTGTTGTATACAAAATGTTCACATTTCATAACTTGTGTTACTTCAGTGTTGTTACACTGTTTGTCATTTTGAATCACTGCGCGGATCGAAGACATCTTTAGCATCGGGTGCGCTTATCAGTCATCTCACTTTACAGCTTCTGCAAATCGTGGACAGCGATCTCCTCGAAAACTTTTAGTAGCAGGGCTGGAAGGATGAAGTCCGGCTATTGCTTGGCTTCCGTAGTTGCCATGGATATGCAGTGTTAGATTGCTATTAGAAAGACTCTTATTCGACTTACGTCCATTTGTGTTCCGTGCAATATGGACTCACCAAGTACACACAGCCGGATGCGTACAAAGACGGCATGAAAACTGAATTCTTCTCAATGGATAGATTCATCTAGGAAATGGGCTGAGGCGTTTTCACACAAGTACAACTAAGTAAAACATAGAATGCAAGTTCGAATCTGTTCCTCTGTCCATGAGCTCAGATTACTCACAATCAGGAGAGATTGAGCCACTTGTACATTAGAAACAAACAGGAACCAAATGTAGGGAGCAAAACCAAATAGATGTCACTTTGTGTATCAATGGTAGAGGGACAACTAGAGATGTACAAATACATATAGCTGGAGGTTATACCAAATTATCAATATAAAGACTGAAATTAACCTTAAAAGGGAGCATTTACTTTATCCTTGCGTTTTATTAGGAGGTGAACATGCAAGCAGTCTATTGTCTCGAGGAGAGGATCCACTGGGCAGAGGCATCGGTATATATATGTACGGATCCGTACTTCAATCTGAATGCAAGTTCCTAAAATCTGAAGTGACTTGCATCAATTATCTTCACATAGATCCCCATTTGTCCCCAGATATTTTAGAGCATATTTATCTTATCGACAGAGGGTGTTTCAAGCATTCCATGTCATCACACATCAGCGGCTGCTCGGAGTCAACCAGCCCTTTAGTTAAGACGAGCAATGTGTCATTGTGAGTTCGGAGATCAGTTCACCTTCGAGCATTGTTTTAGCCCTCTAAGTGCATGCAGTCATACAGTAATCGATCTACCTTTCTTTTGAGTATCTCAATTGTCCAAATTAAGAACCATGAATGAGGAGGAACAGAGCAGGAAGCCGGAACAGTTGGTAATAAGGATATCCTTTCGCAGAGCTGATACAGTTCAGGTGTGAAGATAGGGACCTATGTTTGTAATCAGAATGAGGCATTCAGGCAACAGTTTTGCAGAAGGATGAGGGCAGAAAGAGACAGATATTTGAAGCATCATATTTGCCTGTCTCACCCGCTGGCGGATCCACTGTGCACTTCATATGAAAAGCACGGGGAAAAATAATTATATACAAAGGAATAACACAGGCTGCGTTTATGGGGTCTAGAAGGAAGATTTTTATACCAACGAGAATTATGAGCTCAAATGTACATCATTTGTGCTGCGCTGGGGAGCATCTGTTCCTACTTGGATGCATGCAGTTTATCCGCCACTAAAATTCTAGTCCCTCTTTCTTTTTAAAGTTCACACGGAGGTCTATATGCTGCATGGATTCTATTGAGGCTTGCTTGGGTCATCTGGTGCCAATTTTAACCAGGGTGGTGTGGCCCATCTAAGGCAAACGAATCAGCCCGGTACTTTCATGTCTGTGCATTCTGCACATAATAGCGAGTGGGGGTCCCACCAAACACTTCTCGCATGCATCCCATTCCAGAGGTTCTGTGGCTATCTGCGTTTGACTCCGTGTAAACTGGGTCGTCTCTTAAGCTTTTCTTCTGTCGAAAGGATCTTCCCTTCCACCTGTTCGACGCTTTGGTGTCAAGCATCCGATAAGATATTTACAAAAGAGAAAGGTTCCGAGATGACTTTGCCAACAATTATTGATTTGCTTAGATAGGCGACATGTTTACGAAGTCCACCAGCAGACTAAAAGCAGAATGCCTATTTGGGCAGAACACAACTTTCTATCCACGGCTTCGACTGATCGAAGTTACTCGGGTCCCTTTGTCTCGGCATTTCAGGCCATGCGGAGCTCGTTGCTTACGAGGTCCTCACAATCAGCGCGTGACTGCAGTGTGAGCTCCTGCATCAATGCCTCACTGCGCCCCAACAATCGTAAAAGGATTAAAACGTGACTGCTCGTCGATTTTACCTTCCTTCAGCACATCCTTAACCGTGCTCGGAAAACTCCAGCTTTGCTTGCTCCAGTGGAAAAGAATTCGATACGAAGTTGTAAGAGCACAAATGCAAACGCGGTGTCATGTGCTGCCTCGCATCCCCCACCCTTCACCCTAAAGCCCTCATCCCTCACAGCAATTGTCTCCAGCACGAAGAAGTGCATCCAATGGCTGCAAGGTGAAAGAAGAAAGTAGGATGTCGTCCGCGAGGGGAAACTGGAGAAGAGTCAAGAGCAAGAAATGAGTCCTCGGCCAGCAGAAGAGGATGCTGGAATAGTCAAAGATTCTGGACGGAAGCTGAGGCGCAGACACTGGATCGCCATAATAGTCGCATCCCTCTTCAACTGTTGACGCGTTCTGTATGCCGAGCTCACGGCTGCACGACCCCTTGCCTCGTCTGCTGCTGCTCTCCCGCGGGGAGAGGATTGGGTCCACATACACCATGTCCTTTTAGACAAGTATAGATACTGAAGGGCGAGCCCATTCCTATCATCCTGGTTCGAGTGACTCCCTCCCTTCCTCTCTTAGATTTTTATCCTCGTAGATTGTCGTCTTTGTTTGTCATCGTTTGTTTTGGGGTTTGAGCCCATTTCTTCTCAACACCAGTTGAAACACACAAAAAACAAAAATCTCATCGTGGAGATCACTCCCATTTATACCGATCTTTGAAAATTGTACCTGGTTTTCTCGTGTTCTCCCTCCATTTCTCATCCTCCTTCTTCTTCTCGTAGCTCTGTTGCAACTTCGATTGCACAATTTTCTTCCTGCATTTCGCACTCAGAGCTCGAAAATTTCCAGCTAAGTTTTCATAATTTTAATTCGGACAGAGAGGAGGAGGGTCAGCATATCTGCTGCACTCATTGTACTTCACAATCCATCCTGCAATCTTTCGGATTCCTGATCGAGACCAGCAGTTCGCGGCTGACAGGTCGACTGCACTCCGACGGTGTCTGAAACCGAGTCTTCCTCTCGAGAGATTTGACAACGATTTTGGCAGCGAGCTCTGCAACGCAACATGGGAGAGGGTAAAATGGAAGAGAAGGCGAATCCTTCTGCTCCAGGCGGTCCGCAGCTCGCACCCCCAGCGTACTATGGCCTGAAGGACCAGCCTCTACCGTACCCGGCGACATATCAACCCAAAAAGCGCCGAAATCCGTGCTGCTGCTGCTTCAAATGGTTCTGCAGTATCCTCGTGATCTTGATCGTGGCACTGGGAATTGCAGCACTGATATTCTGGCTGGTGGTGCGCCCCAAGCTTCCCGAGTACGATGTGACCAATGTGCGTCTGACAGGCCTGGACACGAGCGTGACCTCGTCGCAACTCAACACGCAAGTGGCCTTCACGCTCGACACGTACAATCCCAACAAGAGGATGGGGTTCTACTACGACGATTTCTACATCGAGGTGAAGACGCTGGACCTGGTGCTCGGGAAAGGATCGCTGCCATCCTTCTACCAAGGCCACCAGAACCGAACGATCGTCGAGTCAGTTCTGCAATCCGACACCATCGTCTTGACATCGGTCGACACGACTTTGTTGACGAGTGCCAGCGCCAGCAAGATGTTGCTGCTGTACGTGAAGGTGGACGTGAACACGCGCATCAAGGTCGGAGATTTCAAGACCAACAAAATCAAAGTGAAGGTCCGATGTGTTGTGGAAATCGACCCGACCATCAGCACTGGATCGCAGATCCTGAACAACAGCTGCAAGGTCAAGACCTAGGGTAGAGACCACGGTCTGTCTGTGAAAATTCTTCCATAGAAAACCTCTGCGAAATTGAATCGGCTCGAGCTGTGCTCGAAGTGCTTCACGCCCGAGCGTTCGTTCCTTCTCGTCTTCCATTGTTCATAGGCTCGTCGGGGACGGGAGACGATCAACGCACTCATTCATTTGTCTCCTGGATCGATTCCTCGTGACTACTTGTAACACTTTTCGACATTATTAACAATTTCCGGACGCTTTCGTTCTCCTTTCTCTGACACGAGACCCCGCGAATTGCACACTTCTCAACATTCGAGCTTCGAGACCGAAAAGTAAGAGACCGCAATTTCGTCCTTTCGGCCGCAACATTTTTCCCGTTCTCCGTCTCAGCAGTCTCCGTTGGGCCTCACTGGTTTCCTCGAGGACTCGGTCCGACGTGTTTTCCTCCCCCTTCAAGCTTCCCCTTCTCACAAACAAAGCCATCCTCATATTTCTCTTCGCACTTTTATCTCTCAAAGAAATGTAATATCAATCATGACATTTATAAAGTGGCAGAATTTTTTTCCAGGTTCATGAAATATCAGATTTATTGTATCAAACTCAAGATGATTTAAATATAGTTATAAAATTTTAATTCTATGATACATGATTTTTCGAGAAAATTACTTGATGAATACATAAATGCTTCTATTAGGACCCATCATTTATTACTTTATCCCCCGTGGGGATCTTTGCAATATGTTTGATGATGTTGATTCATCACATCGTCAATCTATTGAAGTTTGACGAGTTTTTTATAGTAGCGGTTGACCAAGATACAGTGATATTCATATCTACATTGTAGGACGATGATCACAAATCCACTATGATCGTATCATCCACATATTTTTCTTCTCTCTTTGATTTTAATTCCAAAAGTGATTGAAACGCAATAAAAGTACAATTCCGTTTATAATTTTATTGCGTTTAGAGTGCAGTTTGTTGTGTATGAAAGACTTGTTTTTAATTGAATCTCTATGATAGTCTTAAGAGACTTGTAATGACAAAGCAACTAATCTAGTTATGAAACAAAGTATACCTACAAAACTCCTTCCCAACCATTACACTATACTTGTCGATGCATTTAAAAGTGGCAAATGAATTTGTCAATTATGAATTTTCAAGAGAATGCACTGATAAATTATCGTTATCAGTTGCAATGCCTCTACATGATGAGGATTGTTCTCATTGGCAAAATTTGCAACCAAACTTCCAAGAGATCGCTTCTCTCACACTATTGTTCAATAGTTACACTCTCCCTCACACTATAATTCGCACCATATAGTTACAAGAATTTTGTTAAGAATTGGATAAAATGATATTTGATTGGTACCAGTAAGTTATTTGTTTTTGGGAATGACACCATCAAGTAATTTTTTTGATTTTCAAAATCCTTTTGCCAGGTCATCTGAAAAGTTAACATTCACAGTTTTTAAAACCTAATACATTTTTAAAAAAGTCACTTAATGTTCATCCACAATTCAAATTCGTAAATATACTAGAATTTATATAGAAACCACTAGAATTATATAGAAATTTATATATAATTTAATTCTTCATGCCACGTATTTGAATCAGGTCTATTGTGTATTGTGTAACAAGAGGCACAATACATCTTTTAACTCATGGAATGTTTTAAAAGCGTTAGAATCATTACATAGATTGTGAGTAAACTGCACAAAATATTAACCGGCATGTGGGTCAAATAATCAACATGATTTTGTGCATTGATGTAAACGTGCATCCATATATTTCACATATATTTTATACGTGATTTTAGCGAACATTGTTATGTAGTATTATTTATAGTTTTTCACTTTTACAATATTTTATTGCTCATTTTGACCTTGAAATTGAAAGTAATTTTGATCAATCTTCTCAACCATAGTGTATATACACTATGAATCGCAGTGAAAATCATTATTTTCTGGAAATTCTTGGTAGAACAAATATTCAATTACATGATATAGCATGATTATTTTTTTCTTAAATGGTAAACCAATTTTTAAAATACCATCATAGAAGATTTAATCTTTAAAATAAAGGAATAAAAAATTCCAATATTCATACTTTTCTCCGTCAAATTCAAATATTTGATTTCCATCGAAAGGCTTATGGTATGAAGATTGCTTCCAAACGTAAAATTAAAATTTCTACCGATGGAACCCAAATGCAAAGTTGCTACAGTCATGAAATTGAAAAATCAACAGACGTAAGCAGTCCAGTCAATTCAAAAAGCAAAGCCTTACCTTCAAACCACTAGAAATTTTACAACAACGACAAATATTCCCGATACGTTTCATAGATATTACTGTTTACGTGTGAGCCTCATGACTTGAGACTTAGCCTCATCACTCATGACTTTGTAGTCATTTAAAAATCACATACATATAATATATATGGAAAGTCTCCACGAACTGAAATATGCTTGACATCAGCCATTAATATATAACAATAACTTTATATATCTGCGCACACGATACTCTTCTGTGATGCTTGAGATGTCCTCTGTGTTGTTCCAGATTTGACAGAGAGAAAAATCACGAGATGTCTACATCTCTAACCACAAAATCTATCGACCTCTGAAGTGCAAAATGATTTCATGACTATATCACTGAATCAGATTCGCTCTTAGCATCGTACCGAATGAGCCACAACGATTTTATCAGACTTCGAATTTTGCGATCGGTAGCGATGGGGGCCATAATCTTCTGTGCTCCAACGTAATGCTCCACGACCTGCGGACAAAGTTCGATTCATCGCTCTCACTCAGAAGAAGAAGGGGAGGCTGTGGCTATGGCGGCGTCTGCAGCTGTGGCCCGACAGACCGGCCGCTCGCTCGTCTCTCGTCTCGGGAATGCAGCTGACTCCGAATGCCGTTCCCGAGGCTGAAACGCATGTGCGATCCGGCACTGTGGATCTGGAGCACGAGCGAGCAGGAGAAGATCGAGCCTCTTTGTTTTCTTGCACTCGTGCTGCGCTCGAGATGGCCATACTGTACCTGCTCCTGTCTGTCGTTCACTGTCCGACCTCCGGCTTTGTCGGATTTGCTCTCGACTGGCGGCCGAACTCATCAATTTTGAGATTTCGATTTCTGGAAGGAGTGGTAGCCGAAACCGAAGGCATTGACTATCTTCATTCTGGAAGTGATGATTATGAAGAGGAACGGATTATGGTTTTTGGAAATCGCTCACGTCTTGACCTGTCTCACAAAGAATCTGATTTTTTAACAGTTTTTTTTTTGTCCGTCTTTGTTTCGCCACGCATTTCGAGTCTGGACTGACATTGGTGGCAGAGCAACTCCGAGGGTGAGAGATTTAAGCTGCTCCCTTGATGATTTACTCAGTTTTTTAATAGAACAAGGCTCTTGATGAAGGCGAAGTATCCAACTGCGAGCTGAGGTGCTCATGAACCACAGCAATGTGGCTCTGCGGGATTTGAGATGAACTAGCTCTCGATGTGAAGGGTAATCAATGAGTTTGAAGGCTGAAACTCGAAGTTCTCGGCGACGTGCGAGCGCACTCTTTACTCAGTCTCTTGCATTGAACTCATACCCCGTGACTGTCAATGGCAATTGAATGTTGGTTCTAGTTCATTTCAGATAGATGTGCTGCCTTTGAAGTTGTAAACAGCTCAGAGGGCTCATGGGACCAATGCTCGGCTCTTGAATTATTTCGGTATTCATAGTTCTTCTGCGCAACTACTGAACCGTGCATCATGGGAGATCACATCTCCTAAATTTGTGGTCTTACAGTTCGAAGAGATGTGATTTCCCATGGGCGGTCAGAAGAGTAATGGATGTAGGATAAATTAGCATCTGTTTAAAATGCGACCTTCAGAATGCGGACTGTCATTGATCAGTTTCAGTCTCATAGTTCCAGCAAAGGGCGACAGATAAGAACCCAAGGAATGGCAAGTACTCAAAACTCACAGCGCACAGTAATTGTGCGTGACACCTCTTCGTGCAGACAAGCTTTACGACTCGCGGTAGATTTGGCCCCGTGCCGTTCAGAAGTTCTGATATTCGAATGTCGGATACCACCTCTTTGATAATATAAACATATTCGTTAGATGGAAGTCTATCGACTGCAGAAAAACCGTCCCACGACTTTTATGCTCACGTATAGACGAAATTACGGACCCACCTCCTTTCCATGATTCTCTTGTAGCCAATGGCGTGTGCCTTTGTCTTGAAGGTCAAGATGACCAGCTGGACGCAGAGGACTGCAAAGCTTAGTCGAAGTGTTCAAATATCGAGGACAAATCGTCGAGTTTACCGCCACCTGAGCAATCTTGAATTTGTAGTCAACTTTCATCGGATTCCCATCATATACCTACAATTTGCTTCAGACTGGACTGGATGTGACCCTTGCAAGATCCTAACTTTGTCAACCTACAGCAACAGTTCTGTGCGTTGAAATCCGGATCCGAGAGCTGAGCCAGATGCAAGGACGACAGTACAATAAGCCGGACTCTCATAGATAACCAAATTCACTTGAAATGGAAACCTTAGACGATAGTCGATCGAAGACATATAGCACACTGGGAATCTGCTGGTCGGGAATAGGTGCAAAATATGGAATCAGCTGAACACGAGAAGGAGAAACTACTGCAGTAATGTTATCGAGGTTTCTCCACCTCAACAATTCGAGCTGTCCGTGGGTGCCTACTGATTGGATATCGTGGTAGATACATACATCAGTTTACGAGACAAAGATGCGACGATCGAGGGCACGCAGTGCTGCCAGTTTTTTTGTGTAGATAGAAAGCTAGTGTAGACATTTCCATGTCCAAGTTTGAGTATCGCTGTGGAACTATCGCTGCCAATCGTACGCTCGTGAAAATTGTTCAAGGCTCGATTTGAAATGCATGCATGCTCGAAAAGTTCGACCACATGGCTGAACCGAGGAAAAATGTAAACGTCGTCGTTGGAGACTTCCATCTGCATCACGTCGACACCGCTTTCCACAGATGGCTTTTGGATCAAAGAAACGAGAAGGTTGTGTTTTGGAGCTTTCTGGTCGGCTTGATTGGGACATGCATTCTCGTGATTGGATCTGGACTGCTAGATGACGCGATCCCCAGCAACATGCCCAGAGGTGAAGTCATCAATCAGGTGATCAACGCGTTTTCCACTTGTCTGGTTCTCTGCCTCCATCCCGAACGATGCCTTCATTCATACATGCTGTATCGGTGGCAGAGCTCGGATCAGATCAAGCTCCGAGAAGCTTACTGCAAAAACGGGACCAAGAGGCCCAACGAGAGGCTTCACTTGATGCTCCTGCTCGTGCTCTGGCAATTGAACTGTGTTGGGCAGTATGTTTTGTGCTACCTCAATTTGCAGTACACTGCAGCTGATCGACCTGGCACGCTGGTGGCAATTTGCCTCGTGGTGTCTCTGGGAGCTGCGATAGGCGCTAGCGTTTATCACAGCCACTCTCCGTTGGGTCAAGACTTGGAGCTGCCTCACGACGACGTCGAAAGGCTCGTCAGGATTTAGTTCCACAGGCCAGCTGCGACTGCTCCTTGTGGATGTCAGAAAACTTGTCATTGATCTTGCAGCCACAGAAGTAGAAAGTATTTTTCTTTGTTCAGCCATTTGAGTCTCACAGTCCATATCAACTAGTTTACTTTCTTGATCAATCCCAAAATTTGATGTCGTGAGAGCAAGCAAAATCTCATACAAATCTAGTCCGTACCTCTTTTATGTACAAAATAACCTCTTTACCTCTGAATAAGTAAACAATGTGAGGAATGAGCCTTCTTGTGAATGCACAAGGTTCACCATTGCCATGAATGACTTATCATTAGAGATTATTGTCTGGTACTATCTTTTCACATGAAAATTAATCTCTCTATTCTGAGATGTGAATATATTCACATCTCATCAAATGCTCGTACCACTCTTGACTCCTCTTCTCTCAGTGTTGGTTGCTTCAGCAAAATAAAACACAATGGCAACACGTAGAGGTTCAATATTTTCAGTTGATAAATGACAACAAGGTTACAAGTTGCTGACACACAGATAACATAAAATTTGCTATCACCACATACATTCAGTTTGAATTTTCTTAAATTATATTCCATTAAGGTAAAAGTAGACTTTGTTATTCTTAGTATTATCATATGCAACAAACTTGACTAGTGGTAGCACAGATAAATATTATCAATCTTCAAAAACATCAAGTTGAAATATCGTAATCATTAGAGAAGCCTAAACAACGATATATCAATCATACAAAAAAAATTCGAAAAAATAACTATACTTAAAAACATTCAAAAAACCAACAAAAAAAAAGTTCGTTTCAATCCATCTTGGACCTTATTTCAAAATTTACCTTCTACAATAATATTTCTATTCAAAAAATTATTGTTTGTAAATTCTAAAGATTTTTAAATTCTTAGACACTTACTTTAGGTCCGATTTTTCACCTTTTGCGCAATAAATTACACATTTAATGATTACATCATTTTCAAATAAAAGAATCATTATATGATAAGTTAGAACATACAGCTCAAGAGTTCTATTCAAATTATTGAAACATCGATATTCAAATTTTAGCATTGATCATGAAGATTTTGTTTTATTCATAGTAATTATAAGCTTAAAATAACTTCTTAATTTTTTATTTTACAGATTCAAACATTAATAAATTAATATTAAAATTTCATATGATAAATTCTAAATTATAAAATTTTTATTTGATCATACTAGCTTTGAATTCAATTTACCTAAAAAATCATTTACACTTCACTTAAAAATGAAATAAAATATATATATATATATATAGAAATTATATATATCTAAAAAATCATACAAATTATTTGGATCATAGTTGTCAAAATGAATTTACATTTTAGCCAAATTCAGTTTTCTTTGTTTAAAAGTATATGATTCCACACTAGCTGATATGCACCACAAACAAACTGCTAAAACCTTAACTTCAATATGCATACCTAAATTGAACTTTGTATTCTGAATCATATTGTTTCCAAAATTAATATTGTCACCCATTGCAATTTCTTTCGAATCGAACTTAAAACCTCTGTTAACTCTAAATTTGTGTTTATCATTTATTTTTTGAATAAAATTTCAACTATAACCCTTAATCTGTGGAAATAAAAGGAAAAATGCCACATGCGAGGATTATTGAAGTATATAAATAAATATATTTCTCATCTTTAGAAGCATGGAATCTGATCTTGTGCTATATTTTCACTCATTGCATATTTGAAATTTCAAAGGGAAGCAAGTAAAAGTACCAAAGTGTTACATCAAGCCACATTATTATGGAACCAAAGCGGGACAAACGTCAATCGCATTACAAAAAATACTTGTCATGTTTCAGGCAATATTTTCAAATTATGTAGGTAAAAAATATAAAGAAATACAGCATATGAATAATCAAGTGGTTGATGTTTTATGTTCATGACTAGATGATGGTCTACGTGTAGAAATTGAAACACGTTGACTATCGTAAGCTATACAAGTCTAGAAAAAATCTCAATGCTGGAGTGCATACATGACATCGGATATAATTATGTGATGTCATATGCATGCTTATTCTGTTATGAGTTATGGTCTAACTAGCTTGTAAGCTCTATGAAAGTAGCATTCTAAACCTATTTCATCACAAGAGAAAAGAGAGATCAACCCTTTTTCTATCAAGTGTTGGAAAAGTGTACTAATAGCTGAAAGAGACCGATCATGAATTCACGTGCAGTAAAGCTTGCATAGTACAAGAGGAGTGCAGAGATATGGAGACATGTCTTGGACTGTTTTCTGACGACTTAAACAGCTATGCACAGTCTATTCGGGCGAGGAACTAACAGTTTATTAACCAGAAACGAAGGATGCCTTTCCTCGTTCGATATTGGACTCTTATTATCTCAGCCTCAATGACATCCAGCTAAAATTATCTTAAGTTTCCCTAATTGGACTATACTAGTGAACGTGGTGGCTACTTTAGTAACCTCACAGAAGAAAGTGACCCACCACATCCAACTCCTATACAGTAGATAGTGTTGAAGTCACAACAAAAAATTTCGAGGCATGCCCGTGCCCCTTCCAAGATCAAAAAGCATGCCCGTATTTCAATATGTACATCTAGTATACAGTCCCGAACAGGTTTTATTTCTTGACTTATTCCACCGTCTATAACTCTAGAATATATGTATAATTTTTTTCATATATACGGGCATGCCTCCTATAATAATGTAAATGAGGCATGCCCCCTGCGCTCGCCCGGGGCATGCCTTAGAGGTTACAGCAAGTTCATGAATTAAAATTATCAATTGATATTGAGTCAATATTAATTAATATATTGGTCATGAATTGAGTACAATACTAATTACCACTCAAAGAGAGTGGCCACCTGTCTTCTTACTTTACGTGCCTGTCTTCTAGTGCTCCAAGAGTGCAAGAAATACCGACACAGTATACAGTGCTTGGTACGTCTCACATTCAGGGGAGCAACGAGAGATCGATCAATAGATGATGTGATCAAGTTGTACATCTGTAGCGAGTTGACTGTGGTTGGGTGATCGGCGTCTACAGAGCTTAACGTCCCCTGATGACATGATTGCTTTCACTGTGTGTGTTGCGGCTGTGGCGAGATGGTAAAGAGACGTCCTTGAACTTCGATCTTCGAAAATCACCGAGCATGCGCCTGCTGGATGCATGACAGCTTAGCTTCTGAGACAGTCGAAACAACTGCGCATCATCGTCTGGGCAGGGTTGGAAGTTTCTTCAGAACAGCCCACTTTCCGACCAGTAGGCTCTGACCAGCCACTTCTTGAGCTCAGATAGAGGGTGACATGTCGTGCCCATAGATTGCGTCGATTCCCGGCCACAAGCTTCTTCTTACTGCTTTGCTGCAGTGACTGAGACTGACTATGGGACTTTTACTCCTCGTCTAGTCTATCACGTACTGTACCTCTTTGTCCTTGGAGCAAGTGACAAAAAAACAAGTTTCAATGAGCCCTCCATTACCAAATATAGTTTCGTGCATCTCAGCGAACTACTGTCAGATGAATAGAATATGTTTAGCGAGCGCAGATGCTCGATCGAACGATCATAAACTATTTTCGACACAGGTTCAGTCGTTCATGAAATTCGAAGGGTTCGAATTATTGAACCATTGGACTCGAGGCGATTGAGACTACGAGTTTAGGGACAAAAACTATGGAGTTCGATAGAAACCGTGGACGCGGAGTTTCACATCAGTTAGCTTGTCATCATTACGTTACTCGTGCACTGCACACTATGGCAGTAGCTCTAAGCCTAGGCTCTGAGGACTGGAAGGACCTATAGAACATCAATCTCGGAGAGTGGGCATGAATGGAAGCACAGGTGTCGGTAGCCCCTTTCACAGCAGCAGTCAGTGCTGTGAGATTGAATGTCACATGTTCGGCAGGGCGGTGGGGCGTGGGATCGCATGTGCCTAGCTCGACCTTTATGACAAAGGCCAGCCAGAGTCTTACACCTTACAGCGTCTACGATCATACGACGTACCCGACTCACCCTACTCATTCTTCAGGAAGGAGCGACGCAGAAATCGCAGAGATGAGATGCTCTCGTTGCGTCAATCGACATCGACCTCCCTCGAGGTCTTTGTGCTCTAGGCCCTGCCTGCCACAGCCCAAGCCCAAGGACTGTACGTGAGCTTCCCCGTATACTCCTGCGCCATCTTCCCTCCGTGTATGCAGACGTATTCAGCGACTTTGGCCTTCCACTAGAACACTGACATCTCTTCTCAACCGTGTGCCGTAAAGTCTGAGCCCTCTGCTGAAATGTCCTCTCCATCGTCACCATGACGATTACGTGAGTGAGACCATACGACTGAAGCTCTCGACATCGAGACTCGTTCTCGATCCTGATAAATTCCAAGCTCTTTGTTTGTTTTAGACCCGTGGAAACCTGGGACATATCTTGCTTGTGCAAAATCGGGGCTATGGTGAGAATTGGCAGACGATTTTTCCTCAGTATCTATACTCTTGATATACATGAGCTTCAACTCTTGCTCATACCATCACACTTGAGTATGATGCTTAATGTTGCGTTCCAGGTTATCTGTGTTATATTAGTTTGCATACGATATGTAAACTGTGGTCACGTTAGACGGATTTTTCAATGTTTAATCTTGTGGACTTGATAATCAATTGGTGCAAGTGTATTACGTGGAATCATGTAGTCAGGACTACTCATCTCTAGTTTCGAAATTATGTTTGAAATGATACTTTTGAATGGATGAATTTATTAAAGTGTATATATACATATACACATAACTTTGTCTATAATGCTCTAATATCTCTTGTTGATATATTTCACTTCTTCGGAAGTGTTCTCTCTTTTCACACACATTCATATCACCTGAACAACACTTCCTTATCATATCATGTACATCTTTGTTTCCATCATTGGATATTTGTGACATGCGATTTGGCATTAAGAAAAGTATAAATTTTCAGTAAATTTTTTGATTAGTTCATCAATACATGCATTTTTGTTTCATCGTTAAGGTTTTGTTTGCATCTATTTCAATCTTTGCAATATGTGTGATGGTTGTACAAACTTGATAAATATACATTTCATAATTTATTATGACATTTGAGAGGTATTACATGTCAACGCTATAACATCAGCTTCCATCATATTTCTCCTTTCCATTTACCAGGCTGGAGGTCTAAGATATATTTTTATATAGCAACAAATCATCGTGTTCTACGTTAATTTGTAATGGATCCATCCATTCCTTACAATAGTATTTACTGTACGTCCTTGCTGACTATGGTATTGTTTTAGATACATTTGACTTGTTGACTTATCGCATAATATAATTAGAAATGTGTGTTTGCTATACCGCAAGAGTGTATATAACTGATATGTAGATAACGTTGATAGGACTTATGACACACTAAGGTATATACAAACCTAAGCTTGGTTTAAGGGAAACTTTGTATGACTTGGAGTCAGCTAGGTTTAAGAGAGATTTACGCTTGGTTTAGATTGAGTGTTCTAGAGACTGACGTTATTGGTAGTACACAATATCAAAAAAGTGGTCACTCGCCTTTTATATTAATGGCGGTTTTCATCTATAGAGATAGTCAATTAATTTCACTACTTCTTTCATTAACGTTCTACTTATGTTAAAATATGTATATGCTTTATATACTGTAGTGGAAGTGTATAATATTGAATTTTGATATATCTATCACATCCATCATCTAAAATAGAGTTTGGTTGTGGACATATTCATTTTGGACAAAAATGTTTAGATAATTCTCATGTCATATTATATAGTTAATCTACACGATAATATATTTTTGATTTTCATCAAAGAATACTATCCCTGATAGTAGTTACTGACCGAGAAGGGCATGGAGCCCTGAGTAGACCGAGCTAACCTCAATGGAATCACTGTATGTTGTTGGGCATACCAGACCTTTGGGAAAATCACACATTCCGACATGCGGGAGCAGGTCAGCGTAGCGGTAAGAATAGTAATTTTGCCCGAGAGTCTGTATGGTGGCACTCGACAATCCACTGACTTTCGCCTCACAGAGAAAGAAAAATTCTGTTGCCATGGAAACAATAAATGACAAAAACACGTTGGATCCAGGATTAGGATTCGATTATAAAGATGGCAAGGCACGATGGAGTGTACCGTTCGGCCGACTGGATTACAAATATGACATTGGGACAATCAAAACGCATTTCAGCTCACACGCAAGGGACACTACTGACGCCTCGGAGGCTGTGCTGTGCACGCACGAAGCTCTATTTGGAGCCAAGGCCTGGCTGGAGGAGATGGAGAAATGACGCCCGCGAATCTTCGGCGGACTTGGCGTAGCGTACATTCCACAAACTGGTCCCCTCCATCGCCCGCATCTCGCGACCCGAAGATAAGCTCACTGTCGAGCGAATTTCTAAATTTATTCCTCGACTGGACAATCTTGTGAGAGCTCCAAGCTCTCCTGTCACGGAATCGGTTGGGCACAAGTGCTCGGCTGGCTGAACAGCGAGCGGCCCAACGTGATTCTCACTACATCTGATCGACAACCACAGAGAACTAGAAACGAGACGACATCCGCCTTGGCGGCTGGCTGACTGCGAAACCGCTTCGGAATGACAATACTCTCACGACGACGGCTAAGAATTTTGTACAGAACGTGCACACAGTTGCAGAACGCAGATTTCTAATTCTAATCGTTTGCATGAGAAGAACTTCACAGTCCCAGGACGATGATGCTGTGATAAAACTGGACACAGAATGAATGTGGAGAGCTGTAACTAGAACAAATCTATTCTAGTGCATTTGGTCGAGACAGAAACGAAAAACAAGGTCGAATCATGAGGCTCAGTTTCGTGCTAGATCAGCAAGTTTCAGCCAGAGATCATACGGTTGTTAAAGGTGAATGCCGATCAGAGCTCTTCGACCGGGACCTGGTCGTAGATCTTACTCGTTCATCACAGAAGAGGTTTGTCGAGCCCTCCTCCTCGGGACCAGAGATGGAGGAATCTAATCGCTGCTCGATTCAAGTGCACATTCAGAGACGGAGGTGAGCTTGGACGTAGAAAGATGCAATTCTGAGCTCAAGGTTCGACGCCCACGGTCGTTGCGAAACTGCTGAGGGCGATGTTGAAAGCTTGGAATGCGGACAGAGGATACCGATAATCCAGAGCGTACAGGCCTTTGCCTATTTTGCCCAGCTGCATCACCACCGAGTCTTCTCTGCGGTCTTCATTGTCTCGTGCTTCATCACTGGATTCGCCATCTTCGCTGCTGCTCACATCCAGCGACCTCGAGGTCCCTTCCGGCAGCAGGAGCTGAAAGTTGTGCATCGATGGCAGGGTGGCACGGCCCTTGAAATCCAGAGACCAGCATTGTCGTCGGACGTCCCACTCGGGAATTTTGCTGGTGAACATGGCAACCTTCTCTCCCTTCTTCAGCAGCCCGGGCACTCCACTAAGCTTCAACTTTTTCTGGAGATTGTCCATGGGAGGGGAATCACTCCTCGTCATAGCTTTCTCCTCGATGATCGACTTGCCGATGTCTTCTCTCAAGCTTTGGTATCCACGCGGAGCATGGGCCGATCGAAAGGAATTGTTCATGTTCGAGATGCAGCTCCACCTCCAGAACGTCTTCGCTGCCAGAGGAGAAAAGCAGGCGCTCATGCCGTGCTGGGACATGGGGCAGCCCAGACCTCGGGGCTTGTTTCTCGGGGCTCTGACCACGCATGTCATCTTCCTCTGGCCCACCCCATCCACCACATCCTCCGTGAATCTAACGAAAGTCACAGGCCTCGCCTTACTGGTGCCATCTCTCGAAGACCCAGAATTGTGATAATCCCAGAGCACGAACGCCGTTCCCCAGAAATTTGATCTCAATTTGCCCATGAACCCAAACGACCTGCGAGAGAAACTCCGTCTGTCTGCGCTGATCATGAACATCATATGGCCGGGCCTCCACCGCTTACAAGCGCCCAACATGAAATTGCACTTACTTTCTCGAAGCTCCTGTCCGGAACCGCAATCGCTCTGGTACAGAACAAAAGTGCCCCCTTTCCTCCGCATGACACATTGCATAGGTTTATCAGGGGGCCCCGACTCGCGCAGGGCCGAAGGGAACTGAAGCAGGCCGGTGGAGGAAAATGGGTTGTACGCAATATGCGATTGGATGATGAGACGCCAGCTCCGGCACACTGCTGCCATGGCCACCACTCTGCGCATTTCGTCATTGTCAGCTGCAGCTCGCTCCTGCACTTTCTGCAACACCAACACCAGGATCTCCGAGGCGATGTTCGCCCACTGACCCTCCCATTCCAGTCGATCTGACAGCACCCGAGTGTAGCCGGCAGTGGCCGGGCCCGTCAGAGACCTCATGGCTGCCACTCACTCGCTGATGTTGGAACCGAACTGGTCCAGCTCCAGCTCCAGGGGTCAATCAATCGCCCTCGCCTTCAACGCTGCTGCTCGTCACCGATCGCTCCGAAGGTGCTCGTCATGCATGATTGCTCGCTGCCTCGAGCCCGCCTTCCTCCTCCTCCTCCTCTTTGCATGCGAACCTCGTCATAACACAGAAGAAGACGACGGCTGTATGTACAAAAGCTGCACAATGCTCTATCTCTCTATCTCTATCTCTCGTTCTCGTCGCGTGTGTCACATCCTCCTAATGCCAATAAACTAACATATCCGGTCACCGCCCACATGTGACGCGGATCTGCCACGCACAAGCTGTGGGCGGGCACATTATTCTGGCAGGCAATTGCGGTCTAGCTCCGAGAAGAAGAGCGACCCAGCCTCGCTGCTGCCCTGAGACCCACATTACACACTCCTCCGCAAATCTCCTCCTTAACGTCATCAACTCGAAGCCACCACTGAGAGGGAATGAGGACACTGCCCCTTCCCCTGCTCAGCTCAGCTCAACTCAGCTCAACTCTGCTCTGCTCTGTCTGCTTGGCTTTGCTTCGCTTGCATCGACTCACCGTTTCTTCTGCTGCTGCCTCGCTAGGTCACGCGTGAACCACTGGCCAGACACACTTAGCGTGTTGCGATCAATCGCCTTCTACTACCGCAGCCTGGCATTCCCTTCTCACCTCCCCTCCTCTCCTCTCACCACCCCTTCCCCTTCCCCTTCCCCCACTCGCTGCGCACACTGTTCGTTGCTGCTGCTGCTTCTGCGGCTCATCACCGTCATCATCAGCCAGAGTGAAATTACATTCATCATCCTCGTCAATCAATTTTCCTCCTCGGGCCATGATTGCCCAAATCTCTCTGCTCCCCTTCATCTCTTCCTCCCCCTTCTGCTGCTGCTTCTTCTTCTTCTTCCTCGACGTGCGCTTCCGGAACGGGCTCAGAGTCCACACCCTCGGAGCGCCCGCTGTTTTGTCGCTTGCGGCCGATTACCTGCTCTTCAAGACCGGAACCCCGGTTGTCCGCCGCGCAACGACTAGTGCCCCCGTGATCCACCGGCCCCGGCGACTTCCACCCACCGGGAACTCCTCGCTCGGCCCCGTCGCGCCGGGTTCGGCTCTAGGGGCTTTATGTAAAATCTCCTGGTTTTCGGGACCTCCGACCGGCACCCGACCGGCACCCGAGCGCCACTGATTCCGCGCCGCGTGGCCGCATCCGTACGCTGTTCTGTTCCGCCTACGCAGCAGCCCTCGGCACCTGACCGGGACCTGAACAGAGCTTCCCGTTGAACGCCGCTCTGTCGCCGTCCCAGGGACCCTGTGCCACCGGCTACTGCAGGTGCGAGCTCGTTCCGAATCTCCTCCACCTTCCCCTCCCCCCTCGTCTCGTCTCGTCCTGCGTATCGAGCTCCGTGAGGAAATCATCGACTTTGACTCCAATCATGGAGGCGTTGAAATTGTTCGAACCGCTGATTTGCTCGATCTTTCGAGCTGGACCGAACTCCCTTCGTTGGGAATTTTGTCACGAAATGTTTGGTGCCCATCGAGTTCTGCTACGGTGGCGATGTTTTTGGGTTGCAAGTGCTGCTAGATGTAGCCGCTGCACCCGAATTACGTCCATCCGAGATGCCGATGCCTCTGAAATTCGTGAGCCCACAATTCATTTCGGCGATTCAATCCTCCGGAACTCCCTCGTGCTTTATGAATCGTTTCACCAGATCGTCGTGTGCGACTGGCATCACGGTACTTGGCCTTCCCATCTTGTTTCATGCGTGTTGCTTAGTAGTTGATTAGATTCTAGACAAGCCCCATTGGAGTAGGTGAATGATGGCCCAGCATCTAAGATTGAAACCACCCCTCAAGACAAGTGGAATTTGACCCCATTGATCATGCGTTTGATTTTCCATTTTCCATTATTTTTAATGCATCATCGTAACCCCCTGTGCTTCTTTCTGTTACTCCTCTTGTTGTTTGGCTTACTTGATCATTGACTTTTGTTTGTATTCTTGCGTGCCGTTTTGCGTCGACCAATGTGACTATTTGCCATTTTCCCAATTGATGACTTGAATTTCACGAAATTTGCCAGCCACGAATACACATCATTCGCATTGTTGGGAACCGTGGAGGTCAAAGGGTGGAACGGAAAATTTAAGTCATCGGAAGAGGAGAAAGGTGACCAATCATGACTTTCAAACATGCTGCACTGGCTACATTCAATTCCAGGTTTCAAGTGGGCCTGGGGATTGCAAGTTTCCCTCTCGAGTACTTACTCGTTTTGGAAGTGGAATGTCCCATTGAGCATTGAGCATTTTGCGCAAAAGATGAGGTCCCATGACCACTTCGCATTTAACAGACACGAAGACCCACAACCCCTTCCTAACCATAACCTTCCCAACATCAATTCCCAGTTCTGTGAACACATTCTTACGACATGAAGAACAGCCACACCATGTGTCCACATATATATGGATCAGATATTTGGATCCTGAATATCCGCTCGAAGAGATTTATAAAACTCAACGAAGTGATGAAAATTCGGTATGGCATTCAAAGGTTCAAAGGGAAATTTGGATGTGGTGACACACTTCTCTGTCTCAATTACAATACCTCCGAACAGATGAGGAAAACAACTTCACCATGTTTTTAGACTGCAGTCTGCAGAAGAGAGCTTCCAACAAAAAAGGCAGCAAGGCCCCATCTACCACCAGGCTAGAATCTGGAGACCATGAAGAGAAAATCCATTTCGTGACAGTAGAAAAACTCGCCAGATTCGCTCTCATGAGCTGAATTTTGAGCTTGAGTTGTAAATCCACCACAAATCTGAACACCGGTTAGGAGAGCACCAGTTTGGACCTCGGGCACGTCAAGCAAATGAGGCAGTTGCGCTCTGCAGGTCCGATGTACGTGGGGGAGGGGACTTTCTGGCCCTGCCTCACGTCACGCTTCTCGGCCTCTGCCGTCCGTCATGATCTGACCGAATCTGCAACGCAAAACCTTCGACATCCTTCACTTTACTGGACAACAGTTCTCGCCATTTTGTTTACTGCGCCCGCCCCAGAACAGAAGGCTGGAATATATTTGGTCGTCTGGTCTGCTGCCGTGCCTCCTCCTTTTTCTTCCTTTCCATCGTTCGATCACGAGCAGTAAAGGTGGGAGTGAGGTTTCCCCTTTATACACTTTACGTTCTACCTCGACTCGAGTGATATACCATACTTCAAAAGCTTCGATGAGAGACATGGCCATGTACTCGCATTGGTTCCTTCAGGATAAGGGCCACTACTCAAGCCATTTTTAGTTCTACAAGGTTTCAATGCCACACATCCCCTTGCCTCCTTCAAGATAAGGATCACTAATGAAGCCAATTATATGGATGTGCCTGGTGGGAAAGAGACTGTCCTGTATGAGACTGTCCTGTATGAATATTGCCTATAGTATCAAGATGTAATACAACCTCACGTTTATCAGTTTCATTTCGTGTACAAACTGTAGAATATACGGAGCTCATAAATCCAATTGCTATGCTGTGAATTTCAATACTTTGTGATCTTTGTATAAAAATATATTGAGTTTTACTTGAATAAACTGGAAGATAGGCTATAGATTTATAATACACATCAAGCTCTTGGGCATACTCTCATGAATAAATCTCAAAGCTTAAGTAATAATGGGGGGGTTTTTTTTTCATCACACAGTGTTTGAAGACTTTGGTGGTTGCGTTTCCATTCGCCACCTATCAAAGATTTGATGGATAGTCAGCCATCTAATAATCAATGAATTGTAAGATTGTAAACATAATGTTGCAATCGTAACCAATTTGAACCAATTATGTGTATGTTGACAAAAACCCAAGTTGAACGTACTACAATTCATTAATTAACAAATTATTAATCTTCATGTTTCATCGCAAACACATCAGAATTGATGAATCATGGGTAACTATCCCTTGAATTGCGAAACTAACATCAAGTGATATGAAAAAATAGAAAAAAAATCATATTCACCCATAAAGTATAAAAGGTTGGAATTTACCAAACCAGGATGGACATTCAAAGAGAAAGAAAGTCGTGCAAAGGTTATAACACAAAATTTGACTTACAGGAATCGAGATGCAGGATAAATATATCATTCTTGACCAGCGTGTGTTTTTTTTTTCAACCATATGAAGTGAAAGAAACTGCCAAAGGTACCTTGATAGGATAAGTTAAGGATTCTTCTCTCTCTAGCTTTACTTGTGCGTGCATAGCACAAATTGTACTGCTCCGTCCAATCCATAGTTTATGTTCATAATTGTGGGATGCTTCTTTTGCTTCGTTTAGCTTTAGAGGGTTTCTCACCGTGACCATTATGAGAAGACAAGGACCGGCAGTTTACGGGCGATTATCTGCCAGTTACTCTCTTCCTCTTGTATACGACACGAGCTTCCCTCAAGAGCACAGTACAGTAGTGGAGAGCTCTTCGTACTCTGGACATGGTCTACGGGCCTACCCAGTGGGCTTTGTCCTTCGGACGCTGCCAGGAACCGGTTTCCAGAGCGATGAGGAAGAAGCAAAAGGTGGTGTCCTTGTTCTGGAGTGTTGGTCGTGCCGCTGTCCTCCAGATCTTCAGATATTTAGGCGCAGTACAGGAAGAATTCAGAGCTCGAGGTGTTCAGAGATCTGCCGGAGGTGATGAGACCTTCTTCACCGAACGATGGCATGTCCGGACTGAAGTACTGTGCTGTTTGCTGTCGACCTTCTGCTTACACAGGTTGGTTTTATCTTCCTGCTTTACCAGTAGTGGTCGAGAAATATATGATAGCTCGTGTTTTGATCAGTCTCTTCTGTCGTCCGATGACATTCAACAACAATTCTTCACTGATATGTTCGATCATCCTTTCCAATCCAAGCGTTACTTGTTCACCATTATGTTTCCAAATTCCCTCCTTCACCGGAATTAATCTCCCATCTGTCATCGCAAGAATAAGTCAGCCGAGTTCTTCGCTGAGCACAAACCTGGGCCAGCCTCGTGCCTCCAGTCAAGAACTCGCCGAAATTCCACGCGGACAAATCACATGATTACATTACTGATGTATCATTCCCTCTTGTATTCACATGCCTGATTTTCAGGCCGAGTTGTGAATTATGTGACTTGTGTACAAAACCGGAGAACGAAGTAGATCATGAGTTCGAAAATCCTCATAAGTGAATTGCCCAGTATGTATCGGATAGCAGGTTTAAGTATGTACCTCACATAGTCTGCCCATCGGAGAGTGAGTGGCGGTATAGAAGGTGTGTATGCGAGTATCACATCACATCGACTGCTGCAAATGAGCTTGTACACAATCTCTCTGAAAGCTGTACTGAAGTCTACCAAATCCCAGCAGAGACGGACGACTTGACATGGGGCGTACTGTCGCACCTCGCTTAGTGCAACCTCTATAATTGAAAACCTTCTATAAGTGCAAGGCCAAACAGGACTCTGTAGGAGCTGCAATCTTTCAATGATGGTTTAGTAAGTGCATGTACCCCTGCCTGCCTACCCTCATGTGAAGCTACGACGTACTGTACTGTACGATGAATCGATGGCTCAGAGAGCTTGACAACGGAGCGACAGACGCGGATTGCATCTTTCTGACAAGATTCGAGAATCACATCTGCCGAACCTTTACGAAGTTGTGTGCGATTCTTTCTTGCTGGGTGGACTGTAGAACAGTCCTTCATCCATCGTCCTCAGTGACAGAAAAGAACGCAAAAGAGATATGGTTACAGGGCGAGTGAGAGAGATCGGTCGTGTAATTTCAGTCTTCTATTACACTACCGAAATTATCGGGTTGAACTCCATCAGCAAAATATTTCTTAATCCGAAATTTCGTAGTTCTGATCTATATATTTTAAACCGAGAGGCACCACTGTTCACAATATCCTGTCAGTGGACAATCGAGCTGCTGTAGACAATTGTCATGCCTCCCATTCAGGCGTTCGATTCGGTCTGTACTCTGAAGTGAAGGGAAATTATAATCATGTCATAAGCAAATGCAATTTCTATTGGGATGGGCGAGACACTTAAAATACATCTAACAGTAACTTTTCCATGCATTATATATTTAAATTGAAAGGGATAAAACATTTCAAATATGTCAATCATTTCTATTTTGAAAAATTGTGACAATGTTGTACTGTACCGGGTTAGGTTATCTCCAGGATATTCAATTCTTTAACCATTAATTTGTGAAGACATGTCGAATTGCATTTTCTAGTGCTATAAGATATGTGATTGTGTTTACCATCATTCAATGTCCACTTTTCGAAAGTGCATCTTCACCGTTCATACCATTTGGTTATTGTTGTAATTAGTACATATACAATTTTTGAAATAATCGATAAGTTATTGCTTGTATATTTTAATGATCTTAACTATTCTTGAAATTAAGAAATTTGACTGCATTGTCTAAATAATTAAACAAATCAAGTTGATTAGTTTGAAAAAGTTGGAATAAATATCTCATATTAGCCAACTGCATTCACTACCATGTCCATTGAGTGAATAAGAAAATAAAATACTGTTTGAGTCACAAATTTTATATGATCAAGCAATAATCAAATCATTTGAATGCATCATGTTACATATCTATAAAAATAAAGTAAATATAGCATAAAAAGTGTGATATTTACATGTATATTATAATAAAAAATAAAAAATAGAGTTAAATTGAAATAAGTACATGTCAATTATGCTTGTGTTAAGTTGAAATTTTTCCTGGGTTTATTATATTTTGAATATGTTAGCTGTTATATTTTGATACTCTAAAATTGCACACACTCTTATGCAATGTATTTGATTTTCTTCAGTTAACAATCTTGAGATTTGAAAACTTCATAATTTAAACTAAATTAAAATATTTTTTGGATTATTATATTTCTTATAAGTCAATATTTAATTTCATTTGATATACTCTATGATTGGCTAAATTTTGAAAGACTGTCTTGTAAACACAAAAGTAAACATTGTTCAACATAATATTACGATCAAATTGCATTTTTTATGTATAGATTTATTGAATGGGAGTTAAATTTATATTAATAATTTGAAATCTAAATGATTGGTGAATATATAAAAAATATTTACAAATATCTTGACTTTTCGATATCTCCAGAAAATTTAACTTAAATTTGCATGATGATAAAAAAATTTCATATACATGAAATTAAGAAGCTATTTTGTAAGAATATTTTGTAAAATTATTAAATTAAAAAAATTATTAAAATTTAAAAATTTATATAAATAAATCAGTCAATCAAAATTTTGAATGAAACAAAAGTAAAATTTTCAAGATCAAGAAAAATTATATTTTTAAAGATTATTCATCAGTTGAATACTTTTCCATAAAAAATTAATCTTAATGGCTAATTTTACATTTTTAAATTTCCAAAGTAAATTTCAGAATATAATTTTTCTCATGATTTTTTTGTGTGTTAAATTTCTGTTATTTGCAATAAAAGAAGATTTTTTTTCACCTGCAAAACGTTTTGTATTGATATTATTTGCACAAAATTATATTTATCTTTTATCCATGAGATATAAATAAAAAATATTTATTATTGAAATATTTCATACAATTATTCATTAAGAATAGAATAAGAAAATATGAATATTATAAATGTTAGATTTATTTCAATTTGGTTTCTTGCAAAAATTGAATAGATTATGAGTTTTGGGGTTTCTTCAAATTTTAGTTTTCGATGATATATCGTTGATGACATAATTGAGAAAACTTTCAAATTAGATTAGATTTTAAACCTATGCGCATAATATTAATATTATGTAATATTAACTTCTTTATAAATTTTTTGAATAAACATTTTTTTTCTCAAGAAAAAAATTTGCATACATTTGTAACATGTGCAATAGAGGATATCTAAAATTTAGATTCATTAAATATATTTTTTCATCGTATTTAAAAAATGAAATATATTCATTAATTAAAAAATAATTCATTTTTTAAAACTTACACTGAAATCATATATTAATTCTGCTATAAATTGCATATCATATGCAACATTTGGTAACAAGATTAACATACTCTCAAATTTTATTTTTAATGTAGATATCCTTTGTGAATATGTAATATATTAAAATGTCTTTAATGACTTTTTCATAAAATCGCTGGCTTGATTATATTAGACTACCGTAGTAACATTTCTTTTCATCGAAATAAGGACAATAGCTTTTCATGAAATTGATCTAGAGGAATTGAATAGTCTTGTTCATAAAGTTGTGTAGATTTCACCTGAAGTTGGAAGAATGGATTTGAAGTATGCATAATACACCTCGAACGTGGAGACAATAATCATTCACAATGTTCTGGATACGAAAATGTTTTGGTGCAACTTTTATTACGAATGGTTAGATGTACAAGGGTTACATTGATATGTATCAAAACAGCTTTATCATTAAAAGATGGTAATAACATTGTTATCATCATCTAGATGACAGTACAGAAGTAGAGATCGACAATAGTGTGGTGACACCAACAAAATAAATGCGTATGTTGATAACGTGTGAATTACGTTACTATGAATCCAACTTGCAACGAGAATCTAGAGATATACTAGTGCTGTGACTTTGGGCGATTGCAGTGCTTCAAGAATTTTAACCAATCCAGAGACTCTGCTAATAGCACTAAAAAACTAGAGATCAGATCTCATTAGATGCTCTGCAATCAAACAAGATTGGCATTAAAATATTTCTGTACTATTATCTCCATCTAACAGTTGATTGAAGTCTTAAAAGTATCCAACAAACATTCTGAAGCCTTCGATATTTGAAGCTTACGTGACAGAAGTAAATGTTGTTCTCTACTTCCAGCGACTAACATTCCATCCTTTTGGTGTGACGGTGCTACTTAATATTCTAACAGTGACATTCTCTTTTATTTCCTTCTTTTCTCTCACAATGTCACCTTCACATTTATTTGATCCTCACATTTGTAGCCTTGGGGCTCCTTCAAAGTAGACACACAATTACGAGAGGAAGTGAAGTGGCCTATCCACAGTTTGGATCTGTTGCGGTTGCTGTCAACTCGTGCTCGCCACGACGGGAAGCATGATGGAAAGCGAGGTCGGATAAATTGTTGTTTTATGAAAATTTGGCGACATCCGTCTCGAAGTCAGTCGAGCGTGCAAATTTTATATTGAAGTCCCGAAGGCGGCCAGCGGCCTTCATAACTCGAAGGACATAGCGTGAAATTCTGGGGCCCCATGAGTGTCGGACGAAAGTCCATCGGACGGAAATGTTAATGACCCGGGCAAGCGTCCGGCAATTCGGGAAGGAGAGGCGTTTGCGTTTCCGGGACCTCAGGTTTGCGGCAGCCTCGAGCGACGAGCGGTGACGGAGAAGTCCAATCAGTCATGCGTCAGAGACCGACCTACCGACCGGAGCTGACGAGCCAAATCGACGACCGATTTCGGCCGAAAACACGAACCCCCGGAACGTTCGCGACATTTCCGTGCGAAGGAGGGACAAAGATGCTCGACAGCGGCTCGTCCGTTGGCAGCGCTTGCGTGCAGGATCGGCGCACGGAAATTGTGTTTCGCGGTCCGCAAAGCGCGAGGGGCCGGTGTCCGGAGGCCCCCGCGCGCGGTCAAACCTAGCGCGAGGACGCAAAGTCGTTTCTTGCGGCAGTGGTGCGAATTGCCACATTGCCACATTGGGACAAAGGGTCTGGTGGCTGCGACGGGTTCCGGCGGGAAGGAATGTTCTTGTATGGAGGGAGGGGTGAAAGAGTTTTGGCGGTGGAAGGGGGCCTTATCGGGTCATAGCAAAGGTGCGTTCTTACGAGGGAGAAAAGAATAATAATGAACATTTCCTCGATGAAAGTGGGAGGTGAAGAGGATGAATGTTGTCTATGCCTACCGAAGATCCTGCGCGGTAAAGGAGACAGAAATTTGGAACTGGTGTTCTGGCCCCGATGATATTCAATCATTTTCAATGTTCGTTGCTTCTTTCAGTAGATGAAGGAAAAGATGATGGCGAAAGTCTTAAGTCTCGGAGCACATGGCGCAAACCCTCATGCGCTCAACTTAGGGTTTCCTCATCGGCGGCTTTCCAACCTTGTTATTCTCGTTGTTCTTGCAGATGTAGCGTCGCGCTCTGGCTCCCTGTATTACTGCTGTCGTGCTCGGGCTCCGTAGACGCGACCTCACCGCATACCTCGATTTTCACCGCCCGGGATATTCTGCTCTTGCGGTTGTATCGAATTCTTTCGCTTTTCTTGGTGAGTTCTTTTCGCCTCTGGTTTCTGATCTTTGGTCCAGAATGGCTGGACTATCTTTGGAGCAGTTTTCCGTCAGCAGATGAGCCTGCGTTGAATCTGTGAGACATGCTCGGAACACGAAAAGGATTTTCCAATTAATCCACGGTCTTCAATGAGTCCTCTGTAATCAATAATCAGCTGTCAAATTAGAAGGTGGTTTAATTGCAATATGAATGTCATAAACGGTTCTATTTATTCAAAGCAAGCAATCCACGATTCTTGAGCAGCACCTTCTATGGATACCAGAAAAATGTCCCGTCTCTATTTTTCCCGCCAGTTACTCTATCAAATTGGGCTTATGAAAAGTAAGTACGTCATGAAAACAAATGTATCACAATGAAATGGATATATATATTTTTGCAAATTAATCCGCAAAAGTTCTTCAAATAATCATCTACTCACGAAACATATTCTCCCCTATCTGCTTCGTCATCCCTGAAATTCAATTAAGCTGTTATTTCACAGCCTGTGTTGTAGTTACCGCCGAATATCATTTGCAGTCTGATGTTTATCTGCTAAGCACAGTCCCAAATTCGCAATTTAGCTCAGTACATTCTCTGTCCTTGGAGACGTGGTGTGACGATAACTTTGTTGACTCTATATGCGCCGGCCGCGCCTCATATATTATCTGCACATGATGTCTTTTCCTTCAGTCCTTCAAGGTTGTGTTTGTCTCCGTTGGTTTTTTCTTATGTTTCCTTCTCCGGGAGCTGTCTCACTATTTTAAACCCGACGATCTCTACCCTTCCCTGTTATGTTAGTGAAAAGTGAGAAAACATAGAATGTGTTTGAGAAGGCCATAAGCTTGTAGGTAATGTCACATGCTTCGGTGCTTCGGGCATGATAGCAATTTCACTTACAGCCACAACAAAGTTATGTATGTCCTGTATTTCGACTGAGATTATCGAGTTCTTCCCACCAGTCTAGATTTCTTTTGAACTGCAACGAGTTTTCTCAGTGTACCACGTATTCTCTGGCTTGCAGCCTACGACAAGCTATTAGTAAGGATCTCATGCAACACGAGATTGCCTCCTGTTTTGCAACCTGATCAGGGGCATCGCCCACGCTCCGACTGCAACTCATGCATAACGTCTCTTTCCTTTTCAAAAGTACACGGAGGAGTTTTATTTAGTAGAGTGTCAGGAAGCAGCGTGACGCAGTCGGATGTCTTTTTGGCGAAGTAATCTTGATGCAAGCTGTATGTTCATGTTGATATCGACAACAGGGGAGTTCACTCATAACTCTCCTGTTGTCGACATTATGCATACTGTGCATGTTAGTCTTTGAAATTTGACGTTCGGAAGGGATGGAACGTTGAGCTTACAGTGGTACAATCAAAATTTAAGAGATATCTGCCACCTGTATCATCATGTGTAGGTCTCTCATCCAAGTGCGCGAGCACAGCATATATTGCTTACACCTGGCAATGTTACCATGGAGGACACAAAAAATGTGCAAGCCCTGGGAGTTTCCAGTGCAAGAGGAGCGGGAGAGGGCTTAGACATCGATAGCACCAAAGTTATCGAAGAAGGCCCTAAAGAAAGTCCGCAGTTGGAAAGCCTGAAGGTCACGCCTATAGAACTTGCCCCTGCCACATTACTGAAACAACAGCCACCTGACTCTGGCGTGCAGCTGAAGGAAGACGGCAGAGACAACAAGGAAGGAAGTTGTGTCGCCGTCTCGAATCAACAAAATATTTCTGCGGAAAAGAAATTGGTGGCTGTCGAGGTCACTGTTAATAGTCACGAACTCGAAGAGCCTGTGGGAGCTATCACGTCGCTTCCAGGTATGGTTACGAGAATTTTCTTTCTATTTAAGTCGTTGAAAAACTACCTATATGGTAAACTGTATAATATGCTGTTTTTGATAAGTGTCAATGGATGCACACAGTTTCCACTTTGATCAGGATGTTTACCAGCAACATTTCTTAACCTTTAACGTATAAGTTGACGAATATATCTTGAATCTTTCTTCATGTCCTGCTTTCCACAGGGGAAGTTGATACAGGTGGGACACAGGACAATCTTGGAAGTGAGTTTGAAGAGATTCTCCTCCAAGACGCAAGGCTGGACGTGAAGCAAGAACTTGACCTTGACAGTTCGTGGGCATCTGAAAGCCTAGAGAATGGGAAGCATCTTGACAGAAGCAACCAGCTCGATGCCACATGCAAGGCAGAGAAGCATATGGAAGGAGAGGGTATACAACCTATTCCAGAGACAACTCTGAATGGCGTCCTTGACAAATTGAGCAGGTACGGAGTCTCTTCTTTTGTACGGGTCTCAATACTTGTGTTTTCCACTCGTCTTAGCCCATTTCGTGTTCTCTGGTAGGTGATGCTTCAGGTAAACAATCACCTCAACGTTGGTTTCATTTGCCTCCTGTCAAGTAACGTAAAAGACGATTTAAGTTTACCTGACAAAAGGTTTGCTACTTATCCTTCGCATATTGCGTCGGATAATTTTCTAACTTTGCCTTTGTGGTTATAAAAGAAACACGGAAAGGACGATAAGTCCTGTGGCAGAGGACTAGAAATCGAGTATAGTCCCTGTCATTCCTCTCTTCCGTATTATGTTGAGAGAAGTTTGGATGCATATCTGTTCTGTCAAGCAGCTGTCTACCAATAGGCATCGTCGCTTGCTGTGCGGATGGCAAGAACTTTAGCAAGCTTATAATTCTGTTTGTCCCTGGTACTGAGTGTACTATCAGGGGGCCATGGTGTTATCTATCCTTGGCCCCTGTCGAAGTACTTATTTAGAGCCAATGTGACACATGGTTGTAGGAAGACCTAATTGAAAGGAATGATTTTGCATGATTGGAGCAGCCTGGATCCAAGCGAGATTTTCAAGGACCCGGTGGATGATTCTTTCGCTCCAAATTATTCCAAAGTTATCAAGACTCCGATGTGTTTTGCCATGATGTACGCTAAAATTGCTGAGCACCAATACATCACATGGCGTTCATTTGTGGTAAGCGAATGTCAGCCTCATCCCAGCATACGTATTCACTTTCTTTCCAACACGCAATGTACACTCTTTTCATTTTAGTGGTGATTAGAGACCAACATGGAAAATATTAAAGTAGTGTTTGGGTTTACCTTATGGAGCTAACCTCCAATGCTGGCATCTGTTTTTTGCTCTCTTGATTTTACTACCACTGTCTAGCTAGAATGCGCGGCCTACGCTCGTAAGGCTGTTACTGCCACTACTTCAAGAGTGGGGCCCGTATGGTAACCTGTGTTCATTAGTCAATTGCGCTAAATATCCACTCCAACCAGTCTGTGCGTCCTCGCTGTTGCTTTATATTCGATCTTTGTGTTCAGTAGTTGCGCCCATCCTTCCTTACATGTTGTTTTCAGAACGATTAACGACTGAGTTGGTGATCAAAATGAAGAGAAATTCGTGGCTCTACAGTATGCAGCAGTTTCGACGTTCACGGCTTAAGCAGAGAAAACACGCATGGCTTTGGTTACTTTCATGTTATTAATACTGAAAATCATATAGAAGTTCAGGGTTTTGGAAGAGCATTAATAAAGTTGGTCTTGCTACACACGAGGAACATTGTTCTGAAGGGTTTCAAAAGTTATAAAAGGAGTTGTCTAGCCGATCTACAATCCTTACAATGGTATCGTGAGGTATTAAAGTTGAGGTTTCCGAAGGGTTCCAGTCACTGTACATTCGTGGTGATGCACACTCACGTTTTGTAACCTCTCTGTGTTCAAACTGGCCAAGTTCTTCGTTGTTTCGCGAGAAATTTGTGTACCTTTGAAGATTATTGAACTATTTGTGAATACTGTCTACTTTCTCAGTGGTCAGTGTTCTTCCTACAACTATCACAACAGGCACATGGACAACTCTAGCTCACTTGTTTGCATGTAGTGTAGGCTTTACATGCAGTCGGATTCCTGTATTATGTATTTTTTGCGTCAGAACTCTATATTAGGTTCTTTACTCTATGCAGCTACCCTCATTCCTCACCAGTGTCTGCTCTGTCCTTTGTTGACTGCCACCTCTCCCGCTCTTGTTGTGTGTGTTCATTAACTACTGAGATCTATCTGTGATTCTGAGGGAAGGTCGCTGGATCGTTTTATAATGTGCTTGGTTGGTGTATGTTAAATATACACCAGTATTTACTGATCTTTATAAGTTTATGTTGTTTCTTATCACATAATTATCTCTTCTCTGTGAGTTCTTTACTACCCCAATTTCTTGGTTCTTTTGACTGCCTGCATAAATCATGCATGACGTGAAGGTGTACTTAAAGCGAATTTTATTAAATATGGCTGATTGAACCTTCCGACTTCTCATCTCTTCCGCATTTCATTTTCTGTCTCAAGGCGCAGGTAATCTCGTTGATGTAGTTTATTTGTTTTCTTGTGTTTCGTGATTGCACACGACCATCTGTTTTTGCTCCAGCTTTTAATTGTTACTCTTCACTAACAAACCTCAAATCCTTCATATATTAGAAAAATTCCTCTATATACATTTTAACTGGAATAGGCGGGCCTCCATATTGGAATTCTAAGTTTCACAAAGTAAATGCTTCTAAAATTTTATTGTTATTATTTCAGGAGGATTTTGAAAGGATATGCTACAATGCTATGAAGTACAATCAAAAGCGTTCAAAGATCTGGAATGCCGCAAGCTCTCTTCTTCGCCAAGGGAAAAAAATTCTAGAACCATATAGTGAACATGGGGATAACATCGTCGATGGTGGCAACCAAGATGGTTATACCCAAGATTTGGTGACTGGAATTCTGAGCGAAGCTTATGGAGAAGAGATGAGTTGTCGTCTAGACGAGAAGAGAATTTCGCGACCAACTCATAGTGAGGTGATAGAAGTACCTGTAGGTGAATTACTAAACTCACACGGATGCGAGGATGGAATTTCACCTCTTTTGAGTGGAAACAAGAAAGATGCGCTCGCAGCTGTTTCAGATGTAAGAAGTTCATATTTGAAGCAGGACTTCGAAAAATCAGATAGCATCGGCAGAGACCCTAAGCACTCGAGGATGAGCCATTTGGAAGAGGAGGTGAAAGTCGAAATTTTGGAATGCACTGTTCCTGAAGATCTGCGCCTTGACTCCCGTGATGAAGCAACAGAATGCTCAAGCTCTTTTGGTTACACGCAAAGTCAAGAGCACAGTGACCCAGAAGCAGAAGGGCTTCAGCAGAATGCAGAAGTCGAGTCTGAGCTGCGAGATGGTAACGGAGCATTATCGTCTGCGTTCGCAGATGAAGATGAGATTGTAGGAGGAAATGAAAGGTAATAAGGACTTCTACGTTTCTGCTGAAACCCTTACGTCGATTCTCTATGTCAATTTCGTTTCTTCCTATCTTGTGATCTTCGAATTTCTTTTGTATCAAATGTTAACGGCTATAGGGTTGGTTGGACCTCGGGTTAGGTGGTCGCCTTTTCTACATAGAGTGGATGACATGGCTTTGTAGATCACTTTCCAGTTTCCTCACATCAATTTTATACTACCCCTCTGCTGCGTTCATATCTTCAAATTTGCAAATGGGATTGGTTCCTTTTGCCCTCGGTATTGCAGGTCCCGTAGTAGACCTTTTCTTTATTCCCTAGGATGCCCAATATTTCAAATCAATAATTATATTTATTTAAAATATCGTTTCAAAGGAGACTTCTTGTTTGTTTGTGTCTGTCTTCCCCTTTTCATTGCCCAATCTTCTCTCGCTTAACCTTAATAACTATCTGTACATGTCATAATATATTAGAAGTAATATTTAGGTCTTGGAAACAGTACGCTTTGATTTGTCGATCCGAAGCTGAAAGTTCCATATTTCTTGCACAATCCCTTTGCCAATAGTTTTTTTAGCAGCTTAAAACCAAAAAACTTATATTACTTATTTTCAAGCAGGAGCAAGAAGGCCTTGAATGCAGAGTGGAAGAAATATAGACGAGGTATAGAATGGAGATGTCGGTGGTTGGAGGTCCGACTGAATGAGTTGAGAGCTCGATCGGAGAAGTATGATCGTATTCTTGAGGAAAGAAGGGCGAAGAAACAATGGACTACAGACATGCACCCCGGTGAGGAGTCTTCGGCTCGAACTAGCCAGTTGAAAGACGTCCCGATCAAAGGGCAACCAATACTGCGACGGAGAAGGAGGAAACAGGTGGAGAGTTCTGTGGACCTGGACGTATACATGGCCAGACATCCTCTGTTCTCTAGATACGGTACTGCTGGAAAATCGAAATGTTCGTTCCTGTGCATTCGTTTCTTGAAGTTTACTTGCCGAAGAATTCTGTTAAAGTGCATAAACGGTGACAATTTTAGCGATCATGATTACAAGCTTTTGATAGAAGTTGTTTCTGCGAATCGTGCATCTAGTGATTTATAGCTGCATATAAATCATGCAGTTTTTCCTTTCCTTCTTGAGATGTCGCAGTTAGTATGGCGATTCACTTGATTTTATGTTCTGTCTTGGAATTTCTCCTAGGAATTTTCCTACGTCCGGCTATTTTCATATGAGTCAAAACTGCACTTGATACGTTATTGTTGATAAGATTGGAGGAAAAGCTGACTGTACGAAGAGGCCATTAAAACCTTGGAGCTGATGCTATCCAGTTTAAGAAGAGACCAAGATCAAGACTGTAACAGCAGTGGCTATGAATTTTATCACAGATCTCTATTAATGATCCTCTTGGACTTTAAAGTACAGTAGTAGAACATGTGCTTCGGTCATTGTGCAATACACACGAATGATAAGCTGTTGAGCTTTGTTTGGGACTGCATTAGACATTTTGTTGTTTCTTCTATGCAGACAAAAAGAGAAAGCGAGACAAGGAGGATACCTACGTGGAGACCAAGACTGACAGTGGGCAACAAGGTCACAGTCAGCTTCATTGTGCGTTATTAATTCCATACTTTTGTTTGTTCCACGTGTTGGTGACAGTAGTAGGATAAATACATTGTAATTAATGAAGTCCAGAGTTGTGTGTGGACATGCTGAACTGCGAAGTGCAAGTATTGAAAGTTGTAACTCATTAGTATCAAACTTAGTGAAAGAGTTGATTATCTGTGAATAATTATGAGAGATGAGCACTCATAAATTCCGCTGATTTCTTGCTTCATTACGACATCGTGGGTCTTGGATCCTTATCCTTTCATCTAGTTTTACCCTCTCACGGTGTTTCTACTTTACCTTTTCCACAGTGGAGTTAGAAAGGAGGGTGCCAGAAGAATCGGACACTGAAGAACAGGTTGCGGTTGTACGTTCGACCGTGGGAGGTCAAGATTCGATGGAACAAATTCTTTGGAAGATTGAAGCGTTACAGGCAAGGGTGGAGAAGATGAAACATCAACTAAGCAGGGGAGCTCCTCCTAAAGTTGCTACACAACCTGTTACTGTTCCCAAAGTACCCGCTAATCTACCTCGGGCTCCAACACAAGCTTCACCCCGTATATCAGTACCTGGTACAGCACCACGACCTCCCGGTACTAAGGGACGACCACCTGCTGGACAATCTCCCGGGTTTTCAGGCACTGTATCTTCTGCAAATGGAGGATTGCAGAAGCAGGCCTCTGCATCAATCCGACGGAGATCGTCAGATTATGATATCAACAACATGGTCATGCCTGTGAGTGTCGGGGCAAAGTATGTGGAACATATCAAGCATGCCGATATTTGGACACCACATTGGCGGCTTGTAGAGGGCGCTGAGAGTTCTGATCAATATTTGGGTGGCAGTTCTAGTGACGAGGTCAGACTCCTTCTTCCACTACTACAAGATCTATGCTACTAACCTGAAGAGCCGTCCAATTCACCAAAAACAACTCTGGTGTTAATTCGTAATTTCATCTAACCAAACGCGGTTGTGAGCATGCCTTAGATTCCTCTAATCTGAACACTAGTTTGTGGTGTAGTAACTTGGAGCTATTTGCTACATACTGCCTCGAGTCATTGTGATTCTGATTCATGAGGCGGTAACTAGTGCAGTTAGTAGTGAATCAGCTGTGACAACACGGCCGCCCCTGTTGACTCCTACAGGTCCAAACTCTTCTACAACTAGTTGACCAACCAAGAAAAACTCAAGCCGGAAGAAAGCAAGGAACAAGTACGGCTGTTTGCCAACCTTTGAACATAACTAAAATCCATCACTACCGATCAACAGTATTTGTGGAATTGCTGTCAAACTCCCAAACCCACAAACTAATCTACGTTTGGATTATCGCAAAATAAATCCACATTTTTTATGCACGTCAGCTGATGGTGTCTTTCTACCCAACCTGGGCAAATTTCACCTGCTGTTTGAAAGTGCGAAGCAAGATACCCAGCTTCTTCTGACAAAGGATTTGATAATGTTATGGCTCTCGCTCTGACTACGTTTGTTTACTGTCTCTTACTGCCCTTCGTAGTCATGTCCCCTATTGTTCAGTATTTACCCTCCGCAATAGGGAATGAGAACTTTTTTGGAAGGAGTTCGAAAGTCAAGATCACAGCATTGATATGTACTTTTCAAATTTTGCTTTGGAACTGGCCCAACGTCTAGTCAGTTTGTGGATTCCCAAGTTCAATGCATCATCAACATCCTTTGAGTTTTTTCTGTCCGAATTTCTGCGCACTCTATTAACCCACCTCTTCGATATGCAGGATACGGATGATGAACAGTTTGAGAGTAGACATGCAGACATGGAGATCAATGAGAGGCAGCAACGTTATATGCTTCCACCAAAGAAGAGCCCTGATGGAGAAGGCCCTGGATCTGGTAAAGGTCGGTCCTCCAAGTCAGGGATGGGAAAGGGAGCGGGGAAGATGTCAGGTAAGAGTGGCAAAAGTGGCAGAATAAGCGGGCCGTCAAAGGCTGTTGCCGCTGAAACGGTCGAGTCTCCGGACTCGAGCATTTCTCCTGCTTTTGCGGGTTCCATCCCTAAAGGCAAACGCCGGAAGAGACTGTTCAACGCACATGCTTTTACCTCAAATCGTGCCCAGAAGCTAACGGCGCAAGTAGCAGAGTCGCCGACCTCTAATCAAAGCACTGAGACCCCGGATGAGAGCATTCTTGGAGACGATATGGTAGAAACAAAGCTACTGGATGAGACTAGTGTTGATATTCTTTCAAGCGGTGATACAGAAACCCTGAATGTGCAACTTGCGAACTTGGCAGCAGACCAAGGGGAAACGAGAAAGAAGAGAAATACAGGTTCGGGTTTGCAGGTTCTTGCTAACCCTTAAGAGAGAAATTTTCGTCCTTGTATCTGTGTTACAATTCACTCACAGACGGCACAATGTTGTGGACATGTGTTGCTAGGACAGTTTCGGAGCCCTGAATAGTAGGAGTAGATTTTTCGAGTTTCACTATAGTGGTCGGTCCCTTCAAGGATTCGATTTTTGCCTTGTAAAGATTGTATGCTACAGAGTTTTTGTAGGCTTTCCTTCGCCAAGCTTGCGCAAGAGTAATGAACGCCTCCTACGTCATTGCCGCCTATTGTCAGCACAATCCCGTAGAATGCAGATTCGGTACCACAGTCCATATTAAAATCAAGCGACATCTGACCCAGCGCAATTGTGTGTATGATTTATGCCATGTATTGCTCATTTGCGCATTCAGATTGGACCACTGAATCCAACGTATCTATTCGTATCCCAGCTGCCCCCCTTTGGACACCTGAAGGACCATTGTCTCGTAAGAGAGAATACGACTTATCTCCTTTAATATTTCGAGGGAGCCCTGCTATTTTTTATCCATACCGAATTTATGAATGGGGAAAGCCGTCTGTGAGAAGGAGATGCCATTTCAACTGGAGATTATTTTGACCTCAAAAGCAAAGTGCATGGAGGTTTCGGAATGTACAGTTGAGCAATCTGGCTTGCTATGGTACACAAGCAGGTTACTGTCCTATTGACAGCACCAAATTTCGAGCCTTCATGAAGGACGAAGCTATGAGCCGCATACTGTTAGTCCCGCACGAAGTAAAAGGTGCATTACAAGCACGACTGAACACGGGCAAGGCAGACAGCGTGGTGCGGCGAATGTAATGGCTTTGTTGTAGTGGGGTATAATCAGTTAAGCTCAAGTCCCCGTACTTTAAAAGGGGTCGATCAGACTAGAGATAACCCGAGATAAACACTGGTTAATATTGGTACAGTGTAGTGCAATCGAAAGTAGCCTCAGTGGACTGATGCACCTGTGACCGATGGAGTATGTCAAATTGTAAGTCAGGCTGTTGTTAACCAACAATTGCAGAAGCTGAAATGAAGGGCACGTGACGAGTACCGCCTTTCTCAACACGTAGTTATCCTCATTTCAGTTCATTCCAAACCTTGTGCATCTTGGACCTCGTGATATTCTTGCCATCTTTGGTTGTATCTGCGTATTACACAAGATAGCCAAAATTCCCACGGAACTTTTCGTCGAGAATTTGGGTGTAGTATATAACTCATACGTTGTAGGGTTTAGAATTTCGATAGAATGATGTGCTAAACAATTCAGCTTGAACTTTGGATTTATTTTCCAATTCTGACCTAGTAATATAGCAACTTAGCATATCCCAAGAATAGGAGTTTACAAAAATACTCGTGTTCACAACCCATCAATCACAAATGTTTTATCAAATTCGGCAGAGTGGATTATAATCCGTCAGGCCATTAGGATATATAATTCACATTTGCCAGAGATACTAGCTGGTGATTTTCAATTGGAGGGCAAATTTGAACACTTCAGATGAAGTTCGCTTCAGGAAGTGAGAACCGAGGCGATTTTCATAGTACTTCAAGCCTCACGGATGATCAATATTTCGACATTTGTGATTTCTACTCCAAGTTTATTCTCGGACAAGTTTTAATTGTCCCCTATATTTTTTTTAGCTGGATTTTCTTCGCACGGAATCTACAGCCTCCTCGATCAAATTGCAAGTGCATGGCGCTGAACTTTTTTTCCTAGTAAGGAAGAACTACTTGGGCATGTGGTGTGAACGCTTTTTGATGGGGCTGACCTGATGCAACGTTGGTTCGTACTCACTTTGACATACTGTCTTTATTATGAGGAAAAGCTGTAGTAAGGTTCTGTCTGCAGTTACGGAAGTGGTAACTGTGAAAGAACTCAGAAAAGGTATGTCTTCGAGAGCCGGTCCAGAATCATTGAAAATCTAACTCTGTCAGAGCAGGAGCCCCATCAAACTCCTGCTACATGACTCATGCCTTTTTCCCAATTTGCATTTTTCTGTTCTCATGATGAGGACTCGCATCCCGAAACTCTTTGAAGTACCCACCACAAGAAGAAACTTGGAATTGGAATCTATTGTAATATATTCGAAGAAAATTTAGAGATTCTTTTTTCCGAACTTTGCAACCATGACTTTTAAGTTCAAGAGGAGCATTGTAGATTCGATAAAAACCATACACAATGAGCATAAGCTGACATCTTGGGAACAATGAGTCTCAGGTCGGACGCGGAAGAAGCATACTTACCTGGGCGGGGCCTATCGCTGATCCGAAAGGGCGATGACCTACGACGAGCCTCGCCATTGCACTCCGGCCGGGCAAGTCGTAGCATTTCCCCAAGGGGAAAATGCACGTCATAATTTGTGGCAGCGGAGGGCTCGCGTTCGCGCGGCCCTCCACCAATTTTAAATTAAACAAGGAATTCAAATCGACTCTCCAATTCCGTGAGAGGAAGTCAACATCTAAGAACATTGTTGTACACGCGGCTGTGTTTTCGTTGGATTCGTCGTCGACCACCGCAGGGAAACGTCTACAAGTTTTTGATTCCATGGTGCATGTTTGGCGATGTGTGAGTGACGCCCTGTAATTTGGAGAGGAGAGAAGTTTGGGTTTGCGTAAATTTCCTCAAGCTCCAGACTGACTTTCCATTTCACTGGATTGTGCCTGAATGTAAGAAGTTGAACAAGGGTCAGTGCATAAACACTTTCACGTCCTGGGTACTGTTGAAGTTGTATTGTTGCCATCGCCACTAATGTACATGTACAGCAGGCACGCTTTTGCAGATGCTGCTTTCTTGAATGGATGATGAAATGGACTGGTGTTAAGTTCCTCCCTTCTCGCTCAAGTGTAATATAGTGGAATTAGTCGTGAATATAAGAAGGGACTGACAGAGTTTTTGCCTTCTCAATCGCTGATATTAGTCTTTTCGAGTGGGAAGGGAATGACTTGCGCAGCGCTGAAGGTTTGTCTGATGTCAACACGAGTCCAACAGAGGAGGGCTAGAAAGATAATATCATCTGGTGGAAACCTGCCAATCAGTTCTGAAGTTGAGAGGGGAGCAAAGATGGTTTGGAGAGGAAGCTATTCACTAACACGTTTCCAAAATAGCTCAAAAATGTCGTTCGATTACTTCGGAAATAGAACTTCCCACAGCGAACACGAAGATAAGAACTTGCCTTCATACTCGAGTTCAATTTCCGTAAGGATCTTCCACTCTGTGAAGGACCAAATGATGATTGTTTAAAAAACGTGGTTGGCGTTCCACTCCCTCACACTCATTCAATGACGATCGATCTAAAAAACACATTCTGGGGGACACTGAAGCAAGATTCAGGATGAAAACACGAGGACTTAAATCTTCTACGAATTTCCTCTCGATACTGCAAGAAAGGTAAGTCGGCCGAAAACACATTAAAAAAAGCGGTGTGATCAGAATACAGATGTCAATTTTCGATGTCACTTGTTTATTATCTGGATGTGAACATTGCTGTCATACGAAGTATCGCCACGACTGATATGCTGCCCCGGACAAGAACAGCCGAAAATGATTGGACTTCGCTTCGATTCTTCACTACAGAAACATACACCCGACAACAGGGTTCTGAAGGTGTGTTCCGTAAAGCACATCCACCTACAACTCACCCCAGATTGGGGGAAAGTCCATCTGTTTGCTCCCTCTCAGAATGTGGTGTGACGGCCAGCTTTGGCTTTTGATCTACATTTTGCAAAAAGTGTACAGAGACTAGATTGGGAGCTTTGGGAGATATTCTGACGGATCCCTGAATATTCTAGTCCAGTGGAAAAAAAAGTTCCACATTCGACGGTAATGAAATAAAGGCTGCTGTACAAGTAGGAAGAGATCACGAGAATGGACTGAGGTTGGAGTATACGAGCTTATGCTTCCGCAACCAGTCTTGACCTCTTTCCTCGTATTCCTGTTTAGAGAAAGCAAACCTCCTGAAAGCTCCTGACGCTGCAAACCTAGAAGCTCCGCGCCATGCGTCTAATAGAGGATCGGCGGCTTTCACAACTCGAATAGTTGAGTCCAAAGGCCTGCTTGCTTTCAGCTCTGCTGCTAATCGTGCATCAAGGCCTGAGAAGAGAGTGTTGCCTCCTGTGAGAAGTATTGTACCCTTCACGACCAGTTCGTGCAGATTTTCCGGCATTCTTCTAAACGAAGCTCCTACCAGTTCTCCTACTCCAACCTGATCCACCCCGACCATGCTCGGTTGCAAAACAATTTCTGGACAACGAAAACGCTCCACTCCCAATGATATGCGATAATCTTCTGCGGTCAGTGGCTTTGGAGCTTGCACTTCCACGTTCGTCTTTTGCATTCCCTGAGCTAGACCGGGCGTTGGTTGAAATGTAGAATCTATTTCCTGAAAGATAACAAAAAGGTGTAACAGCACCGAAACATCATTAGCACTACAGGCTGCATTGTACACCTGAGTAAACAGGCGGTGAGAACTCCAGGGAGCTCGTCAGCACCAGAAGTCTATTACATCACCAACTCGAAGCACATTTATTTGCCAAAGTAGAAGTCACCCGTGAGGAAGAGTGGGAAGGTCGGATATAGCAGGACCGTCGGATATACAGATGATATGTAAGCTTGTTCCTCATACAAAATCGTCAACCACCGATATTTACATCATCCAATTTCATGAATACAACTAGTTAAGACGACAATCAACGACCGACCGCCACATGACCATGGCAAAGAAACTTCAGTGGTTATAGTTGATATTTTAGAGCACCTGGAGCCTCGCTTCCAAGCGGACCAGTTCGGCATCATCCTCCTCGGCGTCCTCATCGTCCTCACCATCTTTGCCCATCCGTTTGTAGAGCTGCCAGTCTTCATCTCTCATGCCGAAGGTATCCTCCTCCTTGCCCCTATCGAACGCTGCTGTTGTTAGCAGTCTCATGCGCTCCTTCTGCATAGCAGTAAGTCGTTCCCCTCGTCCTCCGAGCACAAGGGTGCCTGTTGCAGGCTGACCTGCAACAACGGGAATAGCTCCATTCTTTTGTCGTTTGCGTTTGCGCTGCTCGGCCCGTGCACTCAATTCTCCATGCCGAGTGCGGAGCTCCTCCAAATATTGCTCCGGATTAGCTCTTCAAAGCCAGAGCAAAGTCCAATCAGCAACACCCTCTAGGTGCACATAACCTCTCACATGTTCAGGGGCAGCAGAAATAGTCCCCAAGGAACACGGTGGCACCATATCCAATGATTACAATTCCTCCCCATAGAAAATGCCAGTGCCTGGATAGCTCTTTGTTGGAAGGCCCCCGCACAGAAGGTCTGATCTTTGACAACGAAGTTTAAAGTCCACGGGATCCAGCGGGACCATAGGACTCTAGAATTTGGATGAGATTATGGGAATGCAAACATACCATGACTTCGGACAAAAGAGAGACATTAAAATGTGACGTTTTCCCTAGATGTAGTGTTTGAAAGACTTACAAACGCCGTTCTTCTTCTAGTTGCTTCTCGCGCTCTTTCTCCAAACCTTCTTCTTGACGTTTCAGTTTTGCTCGTGCTCTGCCTTCTGAGGTCATTTTCAGGAATCGCTGTCTCTTCTTTTCTTTTAACTGCAAATACATTGCATACATGACAAATTACATCGTGCAAGAGGCGCCACACCACATCTTGAACATATGATTTCACTACTACACCAGCAAATGAGACCTGAGTGAGACGATCAATCATAGAACATATCTTAACATCACAACACTTCAGAAGTACGTACGTATAACATAATATAAGTCACTAATCCAGCAGTGTCATTATAAACCTCACATCTAGATGACCCATGAGTTTTTGTGCAGCCCAGATATCCATAGAAATCTGCATAATTTGGACGTCCGCTCCATCGACATACCTGGTCGACCGTAAGAAGGCTATTGGGAACATCCAAAAGAGGATACTTGTCCTTCTCAGTAGAGTCATCCACTTTTTCAGGCTCCGGTAGCACTGCTTCTCCTTTCAACTTTCTAAGGGAGACCGTGGCCTTCGCAAGTGCCCCTTGAATCTCCTCGCGGGATAGATAACCGCTTTCGGCAAGAAGAGCATCAATGTCTTCATCACCAGCGTCTTCTAGATTTTGTAGAAGTTGCTCTAAACCGATTACTTCAGTTTCTAAATCAGCAATTTTGGTGGACCGTTTGGCCGCTGCCATTTCACGTAAACGCTGACCCTGCTTCTCTCTGATTGCTGCTTTACGGGCAATCTCCTCTTCGGTTGCCGGCTCCTTCTCCGGTGGAGGTGGCACCCAAGGCAGTTGCCACACTTTCGTCTTTTCGTCTGCCTCAGGGCTTCCTCTCTGCTCAACAACCCAACAAGTTCAACCCACAAATTGAATACGATATATCAGTTCGCCTCACTATCCCATTGCGTAGCATTTCGATCTCATACTCAGAGGGACTTGATTTGCAAAGGCTGGCCTCCTGCTAATTTCGATATCAATATTCAGACTGTAGCCAACGGGACCAGCGTAGCACAGATTATACCTCAAATATTTCTAGCTCGGAATGATAATCACTTGCAATGTAGCAATGTTCTTGCTTCAGTTCCTCAACCTTTTCCCAACCTATGTTGTTTCTGTTCAAAACCCATGCACAAGATGCCACTAGATAAGCAGATGAGAGAGGGTTGCTACACCGTCCATAGATCCCCTGAACTCTTCAGAGAACCAGTCTACGCATTCATAGACAAACTGATCAAACGTGTGTAACTGTCAATCCCTGGACTGCAGAGGACTGCGCAACACTTAAATCATGAAAACATCCAGTGCAATTCTCGCAAAAGTTCGATGATAATTCCCTAACTAAGATATGCAATATTCAGAGAACCATGTAGTTAACCAACTCAATGAAGTAAAGATGTTCAAGCAATGTGCATGTAAAAGCCCACTTAGGTGTGGAGTACATACACGTGGAAAGGGTACTGCAAAGAGAGAAGCCGCTTCAGGTAGTCAGTGACATGGTAACCTCCTATAGGGGTTCTGACGGCTGCTTCCAAGACAGGTTCCCCATTAACCATCTGCTCGACATCAAATGCACTAAAAACCCTGAGAATCCTGGTGATAAGATGCAGTACAGGTTGAAGTTCCCAGAAACGTGGGGCATTCAAGATCTCAAGTAACCACCACTGATGTAAAACGAGCGACATCAGATATCGTCTTTATCTACTCACAGGGAGCGTAAACAAGAAAGGACAAGAGCTGAGATTTTGGGCCTGCGCTCGCTGGTTTCTTGGAATAGGTTACACTTACTGGTATAACATGGGTGGCCATATGGCCAGAGCAGACCACAACTCCGTCAGGTTCACACAAACCTTGATTCTTGTTATGTAAGTAGCCGAAAACTGCATCGATGCCAAAAGCTGCCATGATATCACAGTCACTTGATTCTCAGTACAGACATTCGTTTGAGGTGACTGATACATCAAGCTATGAACACTGACAATGGGCTAAATATGACATGTTCTCGTGAGAAAGTGTCAGCCCGATTATGTATAGAACTCGTAGAAGCAATTTTGAAGCAAGGTGAGATGTTCGAAAAATGAAGATATAGATATAACACCAACCTACTGAAGGGATGTCGTAAGCTTCAAATAGGAGCTCAGCCATCTTCCCTCGGCAATACACGGGATTGCATGGGCATTCTGTCATGAGCACTGGATGGTCAATCTGCTTGACAACAGATATAATATATTGTGTTAGCCTGGGTTCTTAAGCTTTGACTTGATCTGGCGAGGAACAATGCACTTCTTGAGTTTCTAAGCAGTAATCGCGTACACGCGTACACAAGAGAACGAGAACAAGAGGCAAAACGTATGCTTTCGATAACAGATCGCAGTTTGCCTTTCTTCACGAGCAGTCTCATGTTCCACCTAACAAAAACGTTCTTAAAGAGCTTGGAAACAATTCCTGCAAAGTTCGTTCTGACTGATCCTCCAGTGTGGACTATATTATCGCAACTCCTACATAGATAACTCTATCCACTCAATAATATATCGTTATTCAATGTCATCACCTTATTATCTCCTTCGATTCCCATCCTTTCAAAGGCGTAATCTAATATCTGCACCCCACATGCATGTCAGATAAGTTGCTGATTAAAGATTGAACAGAAATAAAAGTCGACGATTGAGTGCAATGACGGGCGCAGCTTGACAAGTGAAATATATGGAACAAAAGGTGAGTACATACAGATTCCATAGTCTCATACTGGTACACGACATTTCCATCAAATGGTGTACGCATAGCAGCTCGGGTGAAATCGAATGTCTTCACTAGAGATGGATCGAAATCGCCAACCACACTCACGATCTCTCCTGTTGAATAATGTCCAATCAGGTCAGACAATCAAGAGACTTAAGTGCAGGAATGACTGTTTAGGTCCTCCCCCACTGGACCAACCTGAACAAGAGTTTTGTTCCATCTAATTGGCTGCGAATAAATTAAACGTTGAATCTCGTCAATACATTCTTCAGGTCATTTGCACACTCATGATCCAGGATCTCACTCGAAGATCTTGGTGCAGTTTACGAGGACTTCGTAGATAAGTGGGAGCTTAACTTCCAGTGGGTACCTTCCTACCTGATGCACGGTGGCGGGGCTTGTTGACCACATTCCGAAATTCAAACCGGGGCGAATCTTCGCCAGCCCATCTGAAAAGACAATGACAGTCCAGGCAATGCTCAGTCATTTGCTCTTCTCGTCTTCTTCATCAGTATGTTCTAGACCAATACCAACTTTGGCGAATTAGCTGATTTCTCAGTCGTGCCGTGAGCTGAACAAGCTGACGGCACGATTTTTCCATACGAACATGTACAGAATTCGTATGGAAGACTGTCTCCCTCGGCACAAAGGCATAACAAGCAATCTTCCAGAGAAAATTCATACAACCCAAGCAGCTCTAGGGTTGAAACATTAATTTCATTCTCCCTCATGAATCATCGTCACAGTAAGAAATCATGGCATCAATCGCACAAACGAGCGGCAATCCACGACCCACCCAATACGGCAATGAAATGCGCCATTGTCGATAACCAGCGGGGTCCGTCTGGGAACCAAGTGATAGTCCCGCTGCCGCAGGGGTCGAATCGAAGTGTCCGCCATCTGGCCAATGAAAGCTGAGCTCTCTGGAGTCTTCAAATTCCAAAGCACCTACAAAACTCCATGCATCGCTATTCGTCTGCAGACGGTGCTCTTATTTCTGGCTCTTCCCCACAGCAACCCACACGATGCCCTTTTCCTCCCCATCACTGTCCGGCTTCCTCATCGCGAATTCCGTCGATCACACAAGACCAACCGACAAGCCATCAACCCCGACAGCCGCTTCTCTTCGTGCTTCCACTCCCTTCAGCATTCAACAATTGCATTCCTGCCGAAACAGAAAAGCTTTTATACTGTAGAACAATTCGAATCGAAACCTACGAAAAGTCCTAATTCCCTGGCCCATCCATATGTCTCCAGAGGTTCAGAAGGTTTCATTTTCTTCCGATTTCCTATACGTTTGCCGCGAGTGTGGATGAAGGCAGAAGCAAATTCAAACGAGGTCGTGTCTCTGATCAGCGAGTGGGCCATGAGCCCGCGAGCTCAGAAGCCTCCATAAGACACTCGTCGTTCCTGCTAAGTTTAGAAACTTTAGAAGGCAGCTACGGCGGAGGAGGCCGGATAAACTTGTCGTCTTTGAGAGTTACGACGACCGCGACCATGAGGAAGAAGCTCTAATATCGGTCTTCGTGCCCTAGAAGTGGAAACTTGTTACATCTGACATCGAGGGCGATTGAATACGAGTCCTGGGCTTGATAATACTCACGCACCCTTCCTCTCGTGCAGACTCCAGGTGCCTTCTAGGTTACAGGTCGCTTAGGTGAAAGTGGAGGGAGATTTAGGGTTTATCGACCTCGAGAGACAGACATTCCTGAGACATCCCTGAGACGAGGCACATTGTGTTGCAGGACTCTCTCTCTACACGAAAGAGATTGGCCGAGGAATGCGTTTCAGTGTGAGCACCGGTAGATTGTTGCTCGGAATTGCGGATGGGAAGATAATTATACTTGCCCGGGGCGGACACTGATTAGTTGTGTGGGGAGTTCGGGCTGGCTAGCTGGAAGTTTTAAGACGTGGAAATTCCGGACGTGCTAAATTTGTGTCGGTCGGAGGAGCTGTGGAAGAATCAGCGTATATCCTGCATCAGAGCTGAGGAGGTTTGAGTGGGTGTTTGCTCCGAGGTTTGGAGGAAATGAAGCGTAAACGTGGAAAGGACAAAGCCCTGGCTGCCGATGATGGTGTTTCGACTTCGAAAGGACCTGCTCCGTTGAGTAGCAATTGGCTGGAACTGCAAGCAGTAGGTGTGCTGCCCTGTCATGTCTTCAGTTATCCTTCGCTGTGTCCTTAGATGCACCACACTTTACACTACATTGGGGTTCATGTCCCCGGTACTCAGTACTCATGAATCCACTTACACGCAGAGAGGAATGCGTAACTCGAGAATGATAATTTATCAGACATTACTAACAATCCAGAATAGTTCTTACGGAATGATTGGAGTATCTCATCGAATTTGAGGCTCATTAGCTTCAGTGCCACGTTTTCCCCAGTACACGGAAGCCTTTGAAAGTTTATTGGATTGTTTCGCACTTCCACATCAGTGTCTATCTGTATGGGGATGCTACCGGATTACGGCAAGCAATGGAAAGGACAATGCAGAATTTTGTTGATAATTGTTAGAAATTGTTCGCATTTAACTGCAATCCCAATTCAAGAATTTTCAAGACGTCGTGTGAAGCAATTTGCCGCATAAGCCAACGAATCATTTGGGTTGATCTTATTTTTCTTGAAGGCCTGCCTGTAATTTCTTCATTTCTGGCCATAGTTAGGTTTTTTTCGAAGAGAGCTACTGTCAAAATCTCGTGTGTACTGGTCACGGAAGCTTTCGGTTTTTGAGCACTACGCATTACCATTATCTTTCATGTAAATAGAGCCCAATTCTGATATGATAACTCAGTATCACTCTCTCCCTGAGAAACGGAGAGAATTTTCATATCTAGGCTGAAGGGGCAAATGTCGATGCGCATCCTGATTTTGTCATGGAGGTTGAAGTTTAGTGTTCGATGTATTTTTGACACACAGGTTTTGTGTTCTCACGCAAAATACATTGGCTGTCTATATTTTCACAAGGCATTGGGCAAACAGGTCAAATACAAGAAGAAGACAAAACCCTCAAAAGAAACGCCCACCGCAGTCGCATCTGCAGGTAATCAGGTAGCTGCTTGTCATTTCAAATTATCGTACGCTGTTGCATCAGGTACAATTTGGAGCCTCCATTGATCTCTCTCTTCTTCTCCACTGATCCTAGGTGTTAGCAAAGGAGAGAAAGATGAGGCGGTGTCTCTACAGCCAACCAGTTCAGATTTCAGGTATTGAATTTATTTGCTTCTCCCCCGCCTGCATTTAAGCTGTCGCTCTGTCGATTTTCTCCCTCACCTTCGTTGATAATGTACCATCTCATCATGGATAAGGCTGACTTTGTCTCACATTTACTATTGTTTCTCAGTGTTACAAAGGTCTTGGCCATGGATTGTGAAATGGTGGGAGTTGGAGTGGAGGGCAAGAGAAGTGCACTAGCCAGAGTTACTCTCGTATGTCTATACCTCCCCTTTAACTGGTGTCAGTTGTAATTGTGTTCATTCTGATGAATAAGTACATGTTGGATGAAGACGACGACTAGTACAGTATGTGGGTATCCGATATGACTTGACCAGTTCAGAGATCAAATCAAGCGCAGTTTTCACTCATGTTTACTAAGGCTTCTAGAATCTGCCTCTGGACAAGGTTAGAGTTTCTTGATTGATTACGGGAAACTTTGTATTTATTTTGTCAGCAGGTAGTTATCCTGCTACTAGAAAGACCCACTTCCGTGTAGTCTTCTCTTTTTCTCCACCTCTTTGCTGACTCCTCCCTTCACCTTACCTTCTTACTTCTCAGCGAAAGATGTGACAGCCCATGACAACCACATACTAATGCATCCAGTTTGTAGGACTCTGGCTCGACACGAAAGGCATGTGCATTGTACAGCTCAATTGAACTCAATGTATCTTCTTAGCACAAGGTTGTTTCCGAGCTGACGTTTTTTTCTGTTCCTTGTAGGTGAATATATACGGAAATGTTGTATATGACAAGCATGTGCGCCCCCAAGAGTTTGTCACAGACTTTCGTACCCAAGTTAGTGGAGTACGTCCTCGTGACTTAAGAAAAGGTATGTCTTTCTTACTCTGTGCAGAGATAAATAGCCGGCCTGATGGTCTGGCGACCCATCCCTGATGGGTGTCTGCACATTTATGGGTAGAATGTTGTTAATATCTTGCTACTGCCCTTACATACGTGTACATTTGTGTTCTCTTATGTATTTTTCACTTCGCATGCCTACTTGAGTAGTGGGAGGGTGAAAAGATAAGGGTGAGGGCAGTTGGTTTCACTGATACGTGGTTCCTTTACTCATGGAAACACTCTTGCTTCAGATGTTCGTTTTACCTCCTCGTTCTTCATCTCAAATCTGATTCTGAGTTCCAGTTCCAGCTTATGGAATTTTTTATTCACTATTGCTAAACCTTTGAGGTGGAAGAGTCTGTTAGAGATCAAGAGGTGTGCAGTTTTTTGTAGACAAGTGGAAAGGTGTGGCCTGGAAACTTGTAATTTACCCGGCCTCGTATATCTCGTTTTTTTCCAGCGGAAGATTTCTGGACAGTACAGAAGGACGTAGCGGAACTTATCAAGGGGAAAGTTTTGGTCGGTCATGCGCTACATAATGATCTGAAGGTCAACTTATAATTTCAACAAGACATTTTTGCAGGCATTGTTCTTGCATTGGCATTGCTTATATTTCGTGGGATGATGCTTATTCTTCATTCAAGAGATACACTCATGAATTTATCCTACATCTCATTAAAAGAACATGTCGATGATTCAGATATTGCTCTTGAGTCATCCTCGGAAGGACATTCGCGACACTCAACGTTACAAGTCTCTACGCAGGTGATTAGTTTCGGAGTTTTCTCAGGAGTTCAGTTGCGAATGTTGATTTCATCGCGTTGTTTATCACAAGGGTTTGAGCTGCGCTTTCCTGCTCACGTGAAAATATTGGTTAATATGGGCCATGCAGTGACAATGGGCGAGTACAAGCACTGAAGCACTTGGCTGCCGAACACCTCGGAGCAAGTATACAGGAGCGAGAGCACGATTCGGTGATTAATCTAACTATCACTTAGTGAGATAAAGATTTACGTTGGTCTCTTCCCACAGTTACAGACGTTCCACCCACAAAGTAGATTACATCGGCAACAACATTTCAAAATTAAACTGTTTTACATTTTTTTTGTTGCTATGTTTGGAACACATACATGTTTCTCGGTGCAGTCTTTGTCCCGGATTCCTGTTTACTTTTTTTTCTTTGCTTCTGTAACCTTCTTGCGAAGTATTACTGACCTGAGGACCTGAGGACATGAGGTCTTGAGGAATTTTGGTAACCCAAGGCCAAAGTTTGGAATTATACTTTCATTTGTCCTGCTTTTTCTTGACTGAACGAACCAACGGAGACATATGGTTCGGATTTGTTCGACGATGTCTGTTGCACGGTCTAAACGTGGACGTTTTGAACAGATCGAAGATGCCAGAGCAGCGCTATTTCTGTACAAGAAGTTCAGGGAGGACTGGGAGAAAGGCTTGAAGCAACGCAGGATGGGAAGTAAAGTGGCCATTGCATCTGGCGAGGAGAAGTCAAGATCTAGTCGATAGATGCGGTAGGACGCTGTGAGCTCTTATTTCTGCAAAGATGTAACAAATCCGCACTTGGCAGGGTATCGATTTTTCTACCCTTCAGTGTCTGATGTATTGATTAATGTTCATCTCACAGCGATCTGCTCGCTCTTTTGTTTCCGATTGCAACGCTCTCCGTTTCTCGAGAGAAGGTGCTTTGTTGTGGTAAACCATGTACAGAGGTGGTACCGGCATGGACGGGATTGCCACCATGTACCAGTTCAGGCGAATGGCATCCATGGGTCGATGATAGCTGCGCTGTAGTTATTTCGTCAGGTACATCAGTGAAGTCCAAGTATGTCGCAGGTGAATCCTGTATTTCTCGCTTGGTGTAGTGAGGAATATATCCGCAACATATGAAGAGAGCAAATGGTAACAAGTTTTGATGGAGGAGCGGAACTCAAACGGGCGTGCAAAGGCTGAAGAGCTGTCAAATGTGGAAGAGTACAAGGCCCAGATTCTCCGAAGACCACTTCGATTTCTTGCAAATTTATCACTATTTATGCCTTCGATTTTCGAGTTGTGTTCCACTGCATCCTTCTTTATTCCAGCAGTTTTGTTCTTTGTATTACAAGTCTGCTAAGCAATATATCATACTTCCGTGCAATATCCAATATTGCATTAGTATGTTCTCGGACCAAAACAACATACGAATCAAGCAGATGATTATGTATATTGAATGCTCTACCGTGCATTTGATGTTACCTACTGTGTGTTAATTTAAAAGCTCTCTGATGAGAACCAACCCTACAAGTGCTAACTGCGGGAAATAAATACACCTCATTCAACGAGGATGAGCAAGCTGTTCATTGAGCGGCGGAGCCAATTTCACGTCACAAGAGGCTACAGAATATACCACATCAGCAGGCTCTGCCAAATCTGTCATAAATCACTCTGCTAAGAAATCACCAGAATTTACTTCTGACTAATATGATAGTTTTAAATTGCTTGAATTGGTTGCGATATGTACTCTCTTTCTTCCAACTAATTATAGAAAAATCACTCTCCACAAGCATAGAATCATGTTATACACTAGCAAATGCGCAATTTGGAAAATCGAGGTTCAAAGTTACTCCATGCTTCATGGACACTTATAAATTTTGACATTTGATTTCTCGCTGATTAGCAGTCGCAGTTCTTTGTGTTCTACTTCTAAGTTGTAAATGAACTCGTTGGTGAGTTTCTTTTCAAGTGGAGATCTGAATCTAATGATAACGTACTCAAAGCTTTGATGCAAGCATGGTCGAGAAAAAGCGATCGGGATAGAGTTGTTGTAGTTGCATTGTTACCATACATTTCTGGCTCAATAGCATGTATTACTTCTTCAAGAGTAATGATTAGGTTTACAAGATGACAATCCACAACATACTTCACAACTTGACACAAGTTATCAAATGAAATCTCAATAAATCAATTAATCCATTGAACAAAGTGTATAACATTGTTCTTGGCCATATTTAAAAAACAATTATAACACCAAATGACTTGATTTTGTTCGTAGAATAACAATTTGGAAATTGGACCTTGCATTCGTGTAACATCTCGAAGAAAGGAGATGAATCTAGAGAAGAAGATATCCTGTTGTGTTACTAGAAATGATGAATGCTACAAGATTTTGAACAAATAATAGTTACAGAAATTGACATTTTGTAATTATTAGTATCAATGGATATAAAGCAATCCACCATAGTGGAATCGGTTTGAAATCATAATCATTTTGGTTTATCTAATCAACAATACGGCAAAGATGTGGTGAAAACTAAGTCAAGACTTTTCCCAACGATAACCAACGCACTGACCTTTGTAAATTTAGATCGCATTTTGTTGATCAAGTTTTGCTGTTGACGCAGATATCCGATGATGATAGTTAAGTCTAAATAAAATTCTTTGTTGAGATATACAATAATAACAACTTGAACAACAAGATCAAATTGATGTGGAACACACCAAAATCAAATCAAGTAGCAACCTTATTGTTTAACTTGAGTAGAAACACGAATCATTATGCTAATTACTGAGCTTGTCATATTCCTGACACCATAAGAGCATGTTGATAAGAGTGTATATAACCAAGAATCAAATCAAGTAGCAACTTCTTATTCAACTTGAGTAGAAACACAAGTCACTATGCGAATTACTGAGCTTATCATATTCCTGAGAACATCATAGCATGATGATAAAAGTGTATATATCCAAGACGCACAAATTGCATCCATAATCTTCTCAAACATATCGAACAAATTGTCTCATGTGTGCCGCAAGTAAAGAGCAAGCCAAAATAAATGGAAGCAATATAGCTTGGTTACTACAACAATTCTTGCTCTAACGTCAAAATACGAGATGTTCTCAATAATTGATGAAGCGCATGCAACAAAGATCCAACAATCAGTAATTTGTTGAGTAATTTGCTGAGTTTTTAAAACGGCAACAGCAATACAAACAAACGATGATTCTTGTATCTCATTGCATTTGCCAAGATAACTAAGAGTAAGTTCTTCGTGTGCAAATTCCACTTGACGCGCTGTTACCATGAACGAAGAGACAACACCAATCATCCCAATAACAAGCTTAAAAAGCTTGATGTTCTTGATATGAACTTGATAACATACAATCACATTGTCAGATTTGATTGGCTCAAAGAATCTTAACGTCCAATCAACAAAAATATACTCAATTTTGGAATCAAATAGAAGCGTGCGTATAATTGTATTGACCATTTTTACATTTATATCAAAATAGAACTAATCATCTTATCCAACAAAATGAGCATGCATAAGTTTCACTAAAGCAGTATCATCAAAGAAAATTTGCTTACCGTCGATTGACAGAGAACAATATTCTCTCAACTTCCTCAAGTGTTGGCTTTTGAGTTGTTGTGAGTACAGTTTTGATCGATATGGAATTTTAAAGTTCTTTGTGGTCTTAGTAGGCTTGTGTTTTTGTCTGATTTTTTTTTTCACGGCTTCATACTTGGCAAAAATGACACAAAACTGATGTAACAATATCAAACGACGGTTCTTGCTTCAATACATTCAATCCTTACTCAAGTTCGTGAGCAAAATTGAATGAACTTTTGCACTTCTTTGACAAGATTTTATTGACAGCAATTCTTCAACAACGGAAATTCTTTAGCAACAAAGAATGAACGTAAGGAACTCTTTAACGCAACTTGGAATTCCCATCTCTTCTATGGTGGAAAAGAGAAAACAACATCAATTCTTCAGCCGTGGCGTTCTTTTCCACCATTAAAGAGTTGATGTTGTTCATTCAACTGCAACGGACAGGAGCAACTGTAGCTTTTATCCACCATTTAAAGTTGTTGTTGTTCTTTCAACAGCAACAGACAAGAGCAATTCAATTTTTCACTTTTATGGCATACCGCAAATATTATTCACGACAAATCTGGCACAAGCGTCACCCAATGTCATATTTGAAGAGGCCTGCACATCCGTCAAGTATGAAGTCATGAAAGCTGAAATTTGGTCGGCTTGGCTTAATATATCATACTCTTGTGCAATATTTTGGATCAAAAATAATGTAATGAACTTGAAATCAAGAAACAAATATAACATTGTATAAGTCATGTAGACACATAATACTTTTATGATCATTATAGATGATTATGAAATATCTTTCAATATTAAATTAGTAAAATATTTATTGTATTAAAAACATAAAATTTATATTGACCATTATCACAACACTCTAAAGTAAGAAATTTATTCACTTTATTCACTGGAAAATGAAATAGTTTCAATGTTTTTTATCTTAAAACTGATTCATTTACATTGAATGAAATCATTAGTTCATTTTAAGTATATATAAAAATGTACATTAGTTGACATGGACATTTAAAACAAATTATTTATCGGAAACAGTACATTTAAGATTTGTTAGAGAAACATAGTAGAAGATATATCCAGATAAATGTATCGATGGTATTAGATGATTTGTACCATAAGAAATTTTTGGATAGTAAGGTAAAGACAAATTATATTTGTATTCTAGATATATAAATAGAAAAAATAGCTTACTATGAACATAGCAAGACATAAATATTTTCTCTAATTGTAATAAAATGTACATTTGTTAAAATCTTGACATACCTTTCAATCTGATTTCACAATATAGATGTATCTATGAATGTAGAATTCTGTAGGGTTTAATATAATTTCAGGCCATGAAACAAACAACAATATTACAAATTATCTGATGCACAAATATGTACTTGAAATAAATATCATGTCATTCTTATATTAAAATATTTGAATCCTATTAGTTTAAGTTAGTGCTAATGTATATGCAGATGTCATTATAAGGACTTTCCTCCATAAGTCAGTAATTTCATTATTGATCATGATATATATATATATATATGTCATGGATTTGACTTTTTTATAAGAAATAAATGATCATGTGATGTCAAATAACACTATCAACTTTACACATCTCGTAATATGATAATATGTTAGATTTAAATCACCCTAATGTCAATTCAGTAAATTGTGCTTAAAAAAGTATAAAACTATTAAAAAACTAAGATTTTATTATTAAAAGTATAACTAAAGAATTTAAATATCAAGTCAATTTTTTATGGAGCAAAATATGATTTTAGTAAATTTTTTTTTTCAACATAGATCTTACATTAATGATCAACAGCTCAAGGTTGGAACCCATGACAAGTGTGTAGATGTATATGGTATTAGACTTCTAAGACGAAAATCAATATCACATTTAAATAAGAAGAATATTATTTACATTACAGAATTTAAAGCTGAATGTACATACGCCAAGATTACGCTGTGCCAGGAACCTCTTCTAACTATAGGATGTTATCTCCCAGGGATAAGAGAATAAATCATTCAAATTCAAACCTTCCTGCCTCGTCCTGTTCATACCAAATCTCGTATGGGTAGAGATCTTCAAATGGGTAGAAAGTGAAGATGCTCTATCGGACCACCAATTTCATGTCACAAATCCGGAATGGCAAAGGGGCCAGCAATCAAATGACGAAGATCACACGAAGAAAGAATTAGAGGGACCATATAGAAAAATCTTCTAAGATATTTATCATTAAAAGTACTGGAGCCCTGGATTCAAAATTGGTGGAATCTTTATCAATCTCAATCTTTGTCAAGTCTTGAAGGAAATTTTTTTACAAAAATTTGTGATATAATGTTACTTAAAAGTATGATAAAAAAATGATAGAATGAAACTCACCATGGCTTTTAACAGAAAAATCTTATAAATTAACAAAAACGAAAAAAAGGCCTAATTTTTCTAAAAAGGATAATAAAGTTAAATAATGGATTTATAATCAATGTGAAGAATTTGAAGGGTACACAGATCACATCACCCTTACCATTTACCATTTACAAATGAACTTTCCACGCCATGAACTGGAGATCGTGTGCAAAGTGGCAGACAGACTAGACCGCAGTTGAGTTACCGGACTAGATTCGGATGACTGACTGACCGGCTGGTTGACCGTGGAGGGAGGCCGACACCGGGAATGTCTGGAGCGATCGATAGGCCTAGACGGTGGGACGTGGCCCGCTGTGAGTCTGACAAAAGATTCACAATATCAGCCCGCGCGCGTACGCAGTGGCCTGTGGCCTGTGGCGCAGTTCTGGCCACTCGACTCCGTCCGTCCCTCTCGACGACGTAGCTTGCCAGATGGACGCCTGCGGACCCCACAGTTCGATACTGTACGCTCTGCTTTTAACCTCCGATCGAACTCGGGTCTTCCCTTCCCGGCCCTGGGCTCATTCCCGGTTACCTTCATCCTCACAGACCGTCGTCATTTGAGCCTGAGGGTCGACATATTATCCTTCGGGTTTATCGGCGGTATGGTGTTACCACCACATGCAAAATTGCGCCTACTCGTACAACCATTACATGCTTACGAACCAGATACAACCATTATTAACACAATAAATAAAAGAAAAGAAATACATTATTTCCTTTTACTATTAAACAAAAATAGTAACATCATTGTGTTGATACCAATTTCACCACGATTATATATGTTTGATAGATATGATAAATAATTCCGCTTCAGAATTTGCTAATATTATGGATGTATTGTTAACATCAGAAATTCGGAACAAAATTTAATTTAATTTAACCGTTTTACAAAGGAGGAGTGAAGCCATATAATTACAGTATTATTGATCTCCTGGTACTCACTTCCAGATGATCTGAATTTCGGTCCTCAAAAGTGAAGACAGTGTTATAACTTCAACCGAGGATTCTTACCAAAGAATTAACCCCCAGCCCAATGCAGAACCGTCAAGACAGTCCAGCCGAAAAAGGGGAGCCGAATAATGCAGCGAGGAGGATAGGGCGACGACCCCATCACAGGTCCTGCTGCATGCATGAATCCCGAGAGCGAAGATGGATCAGTCAGTCACGGCAGATCGAACGAGCCTTGCATCGCATGTCCTTGGCGTCGTCCCTCCCGACCACGAGAAAAACGCACGGCAAGGCGAGGAAGAAGAGCGCGGCCCGAATGGCAGCCACAGGACGAGTTTCCGGCAGGTGCTCGATTTATCGGGCGGTAACTCCGGGAGGATGGGCTTCGGTCTGACGACGATGCGCGAGGGGCTTGGGGTCGCGGTAGGGGTTGGGGTTCGGGGTGGGTGGGGTTGGGGTTGGGGTTATTCGCCCCTCACTCGGGGGGTTCGAGGACGGAGAGGACTTGTCCAGAACTGGTGGGATCCGTGCGGGTCCCACCCGAGTCGACCCGAGCTTTCCGACCCGACCAGGGACCGAACCTCCAGCGTCGGATCGGGGGAGGCGTTTTATTGCATCCACATATTCGCAGCCCCCGAGCCTGTAGGCTCGAGAGCGCAGCCCAGCGGCACCACATCCCCCCTTCGCCCTTAGCCCTTAGCCCCTAGCCCCTAGCCCCTTCGCCCTTCGTTCGTTCGCTCGTTCGCTCGAGCCACCCGACAACGAACCGTGCACCCCCTCGGAGCTCCTCGCTGCTGCTGCTGCTGCCTCGTCGTCGTCGGCGGGGGAAAGGAGAGGGGGTGAAAGGTAAGAAGGCGAGAGGCGGAGGGGCATGTAGCGCATCATCATCGTCAACTGGCTCAGAACTCTGACACCGAATCCCCCACTTGGTCCGGCGCCATTGCACCGTTCCGGAGCGGGACGCTTCAGCCTCTGCGTGTAGGATCCTGGACCCAGCACATTCTCGGAAAGCCAGCAGCAGCCCGAGCTGAATCAGAGCAGTCGAGCAGTCGAGCAGTCGACGAGACGGGAAGGTTCCAGAGTCGAGTCGAGTCCGTTCCCGCTCACGTCGATGATCCCCTAGCGGGGCTTGAGTGGTGGTCAAGCCATAGAGTGCAGACGTGCGAGCTTGCACAGCTCCGTATAAAGATAGAAAGAAAAGCGCAGCAGCATTGTCAGACGACAATAAGTCTCGAGAGTCCTACAGACTCCTGTACAGTGGCATTGTCTCTCCGAGCATCCACGTCCCCGAAACGACAGCACGAAAGAAAGAAACAAACAAACACTGAAACAAGGTCTCTGAGAGAGACGAGAGAAGGGAGGACATTGGTTCTTCAAGAGCTGAAGAGGGTCGTTGTGTTGGAGGAATCGGTGGTAGTTGGATCGTAGAGGAAGGTCGGAACGAAAGCTTGATTGAGAGTGTGATTCAAAGGTGTGCACAGCGGATGGTTTGAGAGGGCGGGACTGCCCACCCAGACAGTCAGACAGGATACGAGGGTGCGCGAGAATCGGAGCAGCACGGACACATCGTGATTTGCGAGAGTTGCGAGAGCTGCGAGAGGACGAGAATTTGGTAGGTGAGTGGCGAGGCGAGGCGAGGCGAGGGGAGGGGAGGGGAGGGGAGCTCCACGGCGGGGGCGGTCGGAGATGGAAAGAGTTGGAAGAATTCATCCGTCTGGCGCTGGCGCGGTGCTTGTGAATGGTTGCTGCTGTGGGGGTCCGGCCAGCAGCAGCAGCAGCACCAAATTGGGAGCAGGCTCAGAGAGCAGCAGGGCGATCACTCGGCTGCCGATCTCGCTGTCGACCATCGTCATTGACCGGTTGCCCAGGGCGGGGCTCAGAGTGGGCAGGTTGAAGCGAAGGTCCTCGTCCTTAACCAGATTCTCCGTCGTTGCAGCAGCAGCTGCTGCTGCAGCCGCAGCTTCGGTCGACACTGCCTACGCCCCAGAAAGGCTCGTAGACGATGCGAAGCGGTCGAGGAAGCCGAGACGCAGAAAAGACGCACTTGCCAATGCCGAATCGAATGCCACCGTCCCCATTTCTGCTGCCACCACCAAAAATCTCGCTTCCACTGACAAGGAGCTGCTGAGATTGGCTCGAGCGCTCGAGAACGCCTACTTCCAAGACTCGCCGCTGCCATCTCTCCCCACAGAGCTGCCCGATAAATCCAGCAGTGTGATGCTCGATGATCTCGTCACGCAAATTAGACCCGTCGCCATCGATGGCTCCATAGATTACACCACTCCCACGACTTCTTCCTCCAGTGCGCCGTCTGCGTCGACGAAGGTGAAGAAGAAGCGAGGCAGAAAAGTCGCCGCCTCGAGGAGCATCGAGCATCTGCCGCAGCAGCCGAGCATGGACATCAATCAGAATCAAAATCAGAATGCCTCGGGAAGGTTTAGTCCTGCAGAGTCGCCGCCCGCGAGAGCTGCCACGGCTGGAGAGGTGACGGGCAAGCGCAGACTGAATTTGGTTTCTCGAATCGCTCTCCGGAGAAAGCGGCAGGAGCTGTCGAAGAAGGATTTGGATGCGAATGTGAAGATTAGCAAAGACGGGCACGACATTTGGTCGGAGGATGCCGAGAAGCTCATCACCAAGTACGCCTCGTCGCTCGATTTCGGTGTCGTCGATTGGGACAGTCTGAGCCGCGACCTGCTCTCGGCCGAAGAAGAATACTCGCTCGCCAGCCTCATGAAGCCCGCCAAGGTAAAGAATGAAATCATGCTCCTAATGCTGTGGCTGCACGCAATTGCGCCTGCCCTAGTTTCTGGTGTCATGTGAGTGATGATGTGATTTGCTGGCGTGACTGAACCCGAAGCGATTGTTGGATTGGCAGAAATTAGAAAAGACTTTCAAAGCCATCGGCGAAGAGCTCGGCCGCGATCCATCCGACGAAGAATGGGCCAAAGCTGCGCAATTGGACGTGCACACCCTGAAGCGTCAGGTTCTGCTGGGCCGAGCTGCGAGAAATAAACTGATTCAGGTACAAATTTTAAACCGCAATCTTCTTAACCCTCTTCACTCAATTTCATGGAAATGTAATCGAGCACGAACATAAATCATGCTCGCAAACGGGGATTTCAATCTGAGGCTGGCCTCTAGTCCTCTTCCTGATGTCTGTCTGGCTTCCTTCGAGAAGAATGTCCGCAACTATCATCGAGAGGAAGGAGGCCGATGCACATTCATGACAGGTTGACTGAATTGTGGCGATGTGATGTTTGCAGCACAACCTGCGTCTCGTGCTCTTCCAAGCGCACAAGTATCAGAAGGATAATTCGAGCTTATCGCTCTTCGACCTCTGCCAAGAAGGAGTGTCGGGCTTGCTGCACGGGGTGGACAAATTCGACCCCAAGAGAGGGCACAGGTTCTCCACTTACGCTGTCTACTGGGTGCGCAACTCCATTCTCAGGGCGATGACGAGATCCGGAAGCGTGCTCCGCTCACCGTACAATGTTGCCATGGTATGAATGCCCTCCAATCCGCCGTCATGTGCCCCAATGTCAGTCCTCAATTCTGCCTTCTGATTACACGATCGGAATCGTTGACTTGCTCGTTCGAGAGGTATCGCCCATCACATTGTGACGGCAGCAAAATTCGGAGTGAGTGGTGAATTGAACGAGGTTTGTGGGGCTTTGTGATTTGTGCAGCACAAGTGGAACATCAAGAGGGCGAGGCTCGATCTGCTGGTGGAGCTCGAGAGAGCAGCCACTGACGCAGAGGTGATGGAGCGATTGGGCATCGCGCCGGATCGGTTTCGCGACATCGTTCGCTCGAGCACGCGCGCCAGATCCATTCACCAGCGCTCGCTGCTGACCGGAGAAGAATTCGTGGAGAATATCGTCGACTCGCAGAACCGCGACGGGCACAGCGCTGCAGCAGATACCGCTCTTCTGTCAATCGATGATGTTGTAAGTTCCTCCGTGACCCACCCAGACTCTTCATCGTCCCTGTTTCTTCTCGTGATATTCTATCTATCCACCAAAAGGTCGAAAATTTGCGCATTGCCTGCGTCGATTCCCCCCCATGGGATGTGCTGAAGGTCGTAGACCGAAGAATTGGCAGGACGTGCACGTTTGAGATTGGCTATGGATCAGATGTGGGGAGGGATTGCACGATTGTTGTTGCTGGAGTCTGATTTTTGTTCGTGTGCTTGGTCCTGCAGCTCGACTCATTGAAGCCCAAGGAGAGTTTTGTGTTGAGCCAGAGGTTTGGGCTGGACGGGAAGGGCGAGCGAACTTTGAGCGAAATAGGAAAGAACATGAATTTGTCGAGGGAAATGGTGCGGCGCTACGAGGCCTGCGGCTTGTTGAAAATGAAGCACCCCACGCGCCTGGACTATCTGCGCAACTACCTCGCGACTGAGACCTGATTGTGACCTTCTCTGTTCTCGTAGACTGTTAGCAGACTTGTAATTTATGTACTATATTTTGTAGTGTAGGGCCAAATTTCACGCAGCAGCAAAGTTTTCGCCACACCAATTCGTTCATACTTGTAAGCAGTTTGTGGAGGTTTGCCAATTCTTGATCGTAGAAGATTCATTCGTCAATCTCTCCGAATCCCCTCGCGTGTAATCTTCCTCAAAAAATATTTCCAATACTCTTCGAGCGTGTTCTTCCTCGAACTGTCAACGTTGTGGGCTGTACCGTACATTTTGATCTTTACAACTCATGCAGCTGAACCCATGGATAAATGTATAATAAATCTTTGCAATCAAGACACATTAAAAAACTAAATTTTGAACATCTCAGCACATTTAGCCACTTCTTTCAATGAAAAGCATGAGCAATTATGTTTGCCAATAGAAAATAATATATCACAGATTCACAAACATCTCATTCTTCTTGCTATTTTATATTGTCCTGTACATACTTTACAGTTAACCTCGTACGTTCTAGTTAGTATCAAGGCGGTAATAACCACATCCCTCTACGATATGACATGTAGCCAGAGATAATGTAATAACAAACTGTTGCCCAATAGAAAATGCTGAAACTCATGCGCAAATTTTCTTTTTTTTTAACTTACTATCTCACTATGTTCATGGCATATAATTACATTCCCACTTTATCAAACGTTCAAAAACTATTTTGTTGCTTCCAGTCAGATCGGTTCAACACTTAAACAACAAAATAACACAAGTACCAAGCGAAAATGTTCCATTTGAAACGGAACATACACTGTGAAATATACAGCATACGCCCACTCAATTTCTTAGCATCTATTTCATTAAAACTCACAAACCAGCTCGAAGTGCGAGAACAATCACATATCATCACCCTTTTCACATACTGTCTCCCTCTTTCAGTGAAAATTTGCTGTACACAACAGGCTTCATCGGTGCACCGCTAGACTGCAAGACTAAAAACCATAATACTACAAATCGTAAAAATACACAGTTAACCTTGCGGCAGAAGGTCACAAAAGATAAACAAGACGATAAGGTGGAGTTCAATTGATATGGAAAGTCGTTTGTGATTGAAACACGTGATGGTTCCCACCTATCAATACTTGAGACTAGAGATTTGTCTATAAGTCAAACGATTCCTGAGCAGATTTCGTTTTGCCGGATCGAGTCTACTTGCTCCTTTGACACTAAGAAGGTTGACTGACATGGCTTCTCAAGCACCATGCAGATTATCAATAGCCTTCTTGGCGATCGTGGTGAGGAACAGATTGGAAGATGGCGAGCTTCTTCAAAAATTACTCCATCTGTCTACTGAATGTCCGAAAGACGCTACAGTGAAACACTTATCTAAACCTATATCTAGATGAGATTTGGTTGAAGGAAATCCTATAAAAATTTCCTTCAACACCCAAGCTAAAAAAATTAAAATCATTTACATATCTACAGAATACATCATATCACAACTCGGCAAAAACTGAGACCCATGCTATCATTCCCTTATCAGAACCGATGGTGCATCTTCAACCAATGACTTTCAGTCATACCCTTCAAAAGTCCTTGCTTTTTCTCGTCTGCGATGGTCGTGAAAGGACCGCCATAATCATGTCCTGGGTAAACTCTGCACAATAATCCAACGAATATTCAATCCCTGACGTCATCTCGAAAACGAGCCAAGAAGAGCAACTTCGAAATACTGCGTCCCTTTTCTTCACTGAAACCTTTGCGTCAGGTCCTGGCAGCTCTGTTTAAGCATCTTATAAATTCAAGCTGGTCTGGACTATTATAGACAGAAACGTAAAATCGCAAGAAATGAAAAGAATGTCCATCTTCCAATTCGAATCCTCCTCCTTGAACTTCTATTGGAGCCCCTTTTGAGAGAGGCCAACTTACTCGACATGATACATGTGCCGAGATGTGAAAATGTCCTCTAGATTCCAACTAAGCGACAATCCCAATCTGCCGATTGCTAGTCATCAAATCACTGAAATGCCTCCAAATCACTGACCTGGTGGAATCTGGCAAACTTGCGAGCTTTTTCTGGAGACTGCTATACATAGCTTTTGGATCACAATCGGGGAAGTCCAGTCTTCCACAACTGCAAACATCAAGCCAGGCCACACTCAATCATACTGTAGTGTACCATACTCCGCCAAATCAGAGGAAGTAAAGCACATGATATAATTTACAGCCTCAAACTACTAATCAGCCACTATTCCGTACCTTCCAATAAACAGAGTGTCTCCAGATATCAAGAGGTCCCCATCTTTCCTGGTATTCGTGGTACAGAGAACATAAGTTTAGATCAGACTCTTCAGAAAACACTTGTTGCATCCTCGTGCATTCTTTGATCCCTCACTTACGTTGAAAGCTAGAGCGCTTCTTTATTCCGGATCAGGACTCCCTAAAACTATCATACAAGATGTGCTGATGCTCTTGGGCTGATGCCAAAATAAATGGTTGACATACAAGATCTACCAAACACACTGATTATGAACTAAAATCATGTCGGACGGGACCTTCATACAAGAATTCGAGATGACAACCGTGGTTTCAGGTTCACTTCAAGTCGATAGCGAAATGCCAGTAGAGTTGAACACGTGTAAGTTCCTACCTGGGAATGTGAATGCACTGACTGCCAGGGGTATGACCAGGAGTGTGAATGAAGTGCATCTTCACACTTCCAATGTTGACAACTCCACCATCCTGTACAGAGAAAGAAACAATACAACGGCAATAAGACACAAGATTGCACCAGAGGCTACTATGGAACCAACAACCAGCAATGGGAAAGACGCATACTGCTCAACAGAAGCGTTAACTAGGGACAGTTTTCCAAGCTTCGCCATCACAATCTGATGTACAACTGGTAGCTTCCCTCACCTCCAACAATACCATCGATGCTGCAGGGACTGCACACTTCGTTTTCACGGTTTGTGCATCATGTTTATTGACGTATACCTGTTGGAAAACCCACATAATAACCAAGGCACTGCTCGTTAAGACCAAAGAATCGCGATAGAGAAGGTTCTCCGAAGTGTGGGTAGCTTATTGTGAGCTACGCACACAACCGGACTGAACGCCATATAAACAGCCAATCGAATTCGAAGAAAGTTGAAAAGGGTTGAGGAAGCCAGTGAGGCAAATCAACCCCAATAAGATTGGTGTAATCTGTGTATGAGGGTATACCTTCACTTTATCTTCTAGCGCAAGATCAGACACTCCGGGCACTTTGATACCAAAAGAATCAAATGGAGGGGGTGGGATACCTCCCACATGATCAAAGTGATAGTGGGTAACAACAGCTCCAACCTGCACGGAAGAGAATAGTTTAACATTTTTTCAAGCAAGACAAAGTGTTTGCACAGATGATTAAGCATTTGAACTGTGTCAGAAAACAGTTCTTGGACCAAGACCTTTGTATCCAGCATGTCCAGATGATGTTAAACAGTTTTAAAAAACAGAAGCATTGTTTAGAAATTAACCACAATTCGTTAAAAGCAAGAGCATTAGTGTCTCTGAAACCTGATTGAATAAATCAAGGTCAACAAGCACGCATTTCGCAATCATATATGTGCCTCCTATTTGTTCAATGGTGCTGAAGCTGTGAGATATTTGGTGTTTACCAGCTTCATGTTGTCGGCAGCAGCAATAGCTCTAATACCCTGTCATTGTTCAAAAGATCCAAAAGATCCAAAAGTAACAAGATTCACAACACCATCAGTGGCAGTCGGCAGCATTACTTGTAATCTCAACATAGAGATATAAACAAATTCGTAGACCTTCTGAATCTAAGTCGAAAAGTTTTGAATTCCAAGAGCATTTCTCGTTGTATGCATACAAACCCTCCATCCTAATATATGTAAGGCGATGCGACAATACAGCAGAAACGTTATTTGGACAATGCAAATCAAACGGTGAACAACTCTATGCATCAAGAACGTATTCAGTATGTAGAGGGGCCAATATTGTCTGATCAATTACCTTCACATCCCATGCCGCGTCTACGACCACACATTCACGGGTTCTGGCATCGCCAATAAGATATATGTAGTTCTGCATTTGTTCGGCACTGCTGAAGATCTGTTCGATAAGAATGTCAGAATAGGTTTACCTCCGTCATACAATATTGACTCAAGAATGATTGACTATTAAGATGACGAGTTGACGCAAATGTGCTGTCTAACGCTCTCTACCCTTTTCTCAATTCATCTGCCATAAATGACAGACCGACTTCAGTGAGCCGTGGGAACTACATTTCAACGGCTTCTGTCGTTCAGTTGGTCTCTTCCTTTCACATGTTGAACTTCACCGGCTGAACCTAACATCCCTTATTGCTCTCATACTGAACAGAACGTCGTTGCGATCCACTTCCAATCATTCAGTCATTTTCTACGAGGACACATCTCTTGACAGCTACAAACCGAGAACTGCATCATCTCTTCTTCTTGATAATCAAAGAAGCTTTCAAAGGGCACAAACCTGTCTTTCGATTATGTTCGAAGGGGCCAAACAGATGTCTCTAGCAGGTAGTAGCTGCATTGCAAGCGCCATTGTAAGTCAGAATTCTTATACAAAACATACATTTGAGGACACAAACTACTCTCCGGCCCACCCACAGGAGCCCTACATCTCTTCTGTGACTTGTTTTTGCGTGACGCCGACTCTAAACATGTGTGAACAAAATCAAACCGTTGAGGTAAATTTTTTCTAAGATCAATTTACAGCACAATGACAGGCAAATACTGATTAATAAAACTATTTACGGCATTATCCACTGAGGACCACAATCATGAACAACTACCATGTCCATGACAATACATACACGACAACCGAGAATGAAGGGAGATTCCCTCATACCTGTCTGAAATAAAATCCATCCACAGCCTCCGTCGCTAAGGCAACACGCTTCTTGAGTGTTGCGTCTTCAGGTGCCTGCAAGAAGCAAAGGTTGCAAGTTAAAAACTAGCGTAAAAACTTCGGCCCTGAAATCCTTTTGTGTCTTGATAGTCGTCTCAATAACGGAGACCACTAAAAGAGCCAACTGCAACTTGTTTACTCTGTCGTGGACGTTGAGTACACTTTTGACGAATCAACTGCTTTGAGTCCGGACAGTACTTTTATATGAAGGTGCATCCATCTCTTCGTACACATGACACATCTCATTCTCGAAAAGTTATTCACTTCTTCAGCTCTACCTGGAAGCTTTGAGATGACCTCGATGCATGTAGAGGATGTTATCGGCTTTATTATCGTACCAATTCTGAGGCTTTCGCGTAAGCCTCTGCTGCAGTTGAGTAGTCACGCAGGGCAAAATGTGCTTCACCCAACCTGAAGTAACCCTGCCATCAACAGTTTAAGTGAGTTCCGAACTGGTAAGTTTTCGTGGTATCGACCTGAGCTGTCACCATTCGTGAAGCATTTGTAGTATATTTGCTTTCGCCGTGGAAAGAAAACAGCTACAGCAAACGACACTCAAATAGATGCGATAAGGTTAAAATTCACCTTGCTCCAGTTGCTTTTAGCGGCAACAGACTTGTTGGCTTCTTGAAGAGCCTGCATGCGTACCGAAAAGATCAGTCGTATTGAGTGCTTCGCCATCAGACTATCTAGTACACAATCTGCAAATCTAACCGCGGACCCATTCAAAGTGCTACCGAACCCACACTATTGATAGCTTTGTCTGGGCAGGAAATACAATCGAGGGTAGTCCTGAGATCGGAAGGATGAATACTTGAAAACCTCGGATGAAAGTGTCGAACATTTGACGACAGGCAATGGCTTCGAGTTATCACGCAAAATGGTTTCAAGCGAGATTTCAAGACTACTCCAGAATTTCTTCCATGATTTTGCTTATTGAGAAACTACGCAAAGCTTTTGTAGATATGGGGCTTAATTCACCTCTTGAAGTTGGCCTAACTTCAGATGAGCGAAAGAGCAGTTGCTGTGAAGAGCGGCAATCTCGTCAGCCGAGGTATTGTCATCGGCGGCTGATAAGGCCTGCTGATAGCTGTCAAGAGCAGCCGTGTAATCGCCTTGGCGCACAGCCTCGTTTCCGGCAGCTTTGAGAGCGTCCATGATGAACCACCTTCAAAGAAACTGAATCACCTGTAAGAAATCAGTACAACATCCTTTTAGACAATTAACTCTGGGTGACAAGAAGACAACCTCGTTTTCCATTGTCCGCAGCCTTGAGGACAGACAACCGAGTCAACGTCATCACTCCGATCGCATGAAACATCGAGGGAATCAGATAAAAGACTCGCCACTACATCGTCGAAACAATTTTAATTCGCTCATAAACGACATGATCATCCATGCCAAGACACGCAACCCGTTCGAGTCGGGCATTTTCACAAAGCATGCTCCTCCATGCCCATACAATCAATGACCAACCATCAAACGAGCCACACCAAATTTACAAAATTCCCGAAGACACCCGAGGCATCGACGAGGCCAACAACAACTGCCTCCAATCCGAGAAACGGAAACACGAGGATAAGCGACCAACGGGTGAGGTCCACGAGGAACGCAAGTCAGAAATGTGAAGATGGAACACCTTCTTCTTCGTCCACACCGAAATCAAATCAACGAGACCGCATGGGCCTTTCCGCACAGAGAACTGGCACACCTCACGAAGGAGCCGAGATACGGGAGAAATACGCAAGCGCTTGTAGGTGAGAGACTGGAAATATACGGGTCTGTTCCCTTCTCGCGCCCTCGCTTTCTGATCGCTTGCCTCGCGAACTCATGAACGATCGACGAATCCCGAGAGACACAGAGAGAGAGAAGGAGAAGGAGAAAGGAGTGATCTGGCAGGGGCAGGCTGGTGCTCACCTCGGCGTCGTCCAGTGCCGTCGCTCGGCTCGTCAGTTCAGGTCTCGTGCTGTGTGGGCAATAGCACGACTCGGAGCCGGGCTTTGTTTTGCGCAATGGCCTCTCGAAAAGGACGCCCGAGAACGACAAAGCCCGGCGCCGCGACAAGCTTGGCTTCACGCCCAAGGCTCCAGGCTCAAAGCTCCCCCTGCCCGCCCTGCATCACTCTGCCTCCGAGCATCGCTGCTGCTGCCAGTCGGGGCAGCAACACACAAAAGCCACCACATCAAGCATCAACGCCAATCCAGTCCAAGCCCACCCCCAACCCCAACCCCAAGCCCCGCGGCCCCAGCCCCAGCCCCACCCGCGCCCCACCCGAGACGAGACAAGCCCAGCCGAGCCAACAAGCGAAGCCGAGCCGAGCCCCGAACGCACGCACGCACGCACGCGGCGGGGGGCCCAGGACGATGAGGTGGAGCTCGGAATCAGACGGGCATGACGAGGCATCTGGGCACCCCGCAAGCCCAAGCCCAGCCCCCCTCGCAGCCCTCACATGCCCGCCCCATCCCCAGCCCCCGCCCTCTAGAGAAAGAGAAAAGCGACAGGAATTGTCCGACCCTGGATCCTTGACTGCTCTGCCGTGGTCTGATCCGATCTGCGAGAGGACGGCTGGGCGAGACTCCGACACCCCACCCCACTCCTCTTCCTCGTCTGCCCCACCTCGCCTCGCCACCTTCACGGGCTTCCGGTTTTTCACCGCACCGCAATGGAATTCTTTCAATAATCTTTCAATCAGAGCAGTGCGAGGGGTAGAATCGATGACTTTCATTTGGCGCAGAGTCCCTACCTTTTTGCAATTCGATCGGCAGGCACGAGTAGGAGGAGGAGCAGCAGCAGCAGATAGATGCCCACTTATCATCACGGCTGGCTGGATGATCGCTCGCTGAAAGGGCTCTTTTAAGTGAGCGCAGCTACTTTTGCTCGTTTACGGTCGGCTTTACTGGCGCCACTGTGGTGAATATGTCGGCCCCCCGTACAATTCTAATATGCTCTACTTATTCGACCGGAGAATAAGAATACCTTCTTGTACATGCGTCCCAGATACCGAGATTAGTGGATCGAATTTGGAGCGTTCGAGGTCCCGCCGCTTCACTTCGTAGTTTGTACAGACACGCAAAGATGCTAAGATGCTCGTCAAAGCCCCATGCGTGCTTCTTTGATCGAGCCAAGATTGGTGGCAGATATGTTGAGGGCTTAAAACGGATTGGGTGATCCCATTCCCCGCGCTCCCCCAGGAAAAGCCCTTCAAACATTGGGCTCTCTTCTCCAATCGGCCCCCACTCTTTCGGTATCCCGGGCCCTGGGAATGTGGACCTTTATTTGAGGTCGTTTGTGGTGGTTCTGTTATTGCAAATATATTCCTCTTGCCCTGTGCTGTGAGAGCTCAGGGTGGTGGGCGTATGAACCCCCAAGGAAATGTACTGGCCGAGTTTTCATGACAGCATTGCCTGGAGACACATCCCTACAGCTACTGTGGAGGATGTCGAAGGATATATCCATGACGGGTGATTTGATTTCGCCTAATGCCTAGTGGCTTTCCAATCAAAGCGCCTACTGCAGTGCTCTAGCTTTCTCTTGAGCTGGGTGATATGTCCAAACAAATCTATCTGGTGGTTTGAGCTTTAGTGGAAGGAGTGCAGATCAAAGGCATGAAGTTAAAAGAAGAGGCTTTAGAAAGCACATCGTCTTGCGAGCATTGCCGATAAATGGAGCAGGTTGCTGAATTTGGTGACACTGCACAGCATAGCGCTGACAGAAGCAAGGGCTAAAGATGGCCACTGACGGAGAAAGTGTCAGAATCTGAGAAAAATGGTAGCTGGCATGTACAAGTATTCGGACAGACATACAGTGATGACAAGGGCGTTGCTCTTGAGGTGGGTACCTTTAGAGGTGGGGACAAGAACCGACCACTTCATGTGCAGTCGTGGGCAAGTACTGTAACCGTCATCCTCTGCTTGATCTCCTGTGCTGATCCCTGCAGAGTGGTTGAGCCTTGAGGGACCGAGCGCTAGACAATTGGATTGCACCTTTAAGAAACCGAACAAATCCGCAGCACCTTTCCTTCCCTTTGCCTGCTGGGCAAACATGTTTTCTCACTTGCAAACGGTTGCACTGCTTTAAGTGGTTGGCGAGTTGATCATGTCGTTAGCAGACGTAAGAATTTCAGATCCCAGACAAAATCTTACGGTGAAAGGGCGAGGACTTCCAGACTCATGACCTCTTGACAACACCTCTTCTCGAATCTTACGACACAGTGTTGGTCTCACATGCACGAATGAGGCTGCGTTGATGCTGTTCAGCAAATCCTAAAGACTCTGTCATCCCAGGTGACGAAGAATCGGGATTTACCAGTTTTTTAATTGCCCGTCAGCCGAAACCATGATCACATTCGTACTCTCTAGAAGTTACTATGCCTTCTCGGACATGCCTACCTACTTGGTAAAATGGTAACTCGCGCACTGGACTTTCAGCTGATAAGATCCCAGAGCCAAAAGTAGCCGTCCAACAAGAGTATGAATGACCAGTACCAACTACAGGCCGGCAAGCCTGTCGGTTCAGCAAGTAGTTGTAGGCAAGTACAGAGTCGCATCGATGGAGACACTTGACAGCGTTTCTGGGCGGGCTGGGCGAGGTCTATTTTAATCGTCAGAAGTGAGATGCGACCTTCTGCCTTCGAACTGCGCTCCCAAGCCTATCTACCACGGATTACCATATATAGGAAGATCATTGACCAGCGAGAAGGGGGTAGGGGGGGCGGGGGGAAAGACTCAGGAAGTTGGGAGAGAGGATTCATCACAGTTCATTTAGGAAAAGCCCATGAGATCTCTAGAGCATCAATCTGAAACTCGATAGGTGGTTGAATCGGTAGGGATCTTACGTTTCTGAGCTTCCTTACATTTTATTTCAAATGATTTTATGAGCTTCCATCTATCACTACAGTAGTCGCGATTCGGCTGGTATTCTTAGCTTCTAGCCAGGAGTGTGCTCTTCTCCAGTATAATCCGATGCTGCGACACTGGAGTTTGATCGTGCGAACGACCCCAAATTTGGTTCTGTCGTGCGAGCACCTCAGGTAAGCTCGCAAGCGTCTAAAACCCAACAGATTTCCATCCTTTCTTCTCCAAAGCTTGACGCAGAGCCTGCAGATCACAGGAGAGACACATTCTCCACCCAACAGTATGAGGGCGAGAAACAGTACCGCTATGACACTCTGAAGGCTGCTGCTTAGGATTCATCTAGATCTCAAATAGATGAAACAGGCCTTCTACATCACAACCTCAACGAAGAATAGGTTCTACCTTTCTCTGATATGGTGCGGTTTGAAAGACCGATGCAAACAAGTACTCGGAACAACTGGAGATATGGTGTCGCTTCTAGCTCTAATTTCTCAGTCGTATTTCCAACGTAACCAAAAATCAGACTCGACAAATATCATGGGTTCTGAAGTGAATGTTGCAATCCTCACCTTGATTCTTTTGCGGTTGATGTTGAAATCCTGACTTCCTACCCTAGAAGCTGATCTGTACTCTACGAGAGACCGCCCGCCCGGAGGAAACCAGAACTCTACATCATCGATAAACTGCAAGACCAGTACACTCGGTGAGACATACGGAGGATTTCGCAAGCTGAATCCTGACACTAAGAATATCTTTGATTTCTACAGCTCACTGACTAGAAAAGCAGCGTGGCAAATAGAAACTAATATCCACGGATGACCAGCTAGTGAGTCTCGTGTGGCACTGTCTTCTGGACGAGGACAGTGCCGCACCAGACTCACTAGCTGCATGTATATCATGTGCAAAAGATTCTGCAATCCGGTCTGACAGATGGACGATGAGTCGTGTCAGAGGATTACCTTCAAAAGTGGGCTCTCATATTCGACATAGATATAGTCTTCCGTTCTCTTCACTATGCGTGGGGTGAAATTGTCCGGCTTCGTCTTTTCCACCTAGTAAAAGGAAGATATGGTCGCGTTAGAGGACTGATTCTTAGAATTTTAATAAGTTCCATCGACTACAGGAAGTATTTGCATGTGGGGACGACGTCTGCTCGTTGTCTCATCGGCATCAGCTACTGGTGATGGCATCATACTCTCTTTTACTCCGAAGCATGACTGCATGAACTTCGATGGTTTCCACTCACAACCTTGACTAGCAGATGATATTGCTGGTGGGGTTCTTCAACTCAGTGACATTGTTAAAGTTATCGATGAGAGACGTCAATGTACCATGATTTAGTGGTTCAATCACGTCAGGTAGACGACGAGGGCAAAGTAGAAATTAGTTAAAATGAGGTTTCACAACCAACGCTTGCATTTTGATTCACTGCTCACCACTTCGATCAGCTCTTGCATTGCCTGTTCCTTGGAAGCAGGGTTTCTCCTACCCCGGCCCTCTTCGGGATTGTATGTCCTGAGCAAGAATGAGCACAACAATCAGAACACGTGAAAGCGATCTAACTCCAAGATTATAATCTTCATTCTAGTCTGTCATCAAGAGTCGGACCCAGATTCTCTCTATTATCATCCTAACAAGCTGAGACTTGGAAAATTCTTGCTTGGTTAAGTCTATGTCATACCAGGGTGGTACGTAATGACCTGGATCGTTAATTTCCTCTGCAGTGGATATACAGTTCGGAGTTGCAGGGCACAGAGCCAAAGACGGTACCCCTTTCTGCACTCCCAGATAACTTGGTCTCTCTCCTCTACATTTGTGTTCAAAGAAGAACAGTTCAGTTAGCTTTGCTGTTCGAACATGACAGGCAGGTGGCGGCCCAAAGCTCAAAGATTTTCAAGCCCAAAATAACAGCAAAGGAGCATTGGCAATCGGCAGATGGCAGAATTTGTAGTGCCTTGTTTTCTGGATTTAGAACTTCAGAGGCAAAGAATGTCCAAACTTGCAGCACGAGTTTCACAGTTTAACACTGACAGCCCCAGCAGAAAAAACTTGCCAGAGTGAGAAAATACTGCCCATTGAGCGTACAACATCTGAAACAAACTGGTTCAAGGAGAAGAGGAGCAAGTTGAAACACCTAAAGTTGACAAACGCCAACACGGCAGCACTGTTTGTTGTTCTCAAGATGATTTCCCTGTCAACACGAGGAGGAGCCACACCACAGCACACTGCGTCAGGAAACTGGAGATGGTAGGACTCATTGAGCAGCTCGATGGCCTGTCTGGACCAGTTCTTACCACAGAGCATGCTGGATACTTCAGACTGGGCTGACAAGGTTTACTTCAAAGAAGGGCTGAAGTGCAGACATCGTTTGCTGTAAATTAGTTGTTTGTGAACATGGGAGCAAAACTAATAATTTCTTCTCCTATGCTTCTCTCCAGTCGGGGCTTACCGCCGACTGCTTCTGCCTGAACTCGCATCACTTCTCGCTGTGCCATCTTGAGCCTCCTCTGCTGTTTTTAATGGCTTGATGTCCTCGTTCGGTAACCGGCACACAACGCGAGCCTCAGACCGATCATTTGTTTTACACCCGTGACTGAGCTTGCCCTTGAGAAGATGTAAGTCTCTGAGAACAAGAAATGCATTTTCAGCAGCTTGCTTTTATATGGACTACAGGCTCCTGACAGCAGGTCCCCAACCCTCGGAGCTCGAGGGTGAGCTGACCGGAACCCCTCAGAGCGAAGAACATGGAGCGTGTCAGGGTCACTAACATCAAAGGGAGCAGGATGCAAAACAGGATGCAGGATGAGAAATCAAAAAGGGTGAAGTTCGAATCTCGCAGAAAAATCGAAACTTGCTACGCAGGAGCAACAAGAGAAACAAATACGAGTGTCCAAGAGTACAGGAAATAGATTTGACTTCATCTTGTGGGACATATCATGGAAGTCTTACGTGGAGGTAAAGTAGGATGAAAATGTAGACGACAGACTGTTACAGACAGACATTTTTTCAAGCTCCGAGTCGTATCTGCGCGCAAAACCATAAACTTATTATCAATTCTTGCGCCATAGTCAAATTTTCAACCAGATTCCCGAGTGAATTGGGTGAATTCGCTATCCAAGAATAATTTCACTTTTCAAAACTGGACAGCTTGCTTGCTGTCCTGATTGCGTGTCTGACATATGACAGGCGACTTGGTTATGAATAACCCCAATTGTGAAGATAGACGTAGCCGACCTACACTTTCTAACTCTCTCTGTCCAGTGGAATTTCTGCTTCGCGTATATTCGTAGAACATACAATTTCTCTCTCCGACAGTATGACAAGGCTTCCTGAGTAATACCAAGATTTCCAAACACATTCCGTCTACGCAAGTCTTCGCAGCGCTGAGATTGACAGTGGCAATATCGTCCCCGAAACGAAGTCCACTCAACGCTGTGACAGTCTCAGCGGCCTCTCACGGAGATATAAACTCAGACGAAAAAATTCAAATTGCAAAATTCTCAAGAATATACATAAATCTTCTCCCTCACCCTCACAGCAAACACGAATTACCATTACCTTGAGCAATCCAAACTCGATCCCTCTCCCTCTCCCTCTCCCTAACTCTTGTGAATTCACCAGCTGCTCTTGACAGAGCTGTACACCGTTTCACTGCATTGCGTGCAAGCTGCCACAGGTACAGACCAAAAACAGACACAGAAAGTCTGGGTACAATGGCGATGAGCGGGTTTGGTGATTGAACGAGAACGAGACGGATGTTGCGATTCTGCTGTGAGCGAGCAACCGACTAACGTCGTGGGACGGGAGCGATGAGTTGGTCGATGGAAAGGGCTCTCATATATAGTCCAGATTTACGTGCTGTCAGCCCCACCCAATTCCAAACCCAAACCCAAGCCCAAGCCTCAAATCCTCTTATCATATTCCTGTGATTTGTCCCCTTACGTGGTTCTCTTAGAGACCGCGGGGCCCGCCAGACCCCCCGACCAGATGCAGGCCAGTGAACGACGCGAAGGGATCATACCTACGCGGTTCCCTATCGTCTCACCCAGTCGCCTCCGGACGCAGTAAGTTCCCCAGAGCGAACTGCGGTCAGTGAAAGGTTCCTCCTACTCAGAGGCTCAGGGACAACTGCAAACCTTCACCTCGTTTGGGAGTTGATGATAACAACGCATGTGCTCGTGCAGACTCTGCGTACGTGCACATTGCATTTTATGCACCCCAACTAATTACAGTAGCAGGAACAGCCGTGTGCTTGGCTCGTCACTTCGAGATTCTTTTGAGGTTCAAATCCGTGTATGAAATTGACGTGATTTTATTCAGTGAAACTCCTACTTGAATCTGGTGATTTCAGTGCATAGTTGATGAAGATAAACCCGGTGGGGGGAATGTCAGGGACTGTGCGAATCGTCCGCTTCGGGTAAAGGTCTCAGTATACTTTGGATCATAAGGACCTTACTATTGGCTGTCAACACAACCAATGCCCTCTCGAAATGCACAAATGATCGTTTACAGTTGTCTGTGAGTGCAAGACCTCTTTGAGTGCAACTGCTATTGGATATCTATCAGCCTTGGCATAAAGAAGTGCGGCTGCTTCTGGAATATCATTCGCGGCTGACGTACATTCTTTTTCACACCTGGAAAAGAGAGTAATGATTCGGACTTTATCTGAGTTTTAAAGCATTTCGTACTCCCTGCAAATCTCTCCAGTACTTCTGCTTCCAGGTCCGCGTGGGTGATCAAAGGACCATATTACATTTGCAGCGGTCAAGCGTAATGAACAGAAGGTGGCAGAGGTTCTCAATTGCATAAAAGAATTAAAATTTCCACACGGGACCGATATTAAGGAAGTTCACTTTTCTACACGTCGCCCGCGTTTATGATTATATCCACAAAAGTGCTGCATTACTCATTTTTCTGTCAGGAAGGTATCTGGGAATTGAAGGGTATTGCGGAAAGGGATTTTTCATTGCTGTACGAGTGACAAAGCACGGAAGGACTTTGATAACATGAGATGGTTTGTTTCATCACTCTGATGTAAGCCTTGATACATGAGGAGTTGACAACGCATGCACATAGCTTATTCTGACCGACGTTAGAAGGCAGATTCCGATTCCAACAAAGACAGGTTCAGTATTTTAATCCACGCTATGATTGCAGGGTTTGGATACTGAGTAGCGTTCAGTTTCTCTTCTTCTCATTTCATGGTATAAGAAAAAGATAGATTATCAAGTCATTCTGGAAGTAAATTGGATTCCAAAACATTGCAATACATAGCTTCGTTAAGTTTTTCGATGCAGAACTTCTATCTCTGACGACTCAGTGGGAGTGCAATAGTAATCAACAAGACGGTGATAATCCAGTCTACAGACAAGAGATAAGATATCTTCTACGGACCAAGTAAAGAAGAACTCCAGGTCAGGATATTTGACATCAAGCTATACTCAGCATCGTCAAATCCCAAATATATAGAATATTGGATTCTCAATGAATTGTTTATGGTTCTTTCTAAGTTTCCGTACTCCCTTTTATCCATGTAGGATGTTGATCCACGGCATTGTCCCTTCTGGATGATGCAAATTAATCCAATTTCTAGTACACCATCGATACACCACAGGTGTGCCATGAGTGCTCGTCGTAAGTAGTGTAATGTACGTCTTACTATGTCGAACGAGATGTTATTAAGCTTTAGGAGGTGGAGCCCCGTCAGCCGCCGGAGGAGCTTTCTTCTTCTTCTTCTTTTTCTTCTCCGCTGCAGCTTTCTTTTCGTTGTCTTCGTCGATTATTTCTTGTCTATACTCCAGATTCATGGTGTGCACTACGTAATGATCTTCGTCCACTGTAAACATTTTCTGCCAAATCAACGGAGTAGGCATCATACTTACGTCCCGATTGTCTAGCTGGTGTAGCAGCCTTCTGCTCATTATGGTATTTCAGTTACATTCGGGTACAGGTTGAAGGGCTGGCTTCAATCTAAGGACAGATCGAAGGCAGCCTTGAAAACCATTCTCCATTCGGTCCCGTGCTAATCAGTGAGAATCTCATCATGTCACTGTCTTGGCGATCATGGCCGTTTTGCAACTTTATTGCATGATTTGTGGTGTTTTCCCAAGACAAGGAGAATTTGGATCACAGTCTTGGTTGTGCAGCAGAATACAAGAATCTTCTTTGGAAGCAAACAGTCACCTTGGCTATGTTAATAGATGGACATAGCCTGCATCTATGGCGAGCAAAAAAAGGTTAAGATTTCAGAATCTGAGGGTTCATTGAAAACTGTCAGACATTATTGCCTCGCTTTCTGAATGGGATGGATACAGTCACAGGTCCGTGCGCTCACGCGTTGAATATCAGCCGCCATGCGGCTCTATGTTTAATGTCTACAAGGAGCTGATTTCGTGCTTTAAAGGTCAAAGCTTCCGAGGAAACATGCATCGAATCTGCAGAATTCTAGCCTGTCACATTGTCGCTCCAAGGGGTTCCGTGATCAAGACAGCTCATCCCATTCGTGGGAACCTTGGGATTCAATCATCTACCTCGACCTATGGCGGTTGTTTTCCACGAGCGCCTCCCGACGTTGTGTTATTCCAATTTCTGTTACACCAGGTAATCTCGATTTCGATTTTGATGTCTGATCTTCATGCAGCGTATTGGGCCCTAGCCACGAAATCTATTGCGTAATGATCCATCATACCACTTGAGGGGTCCGGATTCAGCTTCATATACAGAAGAACGTACCTTATTAAATTCTCCCACATCACGCCAGACAAGGTCTGCTTCTGTGCATCTTTTATATCTGCAAGGAGAGAGGCTGGGGTCTGAGAATCTGCATACGTGCTCTCACGTGCTCTCTTATCAAGAGGATCACAATACAGATCATGTAGAAGAGACTCAGAACATCACTAATAAGAGCACCTTGTGATTGTAACTGCATTTGGCTCTTCACCGAATTGTCAAAAGCTCTCTTGGAGGGAGACCATAGTCGTACCCGGTGAGGTCTTTCTCGAGGGGCGAACGAAACCCTTCTTTCCACTCAACCCAAAGCACTCCCGAGTCCTTATCACCTTTCTTGGCATATCTAATCGAGCATGTAAAAAGCCAAGAACGTGTTTCAGAAAAGCACCCGAGGGTTTGTTCGTGCCGATTCAGATGCAAATTGATCGGTAGGAGAGAGAACTGACACGATACAGGTTCATGCAATCAACAAAGGGGCGTATAACCTGATGGAAAACTGCCTTACTTGACACCAAGGATAGTCCCAATGAGGCCGAGGGGAGTTAAAATGAGGTCCTTTGCCTGTTCCAAAACCTCTTACGACGTCAATTCCACAAGCAGGCACGCAAGCACGCGTTGCCAACAAACGAAATGCTAGATTCATGAATCAAGCGACCCTGACACGACTCACTCGATACCTTGAACTCGTTGAAAGGCTTCATATCTTCCTCCCCAGTGCAAAACGCCCCACCTTTGCCCTTCTTCTTCCCCATGGCCAACGCCAATCCCCTCTTTCCAACTCACAAGACACGACTCCCTCACTCACTCACTCACTCACTCACTCCTAACCCGGACGACATCGGATCTGCAAATGCCTACGGGCTCTTCGATCATCAACACATTTCTCGAATTCCCCGTCAAGGACTTCCCGAATTTCGACTGCAACCAAATTCGTGAAAACATTTTCGAGCCAGCGTTGGCAATTCGGATTCTCTCACATTCATTCACTCGAGCGCTCCTTCGGCTCTCCGGTGGTGTCCGATTCCGGTGGGTACTCGGATGCCAGTCCATGGATTAGCTCTGCATGGCATGACGTCGAATGTCCGCACTACAACAGACAGACGGACATGTCGAAACAACCGTCACAGTACAGCATACCGTATTCACACCGAAGACCATATGTACTTCACATACGCTCGCTCCTTTACCCACTCATTTTCCATCTCACTACATCGTGTGTCGTCGAGTCAAGATGGTCAAAAACCATTCGTAATCGATAATTTAATGTATAGAAATCGAGATTGTTTGCTTTCTTTACGTAGGTCCACTCACTATGTCAGGCAAAATTTGCACGAGTCTCTCATGAGTGACAATTTCATGCTTTAGAATAACAAAATTGATGGAAATATATATCTGATGTTTGACAGTAAGAATCAGAGCCTAATGTAAGGAAGATATTGTAAAACCATCATGTACATGAGAAGAAAGAAAAAGGGAACCTGTCCAGAAAATCAGGAATAATGATGGAGGTCAATACTTTTGTGGATTATGAGGCATGTTGGCAGTTTTCAAATTTTAGATAAGATTCCCTCGCAAAAAATCGCTTTGCAGATTTACTGAGCAACATAACCTTGCCTCCAGAGCCAGAGATCTCATCGTCCCTCCCTTCGTTTGAGTAATCCATCGTTCAACGAAGATCTTCACGGTACAATGATCTGAACATCCACCTGTCCATCATACCGATATGATCCGACCGAAGATTTTATAATTCCTGCCATCAACTTAGGAAACATTGACATTTGATATAAAACCTCTTCTCGAGGACGTTTGTTATTTTTCCGATGCTTTTTATAACCCGTACAAGAGGTTTCACATATACTCTTGGCTCAGGATTTCCAGACAAATTCAAAAATCACAGCAGATGAAAGATTTGTAATAAATTCCGCAAGAATGTTAAATTACGAGCCAAAAGCACACCCAATTACGTTAATTTGGTATTGTACGTGGACACGGGTACATGCACTGTACATTTCATGCCAAGATGAAACGTATGGCACATGCATCGATCTCGATGACGAATGGTGCGATCTGTTGACAGTGGTCAGTTCGCCACTGACCGAGCCCAATCTTCAAGGGGCGAGATGCGACCGTGAACCACGTCGAAGAAACCGGTCTATCAGAGCACAGGTGTCAAGGCCTCCGAGACGACACGTATCGAGTGACTTAGCGGATGCCACCTGCGGGCGGAGTAGCTCCGCTGCTCGCCACGTCACTCTGGGTTCGCACCTGCCAAGCAGGCAAGCCTCAAGGGTCACTGTGGGCTCACTACGTTCCTCACAATATGAGCTCAGAGGGCGAGCTCGCAATCACGCTCAAGGACGGACGAGCAGATTGAGTAGAAGATTGATCCATCGATTCATCGACCGATTCGTCGATCAGAGGTATTTTCGCGTAGTTCGGAAGCAGATTTCCCTCCCTTCGTCGAAGACATTTGAAGCTTGGCTACAGGAAAATGCAGTCCAGCATTCTGAATTCGGTCCTCAGCAGCAGCAGCAGCAGCTCGTGTGGCTGCTGCTGCAGCAGCAGTGCCGGCAGCAGCGTGCGGCCCGTCAATGGAGGCAGAAGCTACACCTCGGTGGGCATGCGGCCTCGAGGCATGGTGGCGAGTCCCGTCGTGCTGAGAGCGGAGTCGAATGCGCCATTCGGAAGGTCAGAGGGGAAGCGCAACAGAGTCGCGCCTCCGAGGGCCGAGCGAGCAGGAGCTCCCGGTGGCGCCGGTGGTCTGGACGAGAAGGTGAAGGAGCTCAGCTCGGAGCAGGCCGTCGAGAGCATGCAGGGAGTGGACAGATCGGCTCGCGTGATGGTGGATGACTTGAAACCGGTAGAGCACCCGGGCACGACCGGATGGCCGACATCGGCACGGGAATTGGAGCTGCAGGCGGAGGAGAAGGCGTCCGACGCCGACGAGTCGCTCGGAGGAAAGGGTCGCGTGCTGGACGTCGCGTCGGACTCGGCAGTGGACCCCGAGCACAATCACGAGAACACAATCGCCACGGCAGACGAGCTCGCGCCGGAGCTGGGGCTGTCCGTGGAGGATCTGACCGTCGCGCTAGAGGATCGAGCCGAGGAGGCGTCGAAGCGAGACGCGGAGCTGGCGAAGCCCGACGCGGGCGCCGGCGCATGGGACGGCGGAGTGGGTCAGGTCGTAGATGTGGGAGAAGAGAGCGGCGTGACGGGCGAGGACGAGATGACGCGCGACGCGGCCACCGAGAAGATCCTCGACGTGGCGCGCGAAGGCATCGAGGTTCTGAAGTGGGCCGTGGAAGGGATCACGGCGGCGGGCGCCAACTCGCGCGAGGGCTTCGAGGTGGCCAAGGAGCTCCTCGACAAGCGCATGAAGAGCTTCAATCTGGCCGCGGAAGAAACGAAGGAGGTCAGTGCGCAACTGTCGGAGGTCGCAGTCAAGAAATACGAGGAGCTACAAGGCTCGGCTTCCAAATTCTCCGAAGAGCTCCAGGTGCAGATCGAGGACAAGAAGGCGGCGGACGAGCTGAAACCGGATTCGGAGACGAATCCTCTGGCGCAGCTGAGCCAGGGATTCCAGGCCACCATCCAGACGGCGACCAAGGAGGACGGCCCGCTGGCGAAACTCGGCCAGGGCGTGAAGGACACTGTTGCCAAAGTCAGTGCTGCAGGGCAAGATTTGGCGGATTCGAAGTCCCCTCTCCCCGAGACTGCTGCCCAGGAACCTGAGGAAGAATCGGATTTCCTTGTCCCCGTCGGGAAGAAGGAAGGATTCTTTCAAGATCTCGCCCCGGCTAATGGTTCCTCACCAAAGCCTGGAGACAGATCGATGGAAGCGTCCGATATTTTGGGAGATGATCATGCTCCAGAGCAGGTGAAAGAGGGCCAGCCGAAGGTTGAGCAGGAGTATGAAGGATTCTTCGGCGACATTCCCGTTGACCGCTCAGCCTCGCGTTCCAGGGCGGATGAAGGAGAGACCTCGACGAACACTACAGATGCTTCTGCTTCGAAACAAGAAACAACGACGACATCAGGAGACGCATCTGCGACCGTGAAGGAAGATTACGAGCATGAAGTAGGCAACGATCAGTTGGAGTCATCATCAAAGTCTGGTCAGGAAACTTCTGGGCTGGATGCAAGCATCGAGCATGATTCATCGATGGTCCAGCCTTCCGTAAAGGGTGAGGATGGAATGGGAATTGGTCCCGACGAATGATCTGTAAAATTGTGTAGACTCAATTCTTTCTTTGCTTTCGACCTCGACTCGAAAGGAATGTAAACTTTGTAAAAATAATGGTAACAATAGACACACATTGACACCTGAGAACCACAACACATTCTTTGTCGATGCCGGCGTGGAGAGGATTGATATGTGTGGATGATCATCATAGTTCGAGTGTTTTCAACCTCAATCTTTTTTCGCCAGTCGAGTCGAAAGTGGACTCTTTCAGGATTTTGTTATACCATTCAGATAGTACAAACCTTATTCACCTCATGTTCCCTCACTTATCTAAGCCCCAAATGTTTTTTCACGGATTTTTAGAGACAGAGAACGCCTAGTTTTTTAAGCAGCTGCTGGTCGTCGGTGTACCAACGCTCACACGTCAGTTCACCTTTTAAATAGAAGTGACATTCGGCGAAATAAATGATTTGTTTCTAACTGTGCACTGAAGGTGTAGTCACTCTCAATTGTTATAATTCTTAATTACACTGCAAATTGATCAGCAGTCAGATCGTTTACATCGGATAGGTAGAAATTGAATTTTAAGTCTCCACCAAAACCACGTTACATCTACCGAATACTGAAGTAAGTCGTCTTGCACCATGTGAAATTCAGATATATACCTTAGTCCTACCTTTGTACCAATACTATACTAAAGTATTAAAACTTGAAATATTCGGGAAGAAAGTAAAATCTACCTACAAATTACTACTGTTCATAAAATTTATGTCTATAAGATGTAACTATGTAAAATATGTTACGAAACATATGTTTTTTTCACGCATGCTCCCTCCCATTTTTTAAGCCTATCTATCCACACTCTATCTTAATAAAAAGAAATTTATATCTCGGTTATCTTTCTCTTCCTAAAGAGCCATTTTTACTCCCGCAAATTATAGTTCAACTCTAATCGCAATGTATATTTAAAATTACTATAAATTTCTAAAAAATTAGCAAGGAAATGGAAAGATCTAATATATAATATCACCGAACAAAAGTTACCAAAATACATATGGGTTTACAACCCCGTTTGGTTTAGCCAATGTATTAATTATTCGGGTATCCACATACTCTTTTCTATTCTATGCGTCGACATGAGCTTCATTCAGCATGATTGAAACTTTTTGGCCCACTTATCGAGAATGTTATAGCACAAGTACAGTACTTTCATGGAACATACGAAATGTTTTCGTAAATGCGCCATTTGTAGAGATCGAGGTCAGAGCAATGATATTACTCGCAATGAGTGTACAATTGTAATATTCCCTGTCTTCATGAGAAACTAATATACAATCAAGCTGCTTGATTTAAAATTTTCTCGTACAGTCAAACTGTTCATACGGTAGGATGAGAGCTTCTATATACAGTGGTATTAACGATTATCTGAGCACGATGAATGAGTTTCTCTGTATATTCTAATATTCTCTTACAGATGATAGAAATTTGTTTCCTAAGTAGTTCTATACAACAATAAGTGCTGTGGTAGTTGACGAAGAAAAATAAATGAAGAAAGTGAACAGTCCGCACTCTGAAATCTGAGCTAATGAAAGTACTTCACTGCTGAAATTACACAAGCACTTCACTAATACATAAGAGTCCCCTTTTACACAAACATTTTTAAACTAAAAATTGCATCTATCGACGAAGAGTTCCTCCTCACATTTGATATTCTATAGACCCGAAGGAAGAGATATGGAGTCGATAACTAGGAGCCACTAAAATGTATGTTCTATGGACCGCAAGAAAGAGATATAGAGTGGATATCTGGGAGCCACTGAAATGTATGTGAAGACTGAAGAAAGAGCCCAGAAAGTATATCACGGGATAATTGAGTCACATACGAGTGTCACCATGGTGACGATTCTTATATACCGCAGTCAAACCTCGTCTCTGCACTTCAGATAAACTAAACGAGTCAATAATTTTCATTAAGCACTCATATGAGTTATACCTGCCGGATGAGTTATACCTGCCAATACTGCAAAACTTTTTCTGTGTTACAATTAATTAAAACATCAAATGCAACCTACTCACAGAATGTAGAACATTACAAGGAACAATTTAAATACATGACACTTAGCTTTTAAATTTGAATGTGAAAAAACACGAATTTATGTGATGGGATTACAGCAAATTGCTAATTATCACTTTCGGATCCAACTAGTACGTGGTTATCATTATAATGTAAAGTCGATCGTTATCATGTAAAGTCATTTAGTGTGAAAGTAAATATATGGATGCAAAACGTTTGGTTTATTATGAATTATGTTTGATGAAGGTATGGATACTTTGTGTTTACTTACATACGGCTAATAGATAATCAAGCTTGATGTCATGATGTCTATGTGAAGACAATGGTGAATATCATTAATAACGCGATCTACATCGCCTGAAATAATTGGAACAATGTTAAAATGTTATTTTATTTCAAATAAAAATTAAAAACTTAAACTATAGATATAATAGTTTGAAAAACACAACTTGATTAAAATACAGAATATTATTAAAATAATTAGATTTATTTGGTAGGAAAATTAATGAAATTAAGTTATTTTAACAAGTTATTATCCACTCTTGTATCTGAAAAATATCCTGTTATGTATTTTTGCTTTAGATGCTTGAAGATTTTATTTTGACTTCAAACTCACATTAGAATGCATATGAAAATACAAAAAATATCTTCAATTTTATTTCGTTCATTCAATTTTATATTTCATAGTTATACTTTTAATTTGAAATTTTTTCATACATATGATAAAATATGTGTTATATCATGATATAAAATAATTATACAATCATGTTGACTATTTTGAACTGTAATGTCAAAAAATTAGCATTTAAAATTGTTAGCATATGAAAATCAATTTATTATGTCAAATTATCAAATTTGAGACATGCTCTTATTTGAATGTTCAAATTTCAATTGAACAATCATTTTGCCTTTTACCTTTTCTGTGTCGTGTCATTCTGTCGAATCATGTTTGGCATACAAGAAGTTTGATCAGGTTCGATGAAAAGGTTAAGAACAGAATAAGACATATATGTAGCATTAAACTTTTACAAGGTAAGTTTTCCGGAAAAAACCCTGAATTTTCTCAATGATTTTCTTTTCAAAAAAATTCACATGAAAAGAATTAAAAATTTATATTGAAAATTAATAATGCTCATGTTTATAAGATTGAAAATTATTGTCGAATTTTAAAAATAGGATTCTTTTTTTTATCAATTTATCAAGGTGCAAAATACGCAATGAATACAACAGCTTCAGTTTAATAACAAGAAGATCATAACATCAATGATAAATTATTTTAGATCAAAATAGTTATCAATTACTATGACAGTGGCAAGGTTGTAATCGCCTTCATTACATACGTTCAAAAGACCACAACTGCTTTTCACTGCAACTGTTCATGGTTTCCTTCAAATGTCAAATACTACAGAAGATGAATAATTTTAAAGAAAAAATTATACTATTAAAAAATAAATCAGGAGTGTTAGAATAATCATGTTCTGCAGATATGATCATCTTGATTTTTGGATTGGATTATGAACACTAATATTGGTACGCAATCACCACAGTTAATGTATTAAATCCATTAGAATAATACAGTGATCAGGTTCAAACTTATCAACGTCCAAGTCACTCGATGTCCAATTGATGTACATTAACGTACTACACAGTGAAGAAGAACAAAGAAAGAAATCTAACTGCGAGTATGTTATGAAAGCATCATCAATGACCAAAGCAAAAGATTATTTGACCGAAGCCAAGGTTCATCCACCTAATGTAAGCTGGCGGGTTTCTGCTCGCTGTGTACCCCAACGACGAGGAGAAAATACAACAAGAACTGACCTTTGGTTCGTTTCCCAGCGATCAGTTTAATTAAACTGAATTAAAACTGATCGAATGAAACTTTAATTCGATCTGACGAGTCCAACCGTGCCTCAGCACAGAGCAGAACATCGAGGAACGAACCGAGAGCCCAGTCGGCTCGGATCCCGGAGGCGGAAGGCGAGCAGCATCCAAGCCTGCGCGAGCCTGACAGACGGGCTCTGGGATTGGCTGCGGGGAATTCCGAACCTGGCAGGGCTGGGGGGCCGCGCTTGCGCTTTTTCGTTGCAGAATGATCCGTACCTGGCCCTCTAGGGGCCACAGCTTTGAACGTTGCGGAATCGGCTCGTGAGAGAACGACGAACGACGAACGACGAGGAAACGAACGGGTGAATGCAATTCGACTGACTGACTGATCGACATGAACGAGGCCTGAAGTGTCTCGACCAGCAGCGGCACGGGACTCTCGGTGTGACCAGCTGTCGGTGGTGTCTGAAGGGCCGACGAGCAGGATGGCGGGCGGGGCATTGGCAGCTGCTCCCTCTGCTCTCTTCTCCTGGTCCCAGTGCATGTCTCGGAGGACTACCGCCGGCAGCCGAAGTGGTCGAGTGAGTGCCTCTTGAATTTCTTTTATTTTTTTGTTTGTGTATAGAGTGGAACGGGAATGCACGCGGGGTTCATTCGAGATTCTGCAAAATTCATCCGGGAGGTTGGCACTCCGGATGAATTTCTCGTACGGTTTTGTTAGCGAATTGTTGTTGTTGTTGCTGTTGCCGACATACGAGCTCGGTTTTATCTTCTCCAATTTTCCCTCTTCTTCCTGGGGAAGCTAAGCACGGTGACTGATTTTCATCGTCTCCGCAAGCAACTGTCGAAGCATAATTTTGCACCGAGGACCTCTAGACATCACTTTGATTTATGATATCTATTATATGTATTGGATTTGTTCTCTGGAGCATGTGTCTGTAACGTGCCAGAACAGTTAGCCTCATGGCCGTTTTCCACCATGAGTTCACTAACAGAAAAGTAGTCTTATCTGATTATCAAATCTTTTTAAATTTCAGAATTAAATCAGAAGGCTTAATTATGGATTACATACTCTCAGTTATTCACAGTAACTAATAATTAGCGTGCAGTTTCGCCAACACGACAATTACACCAGCATCAGGCATTACTGGTGTTGAAGCTAGCCACCACACTGTCTGCTTACACCTCGACTGCCTTCCTGCGTCCTATAATCTCATCCTTTCTGGTGTAAGGAAAGGAAAGATGCACATGAATGAAATCCCTGTGCTGTCACAGAGCAAGATGTATTCTGCTAATTTCTACGAATTGGAGAAGAAAGTGAATTCGTTTGAGGATTTTATGATATTTTCTCACTGTAAATTGAGATTTTTTCTTACCAGGGATACGATCACCTTCGAGAAAATTTGTGGAAGTCCAAGCTCGATTTCTCATCCCCCTGCTTTTACTTTAATTAACGTTAACCAGCAGCTAGATAGTGTTGGAATCATTCCTCCACCATCGTGAGTTCGTCCGTAGGCTGCCATTTAGAGTCCTGTTTGTGATTCCGTGTGTTCATGAAGCAATGATCTTAAAAGAGTCCTCACAGTGGGATAGTACTGACAGATCATGATATCGACTGTAGGTATCAGTTAGCAAAGTAGAGATGTGGTGAGAACGTTCTGAAGACTTTTAGAACTGCACAGGTCAGTTTGATCAAAGTCAAAAGTAGTAAATGGGGAGATGAAAGCTTTGGTTGACTTTAGTATCTTCTGGAACTTGTATCCCGGGAATATGAGCTATTGAGTTTTTCCTGCTTTACGTAGCTAATACCACTAAAGGTCAGGCAACGAAGAAAGTATCATCTGCCTTTTCTTCACGATGATGTTCTTTAACTCATGGTATCCTGTCGGAAATTTAGAGCACCACATGTGTATATAGAATCTGCGCAGTACGCACGATCTACACCACAAACATCAGAAGTTTTTCCACTTGGAGGTGCTGGAATGTCAATCCATGTTTGCATTTTGGTATATTTCCATGAAGATCAACCGTATGATGGAGATGGCATTATGGTTTTTAGACTCTTGATACGAGCATGGTAAGATTGCAGTACGAGGCTAGCCATTATTATGAGTTACAGAAGAATCTTCTTTTTTTTCCCCGGCTTCTTTCTAACTAACTTCTGGACTGTTCCGCTTTACGACAAAACCGCCATCATAGAGAAACGCACCATTGATCAGTCGTCTGCTGAACACTACATGCCATCTCTTGCGGTGGCGGTATCAGTTGTTAGAAAGCTTGCAAAACATTTGACCTAAAACTACCACAATTTTAACAGTCGCCTTAGAGCTGGGCCTGAATCTGTGGTCTCCTCCGAGCTGATTCAGAGTCCCTTCATCTCTTGACTCCCGTACTCATAATCAGAATTTTGAGTCTAAGGATATGCAGGCGTCTTTGTCCTAGCTGTTTGATTAAACCATTGGAAGTTAGTGCCCTATATAATGCTCTGAATTGTTCGACAACTGACATTAAGCCTCACCTTTTGTATTCCAGCATGAGCACACTAAGTGAAATCAATTGAGTTTAGTTGAGACAAGGTAGTCTGTTTCCGTGGTCGCAATTGTAGCATGTAGCCTTCTGTCGCTCTGCCGTTTATAGTTCCGCAATACACGGTTTCTAAGCTTTCGGTGACATGGATCAGGAGGTTTAACAACGAATATATATCGGCAAGTGGCCAGAACAAGCTTTAGATTAAAATTTTCAAATCCTAGAGGGCAGGATGTGGCAGTAATGATAAAAGTCAGCGTTTGTGGTTGATTTCTCTGTCTAAGTTGGGTGAAGATACAGTCCGGGCTCGTTAGAGATATCAAGGAGATTACCTATTTATCGTTGGACTAGTTGAGATAAACCTTTATCTTTCATATAAGTGACAGTCAATTGTGAACTTGAAATGATATTTACAATGTCTCATGATATTTTCATTGGCATTAATCTGCTACATCAATGCCAGTTGATATCTTCGAGTCCAGTCCGTTTTCGGAGTCTTATCAGGGACGAGGCTATTAGTGGCCGCTGTTTTGTAGTGATCATTGTGACGCATTGTAGATAACTCTTGCTATGTGTCTAACGTACTGCCATGAGTTTCTGGTCAAGAGAAACGCGTAACTTTCAAATTCTAGCGATTGGCTGTCGTATGCGTGAAGGGCTTCACGTTAAATGCAAAAATTGTGAGAAATCACCCGCATACACAAGCTAATCCAACCACGTGGCGAATCGGCTGCTTTCTCAGTATTCCTTATACCTATCTGTTTTGGATGACCAGGAGCATGCGTATTTCGGAAATAGTAGAAAAACCTCAGGACACGAGATACGTGCTCTTTTTTGGGGACGGGAAAGAAAGAAGGAACTCCAACCCTTTCAGCGCGACTTGAGTTTGTCAGCAGAGGAGGCAACTACTGCAAACGTTGAGGTGATTATTTGAATCGTTTCCGTACCTCCTCCTACTTCCTTGGCCGTGAGCTTGTACTTTAAGGTTGTATCAAACTTTGAACGGGTACAGCTATGTGAATGTTGTCGAAGTTCGTGGTTCATTCAACCTTGTCCTGTCCCCTATTTCATTTACGCCGGCAGTTAAACTTGATGGAAAGTTTGGGGTTTAAGAATGAAAAGTCTATCTTTCAAGCAGGTCTCTCGTGGAGCGACACAGGATGAATCAAATGCTGCTGATCTATCAACTATAACAGTCTCTGTCATTTCATCAATCTCTCGGGTTTCGGCTGAGGAATGGGACTCTTGTGCCACTGATGCATCTGGAGTTGAAGCCATCAACCCATTTGTTTTACACGACTTTCTTCTCAGCCTTGAGGAGAGCAAGAGTGCCTCACAGGTGACTGCTTCATAAAGCATCCTCGTTAAAATTGTTAGGTGGACCTATTTCGTTGCCATGTCTGCTACCTATCAATGGTAATGTAAGATAGAAACTCGTCCCTCTGTGCAGGAAGAAGGATGGCTCGCACAACACCTCGTAGCACGAGATGGTGTTGGAAATGTGCTAGGAGTCGTTCCTCTTTACCTGAAAAGGTAATGCAACTGCTTGTCCTTTGAGATTCGACACTATCTGTGACTTCATGCTCATCATCCTGAAGTCTTCAAAGTGTTCTCATCTCGTCGTGCATGTTACACTATTCCAATTGACATGTGTATATGGATAGGTTGGTCATGACCAACCTATCGACTACACATGTGACAGGCCGTCTCCTTATGTCAAGAATGATGATAGCTTTGAGAATAAAAACTGCCAGGAAAAAAAAAGTTCACAGCAAAAGAAAAAAATTGACAAAAGTAGGGTTGAGGCATATCAAACGGAATAAGGTTCCACCGCAAACCTGGACTCCTCGAATACAATGGTATTTTACGCCTGGCAAATCTTGCACTCTACCTCCTCTAACCATAACCACAGCCTCCGGGGTCATGTTACCCGTGTGGGACTTAATCTGTTCATAGGCTGCAATCAAGAAGTTCGGGTCCGTGCATATGGAGGCCCTTTATCCATGTGGACTCCAACATATGCCCCAAGTTTATTGACACACCGTAGGAATCATTCGTTCTTTTAACCTGGCCATTTCCTTACCTTTCCAAGTACCGAGAGTTCAATCGTATATCTACATCTTTTATAGATCAACTTCAGCCTTATCCAGGTCTACAAGGCCATTCAGGATGAGAACGCTTAGTGACGGTAGGGAATACTTGTTGAGTATTGGTAATGGTGTGCCCTTGATAATGAATGCCAGGGTGTTGATTTTGCTGTACTCGTTTTTTTATCAACTTTTCATGGTGTTTTGTAGGAACTTCATACGCGTTGTAATTTGACTTGAAATGGAAAATGATGCACACGTATCTATTTATACCCTTCTTCTTGGCATAACTCCGAGGGTTCACACACCCTCCTTAAGCAAACTGGCAGACTAATTTCTTTCTCTTGCGCTTGCTGCAGTCACTCCTACGGTGAATATGTTTTTGATCACGCTTGGGCTAACGCATACTTCCGCTACGGTGGAAACTACTACCCGAAGCTGCAGTCTTGTGTCCCCTTTACTCCTGCCACAGGACCTCGCATACTTGTGCGAGCAGGGCCTTTTAGGGAGCAGGTCTTTGATGGTCTTGCCAAGGCTATGCAACAACTCACACATCAAGTAATCAATTTTCTTCCTCTCTTTAGTTCGATAGTGAAGCTGCTTGGATTTTCATAAGTAACTGTTATCTAAGTATGTCGTGGATAGGAATACGGGTATCAGCTGGGTGTATAGGTGTTAAATTTTTTTTCCTGTTCCACAGATGAAAGCGTCGTCCATTAATGTTACTTTCCCAAGAGAGAATGAATGGGAGAGGATGGGCAAGCTAGGTTATCTCCAGCGGATTGGAATGCAATACCACTGGGAAAATCGCAATTACAAAAGGTGAGTATGGTAGTCGTTTTCTATTGCCCCTTAATATATATTCTCAACCGAACCACGCTGAATCTTCTTATGTGTGTAATTCATATTGCTTACAAGAATTCTTTGAGGCTAGGGGCACTCAGTATTCACTGCTCAGTAGTTGCTTCTCCGTGTCTACTTCACATGACTTGCGTCTCAGGTGACCGGTATTAGATACATACATTTTAATGCTTCGGAGGCATCACATAGCATGCTCTTCATCCTTTGGCTTGGCATCCCCCTCTCAGCTGTTAATATTTTTCATCTTTTGTTTCAGCTAACTAACAATTGATAGGTACTGCCTTGTGAAATTTTCTTGAGCCTGTAACAGAAAGCAATTTGAATGGTCTGTATGGGATATTTTGTTTGCAGTGAAGGACTCGAAGATTTTTTGTAGATGATTCTGGAGGGGTTTCCTTGACGCGTTCTTCGTTTGCCCTCTATCTCCTCAGGAACTCTGGAAGCTGACTCGACTTGCCAGATTCAAGTTAAACTAATCATGCCGGGAGGACGGATGCTTGAATAGTAGTAATTTGACGTGATTAGAATCTATATTCACCTGACGTAAAATTCGTCGGGTTTTTCCAGTTTTGATGATTTTTTGATGGATTTGAAGCAAGGCAAGAGAAAAAATATACGACAAGAACGAAAGAAGGTACCTCAAACATTTTTGAAGGGAACCAGTGTAATGTATATATTATTCGTGCATGCCCACCGCTCCTCTCCACTGCAAACATATCTTGTTTGAGCTACCTCCAACTGCATCTATTCTTAAGGGCCTCACAAATTGATTATATGCGAAATCGGTAATTGCAGATACAAGTTCAAAACTTGAAGATGAAAAGGTTACGGGGTGATGATATCAAGGTACATAATGGAGACGGCTGGAAACTGGAACCTATTTTGCGTCAAGCGGCTTGGTTTGCCGAACCTGTGTTTAAAATTACGCTTCATTCTGGATTCTTGACTAATATGTAATGCCTATCAAAAGTGAAATCTGTATGCTGAGCTATCAGTAATGAGCTGATTTCGAATTTGTGGGGTTTGTAAAGGGTAATGTATATTGATGTAGTCTTATTTCTTCTAATAGTTATACATGTAGCTCTTTCTATGCTGGTCTGTTGCAGCCATATCATTGGGATGCCTTCTACGACTTTTATCGCAACACTACCGATAACAAGTAAGCGTTTAGAGGCCAATGGTCCGAGAAGTCATGCCGTGTTTATTTGAAAGTTTTTGTAAAAGATTGGTTACTTTGTTTTGAAATTGACATATGTGTGAAATAGGTGGGGGCAGGCTTACCTTTCTCGGGAGTTTTTCCATATGATGGGATCACGGATGGGGGACAAAGTTCTTCTAGTTGTGGCTGAAGATGGAGGAGAGCTTGTTGGAGGTGCATTGAACCTGATTGGCGGTGACACACTATATGGGCGTAACTGGGGCTGTGCTCCTCGAGTGTATTATCCAAGTCTTCATTTTGAGGCTTGCTATTATCAGGTATCAGTTGCTTCACATCAGTGTCCAGCAAGTTCCAGGGTATCCAAGTTCTGAAACGAGAGCTGGACCATAAAAGACATAATCTATGTCACATTCTCGCTCCATAGGGCATATTCTCTTTTCCGTTAAACTCGACCATGCAAACGTTCTATTCTCGAGGAGGGAAGTTTAATTTCTCATCTTTTCTCAGGCCATTGAAGCGGCCATCGAGTGGGGCCTGAAGAGAGTGGAGGCAGGAGCACAAGGCGAACATAAAATCCAGCGAGGTTACATCCCCAAAGCAACATACAGCTGCCATTACATAGCTGATCCCGACTTTCGACGAGCAATAGAAAGCTTCCTCAACCAAGAAACTCTTCAAGTAAGTTTACCCTACCGTAAATCTTAGTATTCGAATTTCGATTATGTAAAGAATTCGTGATCGCAAGTTCAGTTCATGCAGTCCCATCTGCGGTCTTGAGCTATTCCTGTGTAGGAAGCTTTTCTGGTCACATTCTTTAGCTCGTTATAATATGTCAATGACCAAGTTATTGAAGCTCTGTGATTCTCTTACGCTAATGTGATAGTCGAATTATGTCATGATCCGACAGTTCTGTTAGAACAGAAATTTAAGCGAGAAACTTCTTCACGGGGCCTTGGGTTCTTACTGTTCGAATGTGGCTAAAAGCGAAGTCTAATGGTTCCCTTTTGACGTTACTGGATTTACCAGAATGTAGTTCGTAATCCTGTGAATTGTTCATCTTGGCCCGCGTGGTGACGATGCTGTCTTCTACGCGTTTGTTTGAACTCCAAGTGCTCTGTTTCATTTCTTTTGCAGATGAGACTCGCTCTGGAGCTGCTTGAAGAAACTAGTCCTTTCAAGGAAGGAATTCTTGGAACTTCTGATGGTTAGCCTTTTACGTGCGAATTTCGCTACCTCTTGTAAATATCAGTTGCCTTCTGTCGATGTTTCATCTGTAAATTGTGAATCCAAGGTATTCGATCTAAACAGTACTTTCTTAATTGGAAAATTATCAAAAGTTCGTAGAATCTTTCTGATGTCAAATCACTTTCGAGTCCTTGAAATTGGGAAAAGTCTGTGTCAGCTGGAGTATTCCTCAATAATTGTCAAGTTCAGACTCAGATTTGTTCTTCCGAGCATATGGTTCTAGAACGTCTTGTCCTTTGTATAAAGCAGGATGTGATGAATACGACAGAGCGGATCAAGAGAGCTATAGTTGTTGTCTTGATGTTCTGACACGGAGTGGAGTTCTCTTAGAATATTTGCCCAAGTACCGACAGAGCATTTGTCTCCCCAAGGCATTCAGTTCTTCAGGTTTGAGACTTGATTTCATGACCGCTTTTGCTATCAGCTCAGTGCATATATGACCCTACATAGAGCCATTTCGTGAAGTTAATTCGCATATTTGTTCCTGTACATGCCCTTTGCTCCTAGCGTTTGTCTCCAGTACATCTAAATCACAGCTAGGTGTGAATTTTCTAGCGTGCTAGACATGGAAGTCTCGCACTGAGGCTTGAATTTGCGTCACCATCGTTGATTGAGATATTTAAAATATCGAGTTTCACGAGCCCTACTTTCTAGCTCAAGTTAGCACCCACGTACTTGGATATGAAACAAAGAAACAGCAACAGCCAGCTTTCGTCCAGGATACATATCTCGCGATCCTTTGAAAGAGGTTAAACATTGACCTTGTGAGGTAAAAAAATGCCAAATGTCGAAGGACCCACCGACTCGTAAACCGAAGACACTGTCGCGGGTTACGTACAAAACAAACCTTTATAGACCTGATGAGGTCATGTACGATGTTGCTTAGGTCTGATGACTCTTTTTAAAGAGGACTGTTTATATTCTCGGGGTTGGCAGGTTGACTTACTGTATAGCGGTTGGAGTATCCATGCTCACTCCGCGTAGCTAAAACCCTCATAGCCCAGAGGCGAACTAGAAACTTGTAGGCTTCGTCAAGCGCTTATCTCGCTAAGCACATACAGTAGCCCAAACAAGGTTTCGATCCTGTCGTACGGATCGCAGGTTAACGGAGATGACTGTAACCTCAGTGAACCTCAAGTCCAGGAGATTGGTGACATTGCACACCCGGTCAACTGTTTAAGGTAGTTTGTTCTGGGTAATCCAGTGGCCCCTACCGCCGCTATCTAACTCGTAGATATCAATTGAGGAACAAGTTTAAAAGCAGGAGAGTGGTTATATATCATGCTTGACTTTCTAACGACCTACATGTAGTTGAGCGGTTGCTCAACACATGCCCTTTGTGTATGCGATTCCAGACTACAGTAGTTAGTTCAAGAAGCTGGGAGACGTCGAGATCTGATCAAAGGACTGATCTGTCGCTCTAAGGCGTGCAGGAGCCTGCAAGGGTCAGCCAATTATGTTTCAATCCAAGTTTGGAAAATAGTCGAGAATGGAGATGGGTATGAGAATCTGCAATATCATGTCAGGAATCTGGATGGGCAGAGTGACTTGCCATGAGCACTACGGCTCAATTGGCTCCAGTATCTCGGTCAACAGAGTACATTACCGTCCATATTGTGGCTCATAGAGGTCAATTTGCACACTTTGTACTTGCATTGCCAAAAGAGCGAAGGACGGATGTCACTGTACGTTACGGAGTACAATATCTTAGCCCACTAACTGCGGTCGTTGCATGGCTCGTTGGAGGTATGCAAATGGAAGCCGAGAATTGCGGGTGTCGAGTTGACAGTTCCAAAGCTGTCACTTTATTCGGTTCAGTTCTCTCGTACCTTTTTGGGCTCCCTTTCTCTGGTGTGTTCCATCGGCTCTGCACCAACTCACGTAAAGAGCAATTACATTTTCTCTCCTCGAGTAATCGCCGTCTCAAGAACAGCCTATAGCTACTAAAGGACGCGATGATGATGCTCTTCAGCCGCCGGGCTATGTCAAGCCTAGTTGGTATCTTCGATAAGCTTTCTGTTGTTCCCTTTTCTGATGTCCATGCCGAGTCGAGTCTCTGGGTTTGTCTCTGGAATGAATGATTGTAATGCTAGAAGTTCTTGTGTGTGCATGTATCGGCTTCTTTGTCAAGTTTACTCAGATAACAATTGTTACGTAGACGATGCCCAGCAACAAAATCGTAAAAGCTGCAATCATGCTGCAAGGTTCGAGAGTATGCTTTGATGCGCAAAAGTGAAGGTTCTCCGATCAAGTGACGAGGAATGTACTACAAGAAAGTAGATTTGGTCTTGGTATCGACGCTTTGATTGACCCCCAAACGGATGGTTCCCCACTTTGACAAAAAGCGTTGTTCATCCCTACGACCAAAAGCTTCTTGTCCGAACTGCAGCGAGTGCAAGTCCCAATTTGCACCTCTCTTTATCCCCGCAGCAATACTCTACTGAGTCAGCCTTCAACTGACTGAAATCAGCACTCGTAAGCATCGAAATTTGGACTTCATTTTCTTTAGTTGTCTTACGGGAGTACGACCCATCTCCATAACTATAGTTTCGTCTTGAACGCTCTCCTTCCTTATGCAGCAATGAATAATGCTGCATTTGCAAACCTGGACAAAAGTGAGAAGAAAAGATGCCTCCAGGTGACCAAATATTCCATACCGTTGGGTGAAGTTGGTTGAGTAACAGTCAACTTCGACAGACCTGAGCATAGTATAGATAGGGCCTTGTTTAGAGCCTAGGAGGGTACAATTCCTACATATTCACCACTAAAATGGTATATTAGTTGTGAATGTTTCTCTAGGTTTGTGTCATCCACCTGCCGTTCGCACTCCCAGATATCTACAGCCCAAGTTGTTGAACAAGATCAATTGTGAGAAGCATGCACAACTTTGTATGTCTATGCTTGTATATAATATTGTTTTGTTCAAGTAAAAACTCTTTTTTTATGCATGTGGTGTATTCTGTTTTGGTTTGGACTTTATTCTCTACACTTTCCTGTGCCCGATTATAGATCATGTAGGATTCTTGTTGCACACAAGATGTGCATTGAAAACGATGCGTTGTTTACTTTTATCGTAGCGTTCTGAAGAGTGTACGAGCCTTGTGTGATGCATCCCTCGCCATTAAATATTAAAAAAAAACTAACACATTGTCAAGCTCAGTACGCACAGTAGTTACATGTGTACTGCTCGGATATTGCTCTTTTCCGTTGCAGTCCAGCTCACTCTTGGTTAGATTTCTGCACTTTGATGTACATTTTAGATGCCTTAGGAACGTGATAATTTTACACCACCCATTGGTCCAAATAAACATCCCTCCCACTTTAGTCACTACTAAAGTGGATCAATCCCTGAAAGAACCAGGGTAGCACCGGATTATCTACTAGGCTTTGTTCCCTCTGTGATAGAATGAAGAGCATAGGCTCGCCAACATGAAATTCGCGAAGCAAGTAGCTTTTGAAAAAACGTGGGCGCTAGGTTGTGCTGTTTTTCTGCTTTGTGATCAAGCTCTACCAAGTTTGTCCACCATGTAGCACCCGCCGATTCCTTCCTTTGCATTAGCCCTTCTCAGCATGATGCAGCTCCCGCAAGATATTTTTATGCTTTCACGTGACATCCGGTATCCTCTCCCTTTCTTCCGATTCTTCTCTAAATGTCTCTGGAAGCCCCTGATTTTATTTTTATTCTCCTAAAGCAACAAATCGTGATGCAATCATAAAGCAAGGAGTTGAACACCAGCTGTAACACATCAATGCACAACTCGTTTTGAACATGAGATTCAGTTCGAAGCCACCAAAAAACATAGTTCGTTTATTTAAATTATGAATCCGATCTCTCGCTGATCTAGAAAGATTTCAAAACATCCCAATGAGAGTCTCGAGATCTTAGTTGGATATATATGAACACATACGTACAGGCAAAAAAAACGAGAGTATGTACATGAATTGAGTATAAGTGGTATTGTTTATTCTGATATTCTCCCCTATATAAATGGATCCACAAGTGAAGTACAACTGATCATTTTAAAGGAAACATTTTGAAATGGTTGCCTATATCATCAGAAAGTATTGCATTTTTTCACATTTTGTTTGCAATAAAATATACAGCAACTAGGTAAACATAACAAGTGACAAACTCTCCATATGACCGATTGAAACTTTCAGTTTTACGTAAATGGATATATTGCTCAAATAAATATTTAAATGTTTATCTAATATAACGTAGTAATTAATAATTGATTGAATTATAGCCTTTATGTAATAAGCTGCTGCATAAATTGAATAATATTTGAAGACCAAATCGGTGCAAAGCTTCACATATTGCAGGTCAAATTGATCGTATTTTCAAACTTCAATTTTTCAACTTATCCAGATCAATAGATCGATGAAGTCAATTGTCATTGTATTAAGATTTTCTTACTTTTCTGAAAGTAAAGAAACTGAAATGTTTTATCTAAATGCTGTTTTCATTCTCCTGGTTCTTAATATAAATCATTTCAAATTTAAAATTTAGAATAATAGTGTATGATTAAAAAAATATTCTTATATATATGATAATCAGATGTATTTTTATTTTTTTATCGCATCAAATGTAAAATCATTTGGAAGTTTGAACCTCATTTTTCAGGAAATTTGAACCGTTTTTTAATAATGTTCATAAGAATAAAATGAAATATTCACACCTTGGATTTATATTTTGTAGATTTATTCAACTAAATTTATCACTATAACTTATGGGAAAAACTTGAAAATAAGATTCAAAAACACATGCATTTTGTGACTTGAATGAAAATACAATGTATTTTGCATTAGATTTTGTAATATTAAAATTTGAAATATGAAATTCAAATATTTAAAGCAAAGATTTTTTTATTTTACATTATTGATCATATATTGGTGCAATATCATATATAATTTATTTCACATAACATAAATAATCATGTAATATAAATAAAATTTAATACAAAATAATACTATATTTTTAATTCTTAAAGCCTTAAATTTTTTTAGTTATTTATTATTTACCTATCGATGTAGTGTAATTATTTTGAATGTTGCACTGCGAAAAATATATGTTGAGTTACATGAAACAAATCATCAATTTAAATGATTTTGATATTATATGAAAAGACGATATCAAATCATTATCATGTTCATGAAATTAATAATTGAAATTAGATAAATCTTATGAATATTTATTATAAATTTATCTATCGATATATTTATCATGGACTATTTCATTTTTTTTTAAACTTAATACATACAACAAACTATGATTTTGGATAATATGAATGCATAATAATATTTTTGAATGAACAGTATGTTTATACACTTCATTTAAACATATAATTATGCATTTAAGTAGAAAATTGAAGTGCAATTTCTAATCATTTTTTTTGAATTTCTGAATGATCTGATAATTTTTAATATTAATAATCAGTTAGTTTCATCACACAGTGAGTATTTTAATGCATTTCAAGTTTATTTTTTAAGTAAAAAACGTATAAAAAATTTTCATCTAAATAAGTTATACATAAATTTTTAAAATTTATTTATATTTCGATTATTTTGGAATTTAATTAAAAAAATTAATTTTCTTCATTTTATTTTTTTATTTTATTTTACGTATGAATAAATTTTTCAATATTTTCAATTATTTTTAGTAATTAAAACATCATATTTTGTAGTTTAGACTTCAATTTAAAGATATAATTTATCATTCTTGGAAACACTAAATATATACAATTTTTTGTGTTATTCTGGTATTCGAAGGATTTAATGGATTTGAAAAGACATTGTTTAATACAATCTTTTTTAGAATTTTTAGAGAAGTATAGGATGTGACGAATTTTGTTTCCAGCCAATTCCTAAATATTTCATCACTCTAATTTTGTAAAATAATCTTCAAAATATGTATATGCCGAAGTAATTTATATTTCTTTTAATTCAAAGAAGAAGAAAAGGATAATTTATGATTTCTCTAGAGAATGTTTATTTGATCATGTAGTACATAGGTTATAAAATAAAATTTCTGATTGCTGAACAATGTATGATACAAAATAATCTTTCTTATTTACGTTTCAATTCATCTTTTATATGTTCAAAACATGAGAAATGATTTCAACATGTACAATGTGCAGAGTGTTATGAATCATGGCATTTCATGACTACACAAGTACGTTTCACTATATTGATATTCGCAATAATACAATGTGGTGAAGAATATGTAACTTTACAATAGATATCTTTGAAAATTATTTTTGACTCGAAGTTTATCATTTGAAGAACAGAGATGATTTTGATGAATCGTAATAATGTATTCTAAATATTTTTTTGTGGTCATATAAACACAAACTGAATATAGATGATTTCTGGAATCATCAAAAAGAGCAATATAAAAACGATTATGGAGAGATTTGCAGCTACACACATTGGAACAACCAACAAAAGTAAGGTAATAACATCCATGCTGAGCTTTCCACCTGGTTCTGACTTTCGAACATTCCGGTCGTTGAGTGTCTGAAAGACTTTGCATTAAACCTCAAAGAGAACCAAAGTGTGCACACATCATCCAAGATCTGTAATAATGCTTAACTCAATCCAACACAAATGTGTGAAAGTTAGATCCAAGTATGAAAGACCGGCCGGGAAAGACGTCAGCCCGCCTGCCCCCTGGAGAGTGTAATCCTCGCAGAATGATCGTCACCTGACCACGTCCATCAAGGCCGATTACCATCTCGCACCGACAACAATTTCACCCCAAGACTTGCAAGTCTGTGGACTCGTGACGCATGGCTTGTGATCCAAGAAAGCTGATGAGTGAAGACCCGAAGATTGCGGCTCCCAAAATAAAAGAATAAGAGCACTGTTACGGCGGCATTGTGGCTAGCAACCGCCAAGGCCGAGCTCGAATCCAGCTAAGAATTACGCAGTAAGAAGAGCAGATGAGCTCGACATTTTCAGACATGCAGCAGCATCACGAATGACATGGTTTGTGTAATTGCCTTGTCCGACTTATCCCCGCGGTAAATGAGCTGCGCAGAAGCGGACAGAAGCTGAGCTTTGTCGACATGGATCGGGAGCCGGGTCAAGGACATTTCATCGTTTCTGGATGATGGCCAGGTATCGGTGCGAGGGGAGGGGAGGGGAGGGACGGGACGGGATGGGATGGGAGCTTGCAGACCCGTACAGACCGACTGCTATTGCAGCTCGCCCTCGCATCGATGCTTGGCTCGAGAAATATGCCTTTAGTGACGAGAGTGACGAATCCCACGTAAGAGAGAGGATTGGAGAAGCCTACAAATCTACAATTTCGCGTGGAGCCTATCACGGCTCCACGCTAGCATGCAATGCAAGCGCTAGCTAGGTCGGGACCGAGGTCCTCGCGTCGGTCCGTCAGTCGGTCAGTCGTACTCGCGGGCATATTCTCCGATCGGGGCCTGCGTACTTCGAGCGAAACGACTCGCGACGGTGCTCATGTCCGTGAGGGAGAGGGCACGATGGATGGGTTGATGGAATCGGGGCGACAATCGAAAATCGAGAAATCGAGAAATCGATCGAGTGAAGGAGCGAGGGTGCGAGTTAGTCATGCAGAGACCCGCTGATAGACCCGGCCAGCGAGCCAGCCAGCGAGCCAGCCTGCGAAGCTCTTACGTCACGGGGGCTCGGGGGAAGAATTATAACGTCGCGTGTTTGTTATAATCGCGGTCATGGTGATTGCAAAAGCTAGCGCTATCTGAGTACGTCATGATGACCTGCGCTGATGATCACGAACGTCGAGGACAACACAAACTCGAAACTTTGCGGTCAGCCACATACAGCTTTTTCGAGTAATCGAGTGCCATCCGGCTCGCCAAGAGCTCTGAGTGCCCATCTTACGATCGGGCAGGCTGTCGCGGCTGCCGCAGCGCGGTCCGGAACTCGATCGATCGATGGGACGATCGCCCGAAACTGTTATGCAATTTACGCAAATTCGACGACGACGAGGAGGTGCGTCGTCCAGCATCCTTGGCTAAAGCCATAGCCATGCACCCCCGCACGATCCAGGGACGCCCCGAGGTATGTCACACCCACGGCATGTCCGCATCGGACTCGAGCCCGACCTCCCACAAAACTCTCGTCCGGGGCGGGGCATCTTTCCGTCACGGATGGATGCTCTCGAAACGATTCCGCAGCGGCGCAGACTTTCCGAACATTCAAACGCATTCGTCGCACAACTTCGCCCCGCCCCGCCCCGCCCCGCCCGCTTCGATCGGATCGAGCGACGAGGTGTTCGGCGAGAGAATAGACGAGGGTCCGGGCTTCGATCCATCGACATGCCGTGGCCTGTCCACGGACAGGCAGACAAGAGACGGAGAGGCCGGCCGGGCAGTCGACAAAGAGATAGTCAGATAGATCGATGTATGGTCTGATGATGGTCGGTGGGCCGGATCGAACATAGGCCGCTACGAGTCAGTGAGCGAGTCAATTGGAGAACGAACGAATGGGCCATGCAATCAATCATAAGCAACCTGAACTTTTCTACGCCCCAAGCATGTACACGAACACACACCACGCCACAGATTGATCGAGAGAGAGATTGATAGATAGAGAGAAGCGGTCAGGGGGGAAGTTTTCAGAGCCAAAAAGGTCTCTCAGAGAGAGAGAGAGAGAGAGAGAGAGAGACGTGGAAGTAGTTTGCTGAAAGTTTTATTAGTTACAAAAATGCTGCACAGGCTTCGGAGAAGCAAAATGTAGTGGACGGGTGGGGGGAGGTGGGGTGGCTGCTGCTGCTGCTGCGGCTGCACTCTGTTTGCGGGGGTCATGTCGACAAGACTAAAAATTTATTGCAAAGACTATACAGTAAAAGGCTGCGTTCGGCAAGCCAGTGGGGGTTGGGGGCTGCTGCCTAGAAGAACAAGGCAGACGACGAGTGCAGCGAGCGAGCGAGCGAGCGAGCTAGCGTGCATGCTGCGGCTGCGGCTGCTGCTGCTGCTACTGCAGTTGGATCGGATGGGTCGATCATCATCATCGTGCTCACTGAGCTTCACTCCACTTGGATTCAATTTCCCCTCGGTGGGAGAACCGCGGGGAAAGGGGGTGTGACCTGACCTGCACAAGAACCTCTCGGTGAAAATGGACGGACAGGTCCTCTGCGTATGTTATTGATATGTACCCTAAAGCAATATCTTGATACAAATGCACTGATGTTACATCATTTCGCGCTCCTCAAGCCAGCGTAAACAAAATGAGTGTAACAGCAGAGCAAAGTTTCGATTCTCTCGCGCTATACTAAATCCTCAAAACCTCCTCCTCCTCCTCCTCCTCTTCTTTCCATCCTATACTCCTCCCGCTCCTCCTCTCCTCTCCTCTCCTCTCCTCTACAGCAAATTCCCGGAGCCTTCTTCCGGATGCGAACGACTGCGTTCGCAGACCTGCTGTACGTTCACGTGCGGCTGTGCTGTGCTGGTGATGGTGGTGGTGGTGGTGTGGTGGTGGCGACGATGGTGGCGGACAGACAAATTTCTCACGTAGACCAGTCCCGTGCACCCGTCAGAAGGCTTCCAGCTCGTGGAACTTCTCGGATATCGCGAGACTCGGACTGACTCCGGAGACCACAAGCCCTCGCTTCGTGCAGTCGTTCGTTCATGCTTCTTCTTCTTCTTCTTCTTCTTCTTCTTCTTCTTCGTTGTCGTCGTCGCCGTCGCCGTCGTGTACTCCTCCCGTCTCCATGGTCTTCGTCGTCGTGATAGGCATGATGATCATCGTTCCTTCCCGAGCTCCTGTTGCGGAGCAAAATCTTGTCCGGATGGACCCTACGATTCGATTCCGTAGCACCCTCTTCTGTCGTCGTCTTCTGATTCTACTACGTCTGCTGCTGCTGCTGCTGCACCGAGAGCTCGAGGGCGAAATCCAGGAATCCGTGGACGGTCAAGCGTGGACCTCGGCTCAGGGCCACTCCCACCAAGGGAGAGAGGCCTGATCGGCGTCCATCTGATGGAAGTAGTAATTACACTCGTCTTGGAGCACATTGGAGCCATCTTCGAGTTTGACGGAAATTCTCTGGTATCCTTGAGGCGGGACCAATCGGGCGCCGCCGCACAGCTCTTCGGCGAATTGCACCAGCGACGTCTCGACGCCCGTGTCCGCAGCAGCTGCGGCTGCGGCCGCGGCCGCAGCGCCTCCTCCTCCTCCGCCTCCGCCCAGCGAGAACCCGGACGAGCACTGGATGAGCTTCTGGTCCACGCCGGGGCTCAGACCGCTGTCAATTGGGTGCGGGCTGTCGGCGTTCATAATCTCGCTCGAATTGCTCTCGGAGCTCGTCGATCCCTCCTTGTCCTTGCACTTGACCAGACTCTCGGTCGTCGCCGGAGGCGTTCCCATTTGCTGCTGCTGTTGTTGTTGCTGCTGCTGCTGCTGCTGCTGAAACTCCTGAACCAAGTGTTGGTGCGTGGGCAGCTCGGACTTCATGCTCGGCACCACCACATCCAAATGCGCATGCGGCGACAGATTATTCACCGCCACTTCGAGCTCCTCGGCCTCGAACACCTGCCCCGCCGCCCCGTCCAGCTTCCTTTGCTTCTCTTTGGCCTGGAGCTTGCTCGTCAGCTGCAGCACCTGAGCATCATAATCAAGCCCCACGTAACAAAGTTAGCCCCCCACGTCGCACACTCGAGTCCAGATCCCACCGAGTCAAGCCAGATCCTCAGCTCCGCAATGCAACTCTCGAGGCATCGAGCTGGACTATGTCAAAAGCACGAGAGGGTGTGGGGAGAGGAGAGCTACTGACCTCGGCCTGGAGCTTTTCTTTCTCGGCGACGATGGTGTCGAAGCTGGCCTTGAGGTTGTCGTAGTCGGACTTGAGCACGTCGTAATCGCGCTCGAGCTGTTTGGTTTTCCAGCGAGCGCGACGGTTTTGGAACCAGACCGCGACCTGGCGAGGCTGGAGGCCGAGCTCGCGAGCCAGCTGCAGCTTGCGCTCGGGCTCGAGCTTGTTCTCGAGCTCGAAGTTCTTCTCGAGCGACTTGACTTGATCGGTGGTGAGCCGGCGCTTCTTCTCGACGTGGTGCGAGCAGTCGTCGCCGCCGTCGTCGTCGCCATTGTCCTCCGATGTGTCGAAAATCGGGTAGAAGGGGCGCTTCTGCCCACCTCCCATGACCGCCTCCTCCAATCCTCCGACCCCCACGGATCGAGGAGCTGCGCACACAATGACACACCCATCGCAAACCCATCGTCAGCTCTCGGCTCTCGGCCCAATTCCCTCCGCTCTCCTCGCCTCTCGACAATTCAAGACTCGTGGGCTCTCGAGCCAATTAAGCATTACCGATCGGCACGCGGATCAGATCGAGTTGCATTTCGGAATCCAGAACGAGGTGTGCAATTCGAGACCAGAGAGGGGAAGAGGTAGAGAGAACTACTGACCTTGCATGCCCGGTGCGCCGCACGAGGCGAGCATGGCCACCAAGGTGTCGGCCGAGGTGCTCTCGCTCCGCATGAGCATCACATTGGCTGCATTATACGCGCGAGCGCTAGCCGCCATCATATATGCTGCTGAAGAACAACCCGGTGGCCCGGATGTCTTAGGCTGCGGCGACGAGCAAGTCCTCTTGAGCTCCACGGGCAATTGTAGGCCAAAAATGCATTCGTTTCAAGACCGCAGACAGAGGTTCTAAGACACCAGCATTCCTGTTTTCCGGTTCCTAGGAACTCGTGAGCTCCATCGCCCTCAAGATGCATACAGCCGACGAGAGGGGCCGCGAGAGAGCGAGCGAGCGGCGCAAACTCAGCTCGAGCTGGGAGCAATTTGGTGAGCGCTGGCGCTTGAAGAAGCCTGATGTTTATAAGCGCGAGCTCGAGCGTCCACAACGAAGGGAAGCGAGGGATGGTAGAACATCTACGCCCGTGGCTCTGCTGCTGTGCATGGGATGGGATGGTGGCCGAATCTGTTCCTCTTTCACGCCGCCACTGCAATGACTCTCTCGCTCTCTAGCTCTTTTGTGCTGCTGCTTCTTGAGCAGCACGAGACCTGTCCTGCTGCAAGCGCAGGTGATGGGCTGTCGTCCTGGCGCTTTGACTGCAGGCGGGAGGGCCCGGGGGAGTCAAATCAAGAAATGGTGGCAGCGCGAGAGGGCGAGCCACGGGGGGAAGCGGGCGGAGCTGCTCAGATCCTCGTCAGAAATGCGCCAGCGCAGGCGAGCATTCGAGCACAGCATCCGCAGCGGGGATTTGATTTGCCGGGGGCTAAACTCGCCGTCCAAACCTCTCTTTCTCTCGTGGGTCCGCGCGGCCTGGGCTCACTGTCTACGTCTAATCTTCGTCGTGCCCGATTGAAGGCGACCGCGGGCTGCTGCTTCAGAGAAAAAATTCGCCCCGGCTGCCCTCTGAGCCCTCTTTCGCGAGCAATGTCCAGCGGGGGAGCCGCAGGATGAGCGACAGCGACCAATCGCTCGTGCGTGCGAGCTTAACTCCTTAATCTTCCCTTCGAAACCGCGCCTCCGACTCCAATTACAGTTTCTTTCACCTCCACCGCCACCGACACCCACCTAGTCGTGAACCTCTTATCACCCCAACCTGGAGCAGCTCCTCTCGCTCTCGCTATGACTCCAACCTCCCAGAGAATCCGATCTTCCGCTCCTTCCGTCAGTCAGTCTTCGGCTTTATGTGTCGGACGTATCTCGCATTCTCTCTCTCTCTCTCTCTCTCTCTCTCTCTCTCTCTCTCTCTCTCTCTCTCTCTCTCTCTCTTGCTCTCGCTCTCGCTCTCGCACACACGTCTTATCAGCGCCGCTGCTGCTGCTGCTGCTGCTGCAACAGCTGTGCACTCGCCTGCATGAAAGCGTGAGAAGCCCGGACAGCAGGCAGACAGACCACACCCTGTGAAAGGCACGGCCGACGCAGACTGGACTCAATCCCGCAGGCACGAGCAGCTCTTCTCCTTCTTCGTCGTCGTCGTCGTCGTCGTCGGTTGGTTCCGAGTGCGTCGCGAGCGAGGGCGAGACAATATCAGAGCCACGGGGTGCGTAGTGTGAGTGGGGATGGTGAGGATGATGCGAGAAGAAGAAGCAGAAGAAGAAGAAGAGTTCCTCTTCTTCTCTTGGGTCTGAGAGCGGGCGGGCGAGCGAGCGAACGAGCGTCTCGTCTCGATGGTAAAGGAGGAGAGAGAGAGATGAGAGAGGTGGAGAGGGGGGAGGGGGGGGGGGAGGATGGGAGTGGAGTGAAGTGAAGTGAAGACAGAACTGCGCTGCGCTTCTCTTTAGGCACTGAGAGTGCACTCTTGTGTGAGTGAGAGCTTCGGGGACTGACTGACTGCTACAAGTAGAAGCGCTACGGCTATCTTTCGCCCTTGTGTTCGCTTCTGGGATCTGATGCTTGGTTGCGTTAGGGGGGGCTTGCCCGACAAATGGACTGGCTTGGGGGACTGCCGGTTAACAGGCGCCTATTTATAATAGAGTCAGCTTTGGCTGAGCCGAGGCCCTCGTACATGTCCACGACGACGATGGAACGCTATACCATCGATCGGGCCTCCAGCCCCCAGAGCCGCGCGGCCGGGCCTACCGAGCGTAGGGCTCTACCCCAGCCGAGGCAGCCGAACCGGAGGCGGACCGGGCCGGAGCGGACCCGGGCCGGGCATGGCATGGCATGAGATGACAGCGCTACTACCAGCAGCAGCACCAGGCGCAGCCGCCAACCCCCACAACAGCCAAATTCACCTTTCTCCCCTTCACCCGTCACTAACGACAAAGATGGCGATGGCAAAACTACCCCGATTACCCCGCGTGCACTTTTCATGGGGTTTGGGGAACGGGTACGGGGGAAGCGCGACGGGCCGGGCGCGAGGAGGGAAGTCGGTGGTCCGAAGGGGTTAGGAGCTAACCCGAACGCCCGGTGGGTGTGCGCTTGTGCGGGGCGAGGGTTTGGAGATAGGGTGGGGCCCAGAACCGACCTCGTGGGATGGTCAGCTTCGAGTTTAGTAAGCCTTCCGCCAACGTGGGATGCATGCTGGAAGCCTTCCGACAAACTTAGAGGCTCCCGGTGCCCCCACCAGGCTCCTTCTCGGAGCCGCCAACCACGCCTCCTCGACTGCGTCGGTCGCCACAAGGCACCCACGGTGTCCGGCCCCTTCTTAACTGGCGGTGCCTCCCAGGCCCCCGGCCCCCTTCTTTAACGACATTTCCTAAACCCTACCCTCCGCCCGCGTTCCTACGCTGGCCCTGCCCTCCGCCTTCCCCCTCCCCCCTCCCCCCTTGACCCTGCCTTCCCCCGCTGCCGGAGTAGAGTGGGACCCCCCTCCGGCCCCGAGCGAGCGTACCAGCAGTACAGTAATCGAGAACGATCGGCGAAAGGTTTGAAAGAGAGTGCGCGAGAGAGAGATAGAGAGAGAGAGAGCGGGCAAGGACGGGCAGAGGACGGTCCTTGCCCGTCCTCTCACCGGTTTACCCTGAGGAGGCAGCTGCAATCACCTGCCCACGAACACTGGTACAGTACAGTAAGTCTTTCCAAGCCCCATTATGACAATATTTCCTCCTCTCGGTGTTGCCGACACAACCGGCAGGCACGCAGGCGCGCAGGCAGCAGGCACGCAGGCGCGCAGGCAGCAGGCACGCAGGCAGGCAGCGATTCACAGCCCAGCGGGCGAGCGAGCGAGCCCCAACCCCAACCCCAACCCAGCCCCTTCTTTCCTCTCCTCTCCTCTCCCCCAGCCCCCTTCCCCTCCCCTTTCCTTCCCTTTCACTTTTGACTGTGACACACAACCGTCCCGGGCAGCGCTCGTAGCGCAGCGTTTCGTTTGGACAGGCCTCCGCCAATCTGGCTCCGATCCGCCCTCCCCGCCCTCCCTGCCCTGCCCTGCCCTCCAGTACGGATACCGGATACCCGATCCCGACAACGGTCCTGCTCTGGGAGCCCTCGAGAGCCCGGTGACCGGTGGATCTTAGAACGAGGGGAGGGGGAGGGTGAAGGGGAAGGAAAGAGAGAAAAGAGGCAACGGGCTCCGGGGAAATAACGGCGGGGCCCGGGCGAAGGAACTGGGGCTCGGACAGCGAGATAGAAGCTCGGGCGGAGCGGGGGAGCGGAGAGAGAAAGAGCGCGGGGCGGATCTGGTAATGAAGGCGTGTGCACGTACACGTGCTGACCTCAAGGCATGGCCAGCGGCATGGAGAATCCGACAGGATATTTCCTTTCAGCCCCTCTGCTCCGCTCTACGCTCTACTCTCTACTCTCTACTCTCGCGAGATGAATCTCCCCCCCTCCCCAGCTGAACGCTGATCGCCTGCCCCCCCCGGGCGAACGCGGTTATTTTCTTCCGCTGGGGCCCTAACCCCTCTTCCCCCTCTTGCCCCTCTCCTCTCGAGGCCCAACCCCACCTGGGGGCTGGGCCCTCCCGGTCGCTCCGAGGTTATATTTATTGCCGAGCGAGCATACAACAGTGGCAGGACATATTCGACGCGCGAGTGTGGGCCGGAGGGGAGAGCACAGACGAAGGGGATGGCGAGAACGGAAGAACCAACGGTCTTCAGCGAGCCGGGGCTTGCTAATTGGGCTTGGGCTTGGGGTTAGCGAGAGAGGCGAGGGAGGCCAGTGGGGCCACGATGCATACATTACCGAAGGACACTCTCGTCAAAGAAAGCCCAAAAGCAGGCGACAAAGTGTCAACGGGCGGTGGAATTGAGCCCCTCCGAATTGGTGAGGTAGGAGCATCCCGTGGGCGGGGATGGCAATATAGTTCGGTGGACTATACGCATTGTCTTATTTCCTTCAAGTCGCACAACCATGAAACCCTGTAGCTAAAAAAAACGTAGAACCACAAATTCCATCGGAGATAGTGAAAGGGGCCTCTATTAAATCATGTTCTTCGATTGACCTCCTTCTTTAAAGTGATTCTACGTAGACTTTAGCACTATGAGATTCTGCTTACCCCGCCTTTTCTCATCGCCTGATTAACCCCGAAAGCGTCCATTTTCAACAACTTTCGTTACTCCCTCCGTTTCGCACTACTCTTTCTTGGGATCCCGTCAGGTCCCACAACATAGTTCTCCTCTGTCCGGTGTAATCCATCGACCTCCTCCTCCCTCTACATCTGCGCTTCTCCGCGCTTCCTCCAATCTCCCTCCTTTGACGAATAATCCCTGCCCCCCCTCGCCCAGACAACTACCGAAGATTAAATTCCTCAGAGTTTGGTTCGCCTTGCTCCGTGCATCCCTCACTGATAGCTTCCATTTCGTCCAGATTCCGAATGCTCCAATTGAGACGTCTACGAATTGAAAAATCAAGAGCACTACCTGAAGACCCCAGCCTCTTATTATATACATTTCGTCTCAAAAGAAGGACCATTCTCGATACAAACAAATGGCAGATGCATGTTTTGATCATAGGTTTGGTAGTTGGCAACTGCCTAACCTCGGGTTCAAATCCAAGAGCTCAAAAGCGATGTGGCGCACTGCGCTGCCTCAAGATTCTTTCCCAACGGAACCTCTCATAATGTGGGGTGATGGAACTGCGTAATTATGCCTTCCCAAAAACATAGCCAAGAATGAGCAGGTCGCTCGCTCGATCATTCCTTCGATCCTCGTTAGATTTTCGTTGCTCATTAGATCTAGACCGGATAGATGTAGGAGACGTAGTCATAATACTCTCTATTGACCCAAAAGTCTGGATTTCGATCTTCTCTGGCTTAAAAAAAGGATCGATGTTCTAACGATCAATCGATGGATCGGGCGGGCTCTCTTTGACATTCTCTCCCTCTCTATGAAGGATGCTTCAAACAAGTAAGCCCAGTTCGCTCGTTTTAGTGAAATGAGGACAGCCTAGGAAGGCAGTCACGTTGAGTGCATGAGCTATATGAGGAACAAAAATAAATGAAATTGTATAGAGATAGCAGTGGTTGAAGAAAATCTCCACTCGAGTTTCTCCTGAGATATTTAATTTTTTTTGTATAGTATCTTATAAAAAATATTTTCAAAGATTGAGGAGATAACAGCTATTCTAGAAAATGTCCGCAGATGTTTTTCGTGAGAAATCAAGTTTTCTATATAGTATAGTACCAAAAAAATAATGAAAGTGTAAGTGTGTCATCAGAAATCCGTGTATTTCATGTTATTGTATCTAAGTAGAGAGAGAAACGCGTCTTGATAACTGCCTCACCTGAAATTTGACATATGATATATTGTATTCTTGTATGTGCCGTGTATAATAGTCAGGGCGAAAATACGAAAAGATTTGCAGAATCTGCAAGCATCCAAAAGAACGGATAAAATATAAACGTTTGCTCGTTATCAACTTAAGCTTCGTGTAAATGTGATAATAAAAAAAATTTGCCATTAAATAATATATGAAAACAAGAAAAAGGTGGGAGTGATTTTATAGCAGATAGGGGGGGAATAACCCCCATCAAGTTGTACGCGGATGAACCCCGAGGAGGTCAAAGAGCATCGTGGGAAATATGTCCACCTGCAACTAAGATATCAGAAATAAGGAAGAGGATGAGTCTACCGACCTGAGTCTAAGAGTAAAGCTTATATCGATCTGTTTGGTTCTGATAAAGGTATCAGTTGCAGGTGGACATTTTTCCCACGATGCCATCGGTTCCTCCATCACAAGAGTGAAGGATGGAGTCAGCTTAATCCCAGTCCTTCTAAGAGGCCGATTTTCCTTCCGGGCCCAGGATTGTCCGAGCGCAAGGATTCCCCGGGGACATGATTGGATTCATGTCCTGGTGAATATGAGCGTACGATATTCACGTCCCTTGGGACTGACAACGAAAATCCAAGTGACACGTCCGAGTCGGGAGTACCCAATCAGCACGCAGACAGGGGGGAGAAAAATGGAGGCCACCGTCTTACCACCAACATCTGATTTTGCATCGATTCTAATCTGTGGGAAGTGCGTGCGAGAGACTGTGGGAGGGAGTGGAGTACACAACGGAGGAGACAGAAAAGGTGGAGGGGCTCGTAGGAAAGAACTTTTGGGCGACTGGCTGGGAGCTCATGACTGCCCTCCGGGCGGGCGGTCATGGAAACCCTGGGACCGTATAATATTCTGGGGTGGTGGAAATTGGGCCGCGGAATAAATGAATTCTGAACCCATGCGCAAGCTCATTAGATTCCTCATGTTGTCATTCTGATGCATCGCGTGGAGGGGGCGAAAATGCTGCCCAACTGGATAGAAACGCTCCCATGAAATCCAACCGAGTGAAAGTACGAGGGCGCTACTGCGCCCGAGCTACGCATTCTTAGATATAGTGCACAAAGTGTCACGCGGACGAGAATTCTGGTAATTTCTTGCGCGAGTTTCTCACACTTGCAGGTGTTTGGAATCCCGAAAGCCTCCTCCGCTGCGCTGTGATGTACTTAAGTGACTGAGGCGTTAAAGCGACTTTTCAATGGAGAACATGCTCCGATATACTCGCCAACAAT